GTGTTATCGGCAACTTTTTCACTTTTCAGAAAATTCAAAAGGGGGGGGGTTCGACCCTGAAACCCCCCCCCCCCCCCCCTGGCTGCGCCACTGTTTACTTTGTTATGAAGAGTTTGCAATCTTACACTAAATGTAGATATAGTAAGATTATGCACGTTTCAGTGAGTTTTTTGGTGGTTTTGGCATGTTTAGGCTTGATAAATGACAAATAATGATCAATGTGTTTGGACAATAAAAGTGTTTGTTTTGTATTGCAATGTTCGCCTATTCTTGTCACTCTTGTGGGCCGCGAACAATACGAAAATAATAGTGTGGCCCGCGAGGTTGTTAACCTTGAACCACCCTGGTCTAAAACATTAATTTTTGCTGACAAACTCACTATCAGTATCATCGATGTGTCAAACAACAGCAATGACATGACATTTTCCAGCGAAACCTTCAAGTCGATGGCTAAACAACACCGGTATTCCGAACCAAACTCATAAATTCAAGTCCTTGTTATGGGTGTAATTCATAAGAATCCCAAACAAATATTCCTGCATTTACTGGAAATTTGTCATGTTTTTATGGAAATCTGGCCAAGAATATAGGGTTCTTTATATAAAGTTCTTTCATCTCCATGAAAATGCCACTTCCCAGTATTCAGTATTAGTAAACATGCTAGATTATGAATATTTTACATAGAGAATGGAAATATTTTTCAAACCTTGGATTACTGGGGGAATTAATAATAGAGGGAGGTTCATCAACCATAACAAAATATGTTTCACGATAGTGTTTATGTTCACTCTTAATAGCCTTTGACACTGTTCATCATAGTATCCTTACTCTATTATTAATTCCCCCAGTAATCCAAGGTTTGAAAAATATTTCACGTTGTCTATGTAAAAAAATTCATAAGGATTCCTTACTATAAAGTTAAGACATTGTGGTTAGACATTGATTGCAAATTGTGATTATCATACTAGTTAAAATCAATTTGTGGAATCATATTCCCACAGATCTTTGATGTTGACCACTTCCTGTGGAATTGTACAAGGATCGGTAATTGGACCACTGGGCTTCTTGATTTTAATAAATGATTTGTCGAAATGCCCTAATCTTTCTAGCAATTTGTTTGTCGAAATATGCTTGCTTGGCAGTGCAAAACTTTTGACTACACTCCTAACAAGTTAATGGAGAGGAGAAATTTTTGAATTGAAAGTGTCACCAGTTTTATTGTTTCATTCCAGAAATGTCTAAGCACATCAAAAACTTTTTCACTGGGATTCGATCCTACTTGGGATTATATGGATTCTTTGATAGGAAATTTTTCTCAGTATCTATTTGGTCAGCTTCATTTATAACAGTGTTCGAAAGAGTGTAATTTGAAACAGAATGACTGACATCATCACTATATATTATGCTTTGTCCAATACAACAGCTCCAAGAGAATGATCTCTTCACAATTTAATCGGCTAACAATTTGGTTGTAAATAAAATAAGTTTGGAAATTAGTTTATCACCATATCACCGCTGCCATGTACTAATATTTCTACCCTTGATTTCTGTAGCGGATTGTAGAATATTATCAAGAATAAACTCTATATTACAGAGTACTTCATAAACCATAAAAAAGATACATAGTGTACACTTAATAAACAGTGAATATTATGACAAAGTTTGATTACCTTTGATGCAACTATTGCAACTCCAGCATAGTGCATTCAAGCACTCTAATGTTCTAGTGTCTATAGTTCAAGTGCATGGGAGGGCCTGAAACAGTGCATTTTTGCATCAGTCTCCCAGCAATTAAGCAACTTGTGCAAATGTAAATTTTCTTCTTGAAGGCTGTTACTGCTTGATAACCAGTATGCAACAATCTTTAGTTTACTTTTACATTCTGTGTCTATAGTGCATATCTCCAGTATGCTGAAAAAATTAACAACCGATCAGTGTTAGAGTTTGTTTAAGACTGATAATCAAAAACTATATAAGTATGCTATTTCACTTTTATTTTGTTATGTGAGAATATACTCAATTTGAAGACCTCTTGATAGGCCAATCGGTTGTCACTATGCCATGCTTCCTTCTAGGTTGTCGGAATGACTGCATCTCCAGGTGTTGGGAAAGGAAAAACCAGAGAAAAAGTTCTTGATAATCTTATTGGTTTGCTTGCCAATCTCAATATAACTCAATGTCCATCTATTGTAGAAAAAAATACAGAAGAGCTTAAGCAGCACCAAAATGAAATTGATGAAAGTAAATTATTTATTATTTATGCTTCTGAAAAAATTCTGTATTTTGTTGGATATGGTTGATTTTATATATCTCTTTAATTAACCAATATTTCGATAAATCGTTTGATTTTGTATAGGCTTTATCAAAGTACCAATTGGAGCTGACATTTTCACAAGAAAAATATTGAAGGGAATACAGCTCATAGAAAACAAAATACGAGAAGAAGGAGTCATAGGATCAGGAAGTGAGTATTTGAATCCATTCAATTTAGAAATATAAAGATGAACTTTATGGAAATCCCTAACATGCATTATTAACTGGTAATACCATTTTTCATTTATATTCAAACATTCAACTATTTTCACTATTGACTAAGATGGCACACTTTTTACTAAACTAAACCAAGCCTGTTACAATTATATAACTGATTTTTTAATCATTGAGAATACTTCACTATTACAGCTTTTTATAGCATTGCCTCGTGTCTTTAATCTTACTCAGAATTGTGGGAAATTTCATCAATTTATTACTTCAGAGAATCAATTTGAAGAACCCCCTGAAGATAAAACTAAGCAGATGTATGAGAACTGGACTGTTCAATTAATTCATCATGTCCAATTGAAAATTTATGATACTAACAGCACTGGACAGTCAGGCAAAGCAAGAATTGTAGTCACCTATGCTGAACATCTCAAGGTATAATTTCTGCTTTTTTGACAAATATACTTGGATTGTAGAATTAATATAAAGTATCATTTAACGCTTTGGTGGCCACGATTGTGCCTTGTTAATAAATTATTCTCTTTTTTTTACATAGTGCTTTGCTATTTATTTTTTTATACTAAATTAGAAAAAATTTAGCAGCATCCACTCATCATATTACTTATGATTCACATGAATAAGTTTGCTCAAAAAAATATAACTCAAGCAAGCCGCACATAAAATATTTTGAGGAATCAGACTCGTGAACTACTCTCACAATGAGTCTTTAGTATGTGTTAATGCATTTTCCTTATTTTTTAAAATATCAGATGTACTACAATCTTCTTTATTACAAAAAACTTATTCCACATGCAATGGAAGTCACAAATAAGTTTGCAAGTTTTGATCAAGATGGTGAACAAGGAAGATTTTTAAGACAGATCAATAAAGGTTGGTTGCAATTGATAAAACTTCTCATAATATATAAAAATGTTGATATTATCTATAAAAACAAGGCTTTTGTGCAAATTTCAAAAATTTTGAGGCTAATATTCTTAGTCATCTCACAAACCAACATTATTTGACTTTGTATTATATATGTACTACTTACAGTCATCTTTAAAGTCTTCACCAAATTCTCCCGAAAGATGAATTTTCCCACAACTTCACTCGTTAAAATTTAAGCTGCTGTCAATATGCTAAAATATTTTAAATTTCAGAATTATTGAAGTCAGAAAAAGATGCAAAAGTTCCTATGTTAGATAAACTGTTCTTGGTACTTGAAGATCAGTTTAAGAGAAAACCTGACTCTCATTGCATTATATTTGTTCCACGAAAAAAAATTGCATCCAGTCTTGTTGATTGTATCAAAAATCATGATAAGCTTAGCAATCTTGAACCTGTGTTTCTGACTGGATCAAACAGACTAAGTTCAACAGGTATCGATTAAACCAAGTATTCTTGATTCAAACATTGACTTTGAGTGATATTTCAGAAGAAGACTTTTGTAATGTAAATAACCTATACCAGATTTTGGGCACTAATAATTTTCATTTGTGGGGATGAATATTTTTAACTGTTCTTGCTTTCACTTAGATTAGCCTGCAGCTTTCATTTGACCATGTTATAAGAAGTTTGGCTGTAGCCATAAATGTTGCTATTTAAGGTCGCTGCTCACTGTTTGGTTTTAAAATAGTGCTGCTGCTCAAAATACATCATTTAATGTTATTCATTATACACTGGTTACATCATTTTTCTTCTGGTTTTCATCTTCTATTTTATACTAGAAACTTCATTACGTTGCCGTTTTTGTTGAAAAATTATTTATATAATTTTGGGCTTTTTCGTTTTGATAATGTAGATTGTATCAACAAATCAGTATGTCAATTTTTAATTGATTTTAAATTGCAGAGGGAATGACAAAAACAAAACAATCTTCTGCATTGAATACTTTCAAAAAACCTAACAACTGTAAAGTTTTAATTGCAACCTCTGTTGCTGAAGAAGGCTTGGATATTCGAGCTTGTAATCTTGTTATCATGTATAATTATGTTACTGGTGAAGTTGGAAGAATTCAAAGAGCAGGTAGACTAGAATCATTTTTTTAATTTTTTTTTTAAATAAGCTAATTAATAATGATATTAAAATGAAGATGTTGTGTTTATTAAAACATATCATGAATTATTACCAAAAAGTCAAGCGTATAAAACTAATGACATAGAAACTTTAGGATTAAATTATCCAACATTTTCTTTTTTTCAACTGTTCTGGAATGAATTTAAATTCTTTCAATATGTCAATGGATTCGTGGAGGAAACCTGATTGATCAGCAATTATAAGAAATGCTCTACAACATAGGATTTGATATCTAGTTTAAATTTCGCTGAGACAATGAGCATGTTCAAACTCTGTAGGATAGATTAACAAGCTTTACTTTGTATTAACCAGATCAAACTGTTTCATGTTTTGTAATGAAAATAATTTAGTATTCAAACTTTAAATAACTTCAAAAATTTATATTAAAGTAAACAAACATAATATTCTGAACCACACTCACCAAAATATTATTTGTCTCCCAGGTCGTGGTAGAGCAGAAAATAGTCGTTCCGTTTTGATTGTCCCATATGGGAGTGAGCAGCTTGATCAAGAAGTAATGAATGCTGTTTGTGAAGAAGCTACAAATGTTGCAATCGAAGATTTAAAGGAACTCACAACTACTGATCGTACTCAAAAGGTATACAACATGAAAGATAAAAAAAAAATAAAATAAATAGCACTGGATGAATGAATTTGTTATATAATTCAAGCTAAGAAGTGGTAACACATGCATGTCATCTCAACCACATGTTTGAGGTGTTATTCCAAGTTGTGGTTTCTATATCCCATATAAACTACTTTACTCAATAGGTTATATTTAGTTTCATTGAAAATATGTGTATAAAAATCGTCTCGGCGGTGTGGTGGTGCGTTGGAGCGTACGCGTTGGAGAATACGCTTGCCACTGCACCTCGGATTATCATGTATGGGTTTGCAGGTTTGAATTCCATGCGGGTATAATTATTTGGATATCTGGACTCCCTAGAGTGGTTCACTTAACTGCTGGTTGGTTACGACTTCCTCCTTCATCAAGTCCATGCATCTGAAAACAAATAACTCGCTAACTAATCTCATAGCTGGACGATAGGTCGGGGTTTGCTACATGATCATGTCATCTTATCGACTTTCCTTTCCCAGGGGTAATATGTGAACACTATCTTATCCTAAAAAAGTTTGTTAGTGGTTGTTCATTTTCCAATACAATACAGATCAGAAAAATTCAAAGGCTTGAACACAGAGAGAGAATGAGCAATATCACACCTGTAAAGAAACAACTTGAAGAAGCAGCAAAATGGAGAATACTCTGTTCTAAATGTCAAGCCTTTTTGACAACTGCTGATAAGCTGCTCAGAATAAAAAACCAAGTAAATATGACAATGGTTTTGAACAGCAAGTGTATGTAATTACTGACAATTAATACTAGTCCCAAGTTGCAAAATTGAAGTATAGATTTAAAAGTACATTTTTTTCTCAAATAGCCGATTACTCCTACTGGTGTTTTATTTTAGCATGTATTTGTCATTGATCCAACTTTCAAAGAGCGTGTTTCTAGAAGACATTTTAGTGGTGAACCTCAGGAAATTGCCCCCGGAGTATTCAGTGTTGGACAATTTGTTTGTCGCGATCTAAAATGCAGGTAACATAAGCATAGTAACAATAACAAGGTTTTTACCAAGAGATGATTTTTCTGCATTGTTTTACCATTTACACATGACAGAAGTGTTTTAAAAATTGAGATACCATCACAACATTGTTGTGCAAGCATTTGCGGCTTTCAAGTCTATCTGTTTATCTTTCCAGTAATGTTTATAGTGTTATTTTGATTGGTAGATTCCAAATATCATTATGTTCAAACAATTCTTACTCAACATAGTGAAAACATCCTGTGAAATAACCTTATCAAGCGATGAAACTTGGGAGTACATGAAGTTTTCTTGTGAAATGAAAAGTAAAATCATTTCAGCGCCCATCATTGCAATACTCATCTACGCGACTGGTTACTGCACAAGAGGTTGCCTTATGATTTTATTTTGGTAGTATGAAAACTCACATCTTACTCATGTTCCTAAGGTGCACACAACCTCAGTGAAACGAATTTTAACTAGCATTCTACTAAAGTTTACATAAATTCTGTGTTTTAGATCATACGTGGGATTGGAGATGCTGCATAAAAACCAGAGTTTTCCAACTTTGTCAGTGAAGCAACTCATATTTGAAGATAGATTAGGAGTCAGAAAAATAACAAAACAATGGACGAAATGTCCTTTTAAAATTGGAGAAATGGAAGAAACAGAAGAAGATGAAATTGAAGAAACTGTGGTTGAAGAACAAGTTGAGAAATTTTTCGATGAACAGGTAAAACTGTGGGGTTTTGAATATTTAAAATTCCAAATCAGATATTTCAAATTAGATTATATTTTTATTTTTTTTTCATGTCTTTTCATAACTGTTCTGTGAGTTAACTATATTTTGATTGCTTTTATGAATGGTGGTCATTAATATTAGAAAGCCCATGTGAGTCAAGGTTGATGAAATTGGGAAATCTTTGTGGCAATGTTATTTTAATATTGCCTAAAATGTAATTGAGAATGAAGATTAAAGATAAATGATTTATTTCAATATTTTTTATCAGTTTAATTACTTTGGGCTTGGCTTTAATTTACATATTTTTGGCATTGTGAGTATTATAAATACCTAAAATAGAACAGAAAGTGTTGTACACACGTTCAAAATATTCAATACACGACATTACACGTATTCAAAATATTCAATTTTTGCTCGAATATGCAACTATTTTAATAAAGTTTTCTTCAATTTTTCACACTGTGTTCAACTATAATAATCAGATATTTTCTTGTATTTATTGATTAAGTTTCATACCAATGTATGATATTTATAACTTAGTGCACTGCATAAAATTTTCTATCTATCACTTGGGAATAATCACTTGGATACTTTGATAAAAGGTTGAAGGAGCATATTGTTTTATATACTGTGTGAAGAACATAATTCTACAATAGCTTTATAGATTGTTATGTTACATGGTCATTGCAAAATACTAATATGGCCCTTATTGAATGATGTATGGTTCAAAGTTTTACTATCCTTTTTAATGATTTCTTTCTAAAATATTTTTCAAGTTTCGATTGTCAAATAAATCAGCAATTATTTTTAATGATATTTTTTGATATCTCTAGAATATTGAATCGGCGAATGAGAAGAAAGAATCGGAAGCTAGCAATTATTCCCCATCTGATGCCACAGAAATTACTTACGGAGAAATGTAATGTAACATATATAAAAACTCTGCTTATGACTGGTATTTTATACAATAATCATATGTTGTATATTATTAGTAATCTGGACCAAAATCATGAAAAATAATTTATACAATTTTTCAGATGTAAAAATATATTACCGGTATATCATATGTTTTGATTTTGAGGGATAACAAACTTTTTATTTGACATATTTCAATTGTGTTATATAGAAATACTGTATTCTATATATTTTAAATTATACCATACCTTACATCTTAACATATAGTTTGAATAACCAGATTTCTGACTTATTTTCGTTGTTCATTTTCGAGCAATTTTGTGTGAACTAGTTTTTTCTGCTACAAAGGACCAATATATAATGAATAATTTTCTTTTTTTTGCTTTATTATTATGCATGATACTTAGATTTGAATGTAGAATTGAAAGTTTGTAATACTATTGTTATCTCTGTAACTTCAATTGCCAACTTGTATATTTTGAAAACCACTTTCTTCAATGATTTCTCTTTTATTGATGTATAAATATGCAGGAAGTTTTATTGATTGCTATAAGAAACGATTGTCGACTTTTATACTTGTATATACAGTACATAATTGCATTCCTAGACTTTTGATTTCAATTGTCATTAAACTTAAGAAAATTGATTGATCAACTATTTGGGTATGTTGCGTTTTCAAGTTACAAGTCACAAATATTGAATATTAGTCTCCTTCAATTTTAATATAATCAATGGAAAAGGTTAAAGTAACTAGCATTTCAGCGATTGAAGTTTGAGCCAAAGAATTTTATCATTAATTTTTCAACATTCTTATGCAACTATAATTCCCACCAATGATGCATAAAATAAACATTTTTTCCCAATCAATTTACAGACTAATTTTAGGTTTCTGAATCACACATATAGATAGAATGGATAGATTTTTATTCAGATGAATTCTGACAAATTTAGTTGGTAATCTTTTAAGAATGATTACAATCGTAATGGAATGAAGTTTATTAAATTCAATTTATTCTAGACTGCTTATTACTTAATTTTTTGTCACTGTTCCGATATGTGCTTTTTTCACATTTTAAAAAGTTTTTTAAAATCAAGAAAATGAATCTCCAAGATTTAAATAAATCCTTAATTTCCAACAGGAAATGGATAACAGCTAAATGAGGTTTTGAGACTGAAAGTGTTGAGACTTCGCATTCTCTATATTCTTTGAATATTTTTAGTTTTTGATTCAAGAAATATATTGCTTTTAGAATATACCTAGTATTGTGAAGTAATTTACTGAGTTTGTTTTGAGTTTTTTATTTGCATTTTTATGCCCCAAGTGCATTTGATTTAGCAAAAATGTAATAAGTTTTATTTGTTCCAGATCAAATTTCAGCTCAAACTTTCATGCATCTTTTATATTTATTCATGCAACTAATTATGTTATTTTATTTTAAACATGTTTATCTACTATATCAACCTTTAAAATGATAAGTTCAAACATTTACCCATGTTTTGGTATGAGAAAATGAAATATGAATTTCTTTATGCAATTGAAAAACTTTTACAGTGTAGTAATTATAGTTAGTAACAACTACCGTATGTATGTGGTTGATGTAGCTCGTATATATGTCAAATCAATATCAAATACTGTTCAGATGATTACAAACATATAGAATAATGTTTGATTCAACTAGTTTTATTGTTATATTTTGATTGTGTATTTCATTGACTGCACTCAAGTATATTTTATCTTTCGCATGTGCTACTTGTATTTAATCTGTTATATGCATAACTGTAATATTTTTAATCAATGTTAGTTCATAAATGATTTACCGCAAAGGAAATTTGGTATTATTTGTAGAATAAATATTATAGCTAATCACTTTGCACTGATTATTGTATATTGTATTTAGATTGAGTATTTATTTACTACTTAGATATGTAGTGTGCTTAAGAGTTAAATCATTCAAAAAAACATATGAATGGAGATATCTTTTTAAACATGAGGTATGTATATTTATAGATCACTAGATTGAAAATGTAGCTTTTGTAAATTTCTGAAAAAAGCTAGTAGTACTCTTATACATTGCCTTGTGGCATAGATGATATTGCAATTGGTTATCGAAGAATTCACTTCTGCATCTAAGAGGGTGTGATGTCAATGATTAGAATCAAGAAACAATTCTTTGATTTCAACATGACATATGGCCCTTCAAATAATATAGATTTTTGATGTTATAAGAATGCAAAGTTGAAATGTTCTAACATCCCCATTTTATGAATTCCAAGGTGTCCATACCTTTTTTTCATGTTTCTGGCTGTCTGTATATTGGTGAATTTTGGTTTTTATTCTGAACACTGTTTATGGGGTAAAAAGATACTATAAATATATCATGTCTTGTATTTCACAAGATGAGCTTGTTTTAGGACATATCGAATGAAACATCAGAATTTTGATAGATCAGAATGATTTTGTGATGTTTCTAATTAATTGAAAATTCACAATTATCTGAATGTTTTGTTATTTAGTGATTTTGGTGACGAAATTAGAAGCTATCACTAAAAATATTTTTATTTAATCTTTGATGAGGTAGTAGCATCTGGTCTGAAAAAACAGCAATACAAATATTGTATCTTGTGTTTGATGTTCGAAAAACGTAATTAAAAATATTACACAAAATTCTATTTATAAAATATATATTCATATATACATATCAGACTAGTCACTAGTGGTTCTCAATCTTTTTCTCTTGTGGCCCATTTTCAGCGTCAAAAAATCTTATGACACTTGACAAAATCTCAAGATGTTTTCTATGTCAATTTATTACATTATATTCATGTTGAGAGTAGAAGTGTCAATAGGATCATTCTAATACTTATGTGTTCATGGTTCAATCTCAGACCTAAATCTCCCTTTTTTACTTTTTTTATTGATGACATTTCCTTGTGACCTACCGATGAAACTTTAGGTTCATTTTAAAAATCTTCAAGGCCTACTTGCGGGCCTGAGGGATCACAATAATAAACACTGAATTAGAGTACAAGTTGTTTATGAAGTGAGCACCAAGGTAACATGCCAGCATAATTTTCAGTCCTATACAAGACCGAAATGCAAATGAACTAATTTTTATAGATTACAATATTTTTGACTTTCAGAAAAGATTTTTTAAATCAAATTCAATTAATATTTTGGATGAAGTTTACCTTAGATGACATGCAATATTTTTGAATTAGGATCCCATAATACTGAAATTCTAAATTTTTCTTTTGAAACAGATGAAAAATGATTAAAGTCGGAGAGTATAAAGCCATACAAAGAGAAAAAAAACCACTTGCATCTGGAAACTTCTCAAAAGTGTACAAGTAAGACAACCCTCTAAGATTTATGATACAATTTTTTGGATTGCACCAATAACTTATCTCAGTAAAATATTGAGTGAATGAACAGCAGATTTGAAACAATTCCTTTCATTTATAAACTTCCAAATAATTTTGATTTAGATCAAACTTATGAAAAAATGATTTAGAATGTGTATGATTTGAAGGCATTTTGTACAAAGCAACCTATTATTTTTAGAGGGAGGTTCGATGACAAAGATGTCATAGTAAAGCGTTTAGATCGCACTGATGATGACGATGATGATATGATATTGAATTATTATGAAGAATTAGAATTGCATAGAAGTCTCCAGCATGAAAATGTTGTAAAGTATCTTTATAAAGTAAATACAGTATTACTGAGTTCAAACAGCTTTTCTATTAATCTATTTCCATTTGATAAGTGACCGAATATTTAAAAAAGAACTATGCCCCAGACGCTGTGCATATTTTTCAACTTTGATAGATTTATGTCTCTATATAATTTGGTAAAGTATTATAAGAGATCTACAACCGCTAACTATACAAGATATTAAGCTGCTAGTGCTATGTTATTTCCAGTTGCTGGAGCTAATTGATAGTGGCTTGGTGGATTTCTTGTAATTACTGCATGGTACATTTAACCACCGATGATTAGGTTACTACTAAATATGCCTGAGCATGTTGAACTTTTAACTGATTTTCTATTCTCATACCCCTCTGAACTTGACATCAGATGGGGGTCTGTCTGTTCTTCGACATTCGCTCAAGTGGTATAAAAAATTCCAAAACTAAGAGTGTGTTATATACAGCAGGGGTGCACAACACAAGGCACATATGCCCAATGTGACATGTCATGAGCTTGAACATGACAGCCAGATACTTTAGTGAAAAAATAATTCTTGAATTTATAATAAACCCGATAACTCAAGTTTATTTCAAAATAAATTTAAATCACTGTGTTTATTTACACAATGCTACCTCGTGGCCTGTTATCAGAAGATAGTAGCTGAAAATAAGTAGGTAGGATTAGGTAGGTAAAACATGATTTTTCTATTCAGCGAGAGTCACAATAAAGCGAAGTTCTGTCATAATATATTCAATTAAAGGGGCAAGTTTATTCACACATGCCTAGCTCTCAGTTCGATTAGAAAACATGCAATAACAAGTAGTGTTAATGTCTGATTAACACATTTTGTTAATCACTTCACATTCTTTTCTTGCCGTAAGGTAGCAATGAACAAAACCCTTCGTTGCGAAAAAAAGCATGAATTACAAGATATGCGGACGATTGACTATTTCCTTATCAAATATGTTTTCATTGAAGTTTGTTGTTATATGTTTTACGGAAGTTGTATTTGATTATGTCTTATGAAATATCTTTATTTTTTGAATTTCAGGACATTGAAGTTGAATATATTTATATAGTATTGGAGAAATGTGAATGTACACTCAGAGAGGTAATAAACGTAGTGTAATATTGTTATTGGAATTTCTGATTATTATTTCTCTTTTATTAATAATAATGCTATGTAACAAAATCAGTTTAGTGAGCATCATAAAATGATTTTTTTTTAGTTTGTCATTGATAAGAAATATGAAGTTCCACATCTGAGTATGTTATGGCAATCCACGAGTGGTCTGGCATATCTTCATGGCCAAAATATCAGTGAGTGTATTATATTTCATAGTAGTTTTATTTGTTGAGATTTATCGTTGTTAATGGCTCAGTGAGTTTTTTTTTCATTTCATTCACCATTTGGGGGGTTCAAATTTTGCAGAAGATAATCATTCGCTGATAATCATCAGAATCGACAATGATGTAATGTGCTTAACATATTTAGTTTTCACCAGAAACCACAAAAATTTGAACATATTCGACTGGCCAATTAATTCCATTCCTACAATGGTAAAAACGAGTACCCATACTATGATGGGTAGAATTGTCATACCACACATAGTCAATGATGTCTGAAATATAGACTTTTATTTATTCCTAGTTCACAGAGATTTGAAACCATCAAATATTTTGCTGACCCAGCAAGATGGTAAGTGGATTGCAAAAATAACGGATTTTGGCATCAGTAAAAAGATTTCTCCAGACAAAACAAAATTAACATTGACCAGTATTAAAGGAACACTGGGCTATTCATCTCCTGAAGCGCTAAATGAAGATAAGATCACTAAGGTATCATTGAGTAATTCATTTTTCTGTGTAAAAATGTAATTCATGCCAAGCATAAAAAAAGGGTTTTGTCATTTCGCTCTATCAGTTGCGGGATCCAACGCTGCTCTTTGGAGAGTTTAGAGTTTAGGTTGTATTCTAAGAACTCCTGTTTATGTGAAATTTCTTTTCATCTAACTATTTCTTAGAAGTGTTGACTTAAGTTGTTTCGAGTGTTATTGGATTTCTGTGTCATTTCTGTCACAATTACAAACTTAAATTTGGAATGTATATATAGCTTTTAGTAAATAAGTGGTCATAAGTAATTCTTTGGCACTTTGCACTTTTTGCTAATGACTCCTTAACCTCACCTCTGCACAACATCACTATGAAATATACTATTCATGTGTATGAATTGTTCACGCCTAGGATGCATCTGAAATGTTTACTGATAAACTGACTTGGGCTGGCAACTCATGAGACATACTGTTTGTCGATAGGGTCCATTATTGATGCAATATTTTTTGTTCGTTTTGCACTGAACAAGGCCCTGTAAAAGCTGCCACTGATATCTAACAATATATAAAGAAGCTATTATTTTTGTAGGACATAATCCTTCTGGTTCAGCATTGCCCACCCAATTTATTACATCCTGAGTGAGATGGTGGGCTCGCGATTTTAACCTGTGATCTATATGTAACCTAAGATGACAACAAAAGTCTAACACTTTTTTCACCACATGGCCAGTCGATTTTAAATTGGGCGATATCTCGAAAGTCAGCAAAACTTGTGTTGTTTATGTGTCAATGGTGGAAGAAGGGAATTTCTTGGGTGGTTTCAGTCGTTACTCTATTACCATCAAACCAGTGAAATCGTCTTTCCATCAGCAAACAAGATGATACATTATCGTACCTGACCAAACGTCAGAAATATTAAAAAACTTGTTGAAGATCATCCATCTTATTCAAGAAAAAATCATGAATCATGATCAGTCTACTTGGTTAACTGATTTACAATAAAAAAAATTTAAATTTTCATTTAAACTATTATCCTGGGGGTGATGATGATTTATATATTACGGTAAGCACTGCAAGGCGGCGACGGTACAAAAAAGTTTGACAACCACTGAACCAGGCCATTGCACCCACCACTAATTGTATTTCAAAAAAGTGGACAAATTTTACAGTGGTCATTTAATAGCGTAAACTGAGATTTACACCCTATGATCTCCACTTGGCAAACACCACAGCTACAAATAGATATCAAATTTACTTCCCTGTGTTTCATTCTATTCAGGGTTCTGATATCTATTCAATGGGAGTTATATTTTACTACGTGTTGAGTAAAGGTGACCATCCTCATGGTTCAGATAACTTGAAAGTTGAAAGCAAAATTCGAGATGGAGAGGAGCCAAATATTGAAAATATGGATGCAGAATGTAAGCGAATTTTACAATCCATTCACAGTCATTCATTTTGGATGCTGGAATAGATTGTTATAGGTTGACTCATACAAGACATGAGTCATATTTTTTCAGACTGCGTTTGATCTAAGACAATTTTGACCTTGATATTTTTAAACTTACTTAACTTTAACCCAATTAATTTATTAATATTGTACTTTTGCAAAATATCCTGCTCCCACGATGTGCACAATATTATGTTTTTTACAAAAATACATTCTCACTAAATAATCTTAGGAATAATAATTTCATTCCTATTCTGAGACTGAATTAAGAACCAAGCATTAATAATAAGCTTGTGCACAATAACACAATAACACAATAACACATCAACGATGGCGAGCGGAGGTGCAGCTAAGCTCCCGGCAGGGAACTTTGCGGCGGTCACGTCGATGGGATTGAGTTTCATGAAAACAAGAAGGCGAGTATTCTCCACGACATTAAATAATAAAGAAAGACCATGTTGCATGGAAGTTAAATATATTGCAGGATATGGTAAACCGTATAATATTGACACGCGAAACGCAGTGAAGCATGCAATTTTACAATGCTTAAAACTAGAAGAAATGGAGGCACTTGTCGAAAGAAGGTCTAATGTATTTGAGGTAACCGCAAAAAGCAGAGAAGATATCTTGAAATTAGATTCATACTTAATGTCCGGGAGAATGAAAAACATACAAGGAAGGCTTTTAAAGTCAAATTCGTCAAAAGTTTTCCTGCGTGGTGTGCCAGGTATATACAGAGAACAGGATATAAAAAACATAATTGTAGCATTTACCAACATCAATCCAGTGGGTATTTTGAAAATCTGGGAAGTAAAAGACAATGAAACCCCTTCTCTCCGTACAGGAAATTGGAATATCTTGGTAGAAACCAAGTATATGAATCTTTTTGATCTACCAAGTTATGTTGAAATTGATGGTAGGCAAATTTTTGTAAAATATGATGGACAAAAGCAAACTTGTCGTGCATGTGATAGTACCGAACACTTCGTTACAAACTGCCCAAAAAGAAAGAGTTCAACACATGCAGTGGCCGCTGAGGAGAAGCCAGCAAATGAAAAAGGTACCGGTACCGGTATCCAGTTACAAGATCATGACTATCGTGGAGTGACAGTACACACAAAAAGCAATACTGAGACCATAATAGCACCAACACCAAAAGAAAATATACAAGTGGAAATACAAACAGAAAACGAAACAAAAGAAATGAAAGATTTTTATGAAGAATACATGGATACAGAAAATTTGTTTAGATGGGAAGATGTGGCATTTGTGGAAAAGAATGATGGTATATCTGATTCAAATAACATGCAGATAGACATAATTTCAAGTAAAAGAAATCGAGAAGAGGAATCTTCAGAAAAAACACAATCTACAATGAAAGCATCAAAAAACTCGAGTTTCTCAGAAAAATGTGGAGAATGTGAATTTGTAAACAAAATACCCAAGAACATAAAAGAGTTTACTTGTCCAAACTGTGATACTGAGTATTTTGTAACAAAAAAGTGCTGTAGTAACAAATACATCACTTATAAGAAAAAATTAATCACAGAAAATGGAAACAACATGATATGTGGTGATTGTGAACAGAGGATAGTCCACTTGTCATGTTGCAATTACTTGGAAAGTATGAAGTTAATAGAAGAATATATTGAATGCAGCAGATGTGGAAAAGGCCACTCCATATGTGCATGCCAAATGATAAATGACACACCAGGCATAGGGCAGATCTCCAAATGTTTAAATTCAAATTGTGAGTATTTCAACTTGCAATGCATGTGCGGATACAAACAAAACATCTTAGATGTGGAAAATCATGTATGCACAAATTGTGCTAGAATATACAGATGTGCTGAAGTGACGAAAAATGAATAAACTCAAAAAATGGCTCTGAAAATTACCACTTTTAACTGTAGAGGTTTACGGGATACAGTAAAAAGAAGGAACATATTTCAATTGTTTAGTCTGCGAAAACTTGGAATCATCTTCCTGCAAGAAACTCACTGGACAGATGATATAAGAAGCGAAATAAACACATTCAAAGGGTATGAAATAATTGCAGCGAATTATACGTCACACAGGGCGGGAGTTGCCATTTTAATATCAGCAAAACTGTCATACAAGAAAATTTATCTAAATTGTGATCCAAACGGCAGGTATATACTTCTTCAAATGGAAATGGAAGGAAAAAACATAATGCTTGTAAACCTTTATGGTCCAAACAAAGATGACACACAATTTTTTCTCACTCTGTTGCAAAAAATTGAAGAAAGGGAAATATTTGAAATTATAATTGGAGGAGATTTTAATACTGTAATGAATAATGATTTAGATAAAAGAGGGGGACAAGCAATACATAAAAATAAAAATGCTCAGAATCTAATTAACTGCATAGCAGAAGAAATGGGATTGGTCGATATTTTTCGAGAACTAAACCCTGGAGTAAAAGAATATACCAGAGAACAATATAATCCAACAGTCGCCTCTAGACTAGATTTTTTCCTCATATCTGCTTCACTTCTCGTATATACAACGAATAGTGAACACGAGACAAGTATTCAATCAGATCATCGAATGGCGAGTTTTGACATAGATTGGAAAAAGGAGAATCGTGGTCCAGGATACTGGAAATTCAACAACTCATTATTAATAGATGAAAAATATAAAGAACTGATACATCAACTAATAGAGCAAACAATGAGAGATCATTCTCATGCGTATGTTAAACCAACAACAATGTGGGATACAATGAAATGTATAATTAGGGGATACACCATTCAATATGCTTCAAGGAAGAAAAGGGAAAATCATAGAATCCGTGACAATCTTGAAAGGGACATTAAGGATCTGGAAGACAAACCAACAAAATCCAGTGAAGAAATAAGCAGATTAAATAAAAGTAAAGAGAAATTTGAAATCCTTATTGCGCAAGATGCCCAGGGAGCAATGGTTCGAAGCAGAATCAAACACGCCGAATATGGAGGCAAATGCAATGCATACTTTCTAAAAAGAGAAAAATATAATGTGAACAAAAATAATATCAATCTTTTACACTATAAGGAGAAACAAATCAAAGATCCACAAAAAATAGCAAACATAGCCGCTGATTTTTATGAAAACCTATTAACTCCCAAGACAAATTCGAAGACAGAAGATATCAAAACATATTTAAACACTGTACAGGCGACAAAACTTACTGAAGAAGAACAACAACAAAGTGAAGGTTTATTAACTTTGAGAGAATGCGAGAATGCACTGAAAGAAATGAGATCAAATACCAGCCCGGGGGAAGACGGATTCACAGTTGAATTTTACAGAGAATTCTGGGAACATCTCAAACAACTATTGCTTAATTCCTACAACTACTCAGTGGCAAATGAGACAATGAGTAATTCACAATCTAGGGGAATAATAAAGCTGCTACCTAAGCAAGGAAAAAATCTCAACTTCATTGAAAACTACAGACCTATCACCTTATTAAACATTGACTATAAAATTGCATCCAAAAGTATAGCTAATAGACTGAAAAATGTGATACAAAAATTGATTCACAATGATCAAAAAGGATTTACTAAGGGAAGATATATTGGCGAAAATGTAAGATTATTTTTTAATGTTAGAGACTTTTTGAAATATAAAAGGCTTCCAGGAATAGCACTCAACTTGGATATAGAAAAAGCTTATGATTCTGTTTCATGGAATTATCTTTTTCAAGTGTTGGAATTTTTTAATTTTGGTCAAATGTTTATTAAGTGGGTCAAAACTTTATATTTTCAAAGTCAAAGCACTGTTGTTAATAATAATTATAGTTCAAGAATGTTTCAAGTTAAGAAAGGTTTGAGGCAAGGTTGTAGTCTCTCACCATATATGTTCTTATTAATAATTGAAATATTTGCATGTAGAATGCGACAAAACCATAATATACAAGGTATATGTCTCGGAAATACAGAAATTAAAATTTCCTTGTTTGCAGATGACGCAACAGTATATTGTGATGGGTCACAAAAAAGTATTAAAACAGTATTTTCTGAAACCGATAATTTCTTTACCATGTCTGGGTGCAAGATAAATACGAATAAATGCCAAGCATTATACCTGGGTGCAAATAATAATTGGCAAAATTTTCCTATGCAAGACCGAGGACTTCAGTGGAACCCTAGCTGTTTTAAAATTTTGGGCATTAATGTGTGTGGAAATGATACGGATCTTTTTACTGTGAACCTTTTGCCAAAACTTCAAAAACTGAAAATGGTTGCACAAATATGGTCCAAAAGAAATCTAGATTTCCTCGGAAAAATCACTGTGATTAAATCTTTGATGTTGAGCTTATTGGTTTATGTAGTTTCCATCTTACCAGTAATACTGCCCAATAGTTTTATAATGGAAGTAAATAAGATATGCCATGAATTTTTATGGGGTTCAAAATGGGAGAGAATAAAACGTAAGACATTAATTGCACCTGTGAAGGAAGGGGGGGTCAATATGCTTGATGTGGAATCATTTCTCATTGGTCAAAAATTAAGATGGGTTAAATGTTTAATAAATGACGAAATTGATGTCTCATGGAAATCCATAGAAATGTTTTTCTTGAATTTGTATGGAGGAAAGGCTTTATTTTATGGAAATGTATATCCGCATGGAGTGTATATCAAAAATATGTATTCCAGATGTTTGAGAGATACTCTGTACTATTGGTTTATTTTCAAATCCAAGATTATTAGGGATGTAAGTCATTTACATGAACCTTTGTGGTTTAATAAAAATATAACTTGCAAAGGAAAACTTTTATATATGGATGATTGGAATAGTAAAAATATTTGTTTCGTTGAAGATATTTGTGATTCTAATCAGCAACTTGCAATGTTTCCGTATGTTTTTCATCATTATTGTTTTTCTAGTTTTTATGATGACATGCTAGCGTATTTAAAAATTATATCATGTATACCCCAGCAATGGAAAACTAATTTATCAAAAACCTCACCAGTCAATCCACATCTTAGTCTTATCGAAGATATTAAAAGCATTGATAAAACGTCTCGATATATTTATGATAAGCTTTGTAATGAAAAAATTTTGCCGCCAACTGAAAAAATAGAAAAATGGTCAAAAGAATTGTGCAGGAACTTAGATAATTGGTTTACATTGTATGAAAAAGTTTTTTATTGCTCTATTGAATCCAGACTTCGTTCATTCCATGTCAAATTTGCCTTGCGAGCAGTGCCCACTAATGACCTGCTATATAGAATAAATAAAACACAAAGTCCAAAATGTACATTTTGTAATATGCATGTTGAAACCGTGTTACATTTATTTTATCTCTGTGAATTTGTGCAGCAATTTTGGGAAATAGTTAACGCTTGGCTAACCGTTGAGTATGGATTAAACTTCAATTTGACACATAGAGAAATGTTATTGGGGGTAGGGCAAAATCAGGGTATAAACTGTGTTTTATTATGTGCCAGATATTTTATATACAAATGTAAACTGCGTAATGAAAGGCCTCAATTTTGCCAATTTTCATATATGATAAAAAATATTATAAACTGTGAAAAGATTATTGCAACTAAAAATGGTAAACTGTCAATCCATAATAAGAAGTGGAAAACTATTGTGTGCTCGTTTTTTTAAAATGCAATTGTATTTGTGCTATTGTGTCTATATAAATGTGTTGTGATAATGTGATGTTTTTATTAATAAAAAAAAAAAAAAAAAAAAAAAAAACACATATAATCAGTATGACAGTATTTAATTGAATTGGAATTTTTATGTCTAGAGTAATGAACATTTCATACCACAGATATGCATGATGCCAGAAGTTTGGTATTAGCCATGCTTTCTCATAAATATTATGATCGTCCAAAAGTCGATGAAGTGCAAGCACATCATTTGTTCTGGGATCCTGAAAAGAAATTTTCATTTATACAAGTATGGAGATTGAATAATATTTGATAGTTTTTAATGCATGCATTCCAATTTCCAATTCAGTTAAAAAGCTAGAAGGCTGACATAGGCTCAGAATGAGAAATAGACTTAGCAGAAGAATCGCATACATTTCCCACAATATAATTTGATAATGCACTTATGGCTGCACATACTGTGAAGTTTACATGAGCCAGTAGTCGGAGCATTGACATTATAAATAGACATCCTAGAAACAATTCATAAACTGCCTCTCAAAATTAATCAAAAAACGTTTTTCAGTGGGAGATCTAAATATCAACTTGCTCGCAACATCTCATAACTATATTTCTTTAATTACCAATCCCACTCGAGTTACGCAAACTTCTTCGATACCTTTAGACCACATGTATAAAAACATGACAGATCTGAAAAGTAATTCCTATGTAATATCATCAGATATCACTGAAGGCATCAAACCATCGACCAGACATGATCTTATAATAACAAGAGATATGTCCGCATCGTCTATCGGCGCGTTTAGGTCTGATATACTGGACATAATAATGATCGATTCATCTCATTAGAGTTGAATTCTCATAATTTCGACTCTTCGAAGAATTCACACAATCTCTTGTTAGTATAATCAACCGTGATGCACCATTAAGACCAATGTCACGCCGCCAAACAAAGATCAATCAAAAACCTTGGGTATCCAAAGGAATACTAACTAACATTCGCCTAAGATGTATAAATCGCACTTCCTACAGGGTAATAACTCTCAGCGCTCACATTTTAAAAAATATCGCAATCCACTAACTCATGCCATTGATGATGCAAAACAAATGTATTAGAAAAGTCTGATTGCTCAAAACAAAGGTAACCAACCCCAATTCTACATGGAGAATCGTTAATCAAATAGTACCTACTAAAGATAAAATTTAAGGAAATTGTTAACGAAATTCATTTGGAAAATGGCATTGTTATCAAAAATAGTCATTTGATTGCACAAGAATTCAGCAAGTAGTTTTTCACTGTTGAATCCAGCCTTTCTAGCAAATTCTCTAATGATATGGATGACTTCAGAGTCTTACTTGGCAGCGAGTAAATCAATCCATATTTCTGAATCCTGCAGCAGAAAATGAATAAACATCGAAATAATAAGCTTGAAAGTTGGTAAAGCAGCTGGTGCTGACAAAATCTCCAGTCGATTCTATCTGTTCTTGACAAGGTATTCGAACGCCTAATTAATAGAAGGTTAATGAACTTTTTTGCGAAGCACGATGTAATAAATAAATCCCAGTTCGCCTCCCAACGCAAACACTCTACATCACATGCAATTTTGGATATGTTATCCCATATATGTGATAAATTAGAAAAAAAATAATATGTTAGTGCAACATTTCTGGATCTTGAAAAAGATTTTAAAACTGTAAATCACGAAATTTTTAATTTACCGGTATAAGCTGTGGCATTATGATATTATGGGGTAGTATATCTACTCTTCGCTAACTATTTGACTGATAGATCCCAATATGTATAAATTAGTACTTATTGCTCATCTTCCCTACCTGTAACCAACGGGTTCCCACAAGGTTCTTGTTCAGGGCCATCGCTATTTTTAATTTTTATTAATGACCTTGCCTGTAGCTCCATATTATTTTCAAATTTTTTTTCTGATGAAACAATCCTTCTCAATAGCGATAAGTTTCCGTATGTGTTCCAGGTCATAGTGAACACTGAAAGAGAAAATATTCCTATTGGGGGTACTATTCTCGAAGTCGGTAAGAATGCTTTAAAAGGTTCGTCGATACATGTCAATATAAACCTTAGGTATGGTTGAATTCGCCTTGTTCCAGTCTCATATCCAGTATGGTATTGAAGCCCGGGGTTCCGCAAGCAGGACCTTATTGCGACAAATCAAAGTTATGCAAATCAGGGCATTTCGGGCTATCACTAATTTCGAGCTTCGGTCAAAACTTCATCTCCACTGTCATAAGATACAATTGGTTAAAATTGTAGATATTTAAAACTTGAAGTTCTGAAAATTATGCACCAACATCATAATAACAAATTGCCTGTTGCATTCACTAGATATTTTGTGAAGCAAATTGCAATTCACTCATGTGCAACTCAGTCATCTGTCAATAACTCTTATTATGTGGTAATCAAAATTCCGTCAAGTTCATGGGTATAAAACTTTGGAATATGCTCCCCGTTACTGTTCGTTCCAAGAAATATAATTTATTTGAACAAGCGTTAATTTTTTTTAACTTGATGCATATATTTATCAATGATAGACCGGTTAATAGGCAAAATTTGAGGTTGCTTTTATTTGGTTATATCTCAGCAATTATTAGACCATGTGATTGTCTGATTGGCATTGTCAATATATTTTTTTTTACCTCGTAGAATATATGCAATAGCATTTTGTATGCATTATTGCGCAAAGTGCCTGTAGAGTGAATTTTTCAACTAAATTCTTGACAAACTATTTCTCTTGCATGAAATGTATTTATATATTACTCTACCGGTACTTAATCCAAGCCGACTTCCCCTGTAGTGATGGACGAGAGGCCGTGGTTCGCCATATGGATAAGCTGTCTTATCGGCTTTCCTCTCCCCCGGGATAAATATGTAAATCCTATCCTAAATCCTAGTGATTGCTGGGAATTCCCCTTCAGTTACCTCGGCTTTGCAGCGTCATGCTGGACAACAAAACTGACATATTTAATTACAGTAAATATGTCTTTTCTGACTGACCCGACACGAAGGATATTTCTTTCCCATTTGAACTATTCTCTCCCGACTCTTTCGAGTATATTCATATTTTTTGTTTAAACATTCTTTTTTTGTTTTACTTGCTCGATTCAATTTACATTTCCTAAATTTTCCTCTGAACGTATTTCAATTTAGTTAACTTATTTGGCATTTGGATTTTTTCTGTGTGATAAAATTTTTGTTCCTTCATTCACTTACCTTCCTTCTCTCATCTACCAAAAGAATAGGAAAATCGTACCATCAATAACAAAAATAATTTTCAACATTCAGAAATATATGTTAATTGATCCAATATTCTATATCAACCAACAATATTGTATGCTTTTTGGCAATACAATGCCTTGAAAAGTTTGTTGCTTCAATTTTTAACAGGATGTTTCAGATTACTCTATAGCAGATGGAAAGTTTGATGAAATGTCTCCCTTACTTGAGAAAAATAGCCAGGAAGTAATCGGTGAATCTTGGAGAGATACATTGTATGCTGTTTCATCTGTTGTTAAAGAAACATTCGAAAAAATGAAAAATAAAAAACAGAAAGATGGAGTCTTCGATCTTCTCAGGACGATAAGAAATTTGGTTGGTATATTGTACCATTTATTAAAATTATATGATATTTTTTTTTCAAGTTGGAATTTAGGCCAAAAGTGCTTGAAATAATGTTGATAATTTATTGAGCTTGTGTAATGTATAAAGCCAGCATGGAAATATGACATTTATTCAGAAACATCATTACCACGAAAAATCTGATGAATTTAAGCAAGCAGTTGGAGAAATACCTGATGGTCTTATGGAATTCTTTACTTCACTTTATCCCAAGCTATTGTCACATACTTATGACGCTGTGAAATCTAAGAGACAGGAGTATAATTTTGCAAAATATTATACCTTCACGTGGGTGTTTTGAATAATTTGCTATCATGGTATATGACAGATATGAATACACACTAACACACATAAAAAATATTATTTCAGAGAAAATTCTGGAATTAATTCGCAACGAAGTCCTTCGAGGCCAAGTACAGAAGAAGGTATGATTTTTATATTAATATCAACAAATTGGATTTACCCGTATATGAATTATTTTGAATACATTCAAAATTTGAACCAGTAGTTCTTTTTTTGAATCATAAATTGAGGACAATTTCTAGCATATGTATGAGGACATATGTATAATTTCAAGTATCATGACAATGAGGAGATATTGTGGAATGTCTTATTTTATATAATCATCCTAGGGATAATATTACTTCTGGGAAACCCTATTAATATGGCAACCTTGGCTTCTCTTCTGGTTACCTGTTTAGGTCAGGAATAGGAAAATTTGATCAGTTGAATATTCAATACGCATGACTAGTATGGTTACATATTACTCTGCATAATTGAGGATTTCGATAATCCTTTTTATGAAATATATTCTATGAAACCTATCTTTCATACTATTCTTGTTTCTTGAGTACCCAACCATTGCACACTATATTTGTTGGTGACATTTTTTGTTGTCTAATTTCTCAACAATTTTCAAGTCTACATGGCAATTCAAATGATTTATGTGATTCACAATATGTTTTATTTTTTTTTAGAAATCAAACAAGATTCAGTGCCTGATGCTAAACCTGAGGATTCAAACAACACCAACGTCAAAGAAGTAGTTCATAATGAGAATCCAAAGTTAGAAAAGTCCAGTAATTGCGAAAAACCAGAAAAATTGGTTTTACGTAACTATCAGAAAGAACTTGCCGAGCAAGCTTTACAAGGGAACAATTCTTTAATTGTGGCTCCCACAGGTGATGTAGACAATTTTATATTTTCAAAAATTGGTAAAATCTTACTATTATCACTATTGTTATCAATAATTCCATATATTTTCAATTCCTATCTGTAGTAATGACAGCTCGGATTTTCATTGAAATGCTCTCTAACGACAAAACTTCCAATTTTCTATTGGCAAATATTGTAGATGGTTTATAGCCTAGGTATTAAAAAAATAGTCTTTCATAATGCAATGGTATTCAAGTCTGCACTGTTTCAAAATTGGTTTTTATTATTTGCAATTGTAGTTGATTTAATAAAATAACAGCAAAAGGTCAAAATATCAAATGTTATTTACAATACTAAATTGCTGAAGGAGAACAAAGACCATATTTTCTTTTTCATAGTATTACTATATTCCATATTATATTTCAAAAAACTTGTTCCCTTTGTTTGATCAAACTATCGTTTCATCTTTTTACAAAGGTAGTGGAAAAACAGCAGTTTTGACTGAAATCACTAAGCACCATATAAGTGGCAAAGAAAACTCTCGAGTTATTTTCATGGTTCCTAAAACCGCTCTTGCTCATCAACAATATTTGTTTTTAAATAGGTAAAAATTAGGTTAATTATTTTTATAGCATGCATGATTTTTTCACTAAAATTTCACTCTAAAATGTTGACATGCCATATTTGTTCTAAAATTCCATGTTAAAACTGTCAATATAATAGTGTTGTAACAGAAAATATTGCATACCCTGTTTTTGAATTGCTCTTTCTCCCAGTGGAACTACTCTGATTAGAGCCTAGTACAGGATTTTTATCACGAAAGGCTTTTTTTGACTGTTATCTTAGTTCCGTTCATCCATCCTAAATTCATACCTTTTGATAGAAAGTTGATAGAATACCCATTCTAGCAATAATATTAGACTTCTTAGGACTATATTACTCAGAGTATGCATTCAGAGTAAAATATTTTTTTATGTGTTATTATTTACTTCAACCTGCAGAAGTGTAGTTTTTCATATCTTATTGCTTTTAAATTTTATAATAATGTATTTTTTAATTTGCAGATACTTGAATTGTGGATTGAGTTTCATTATTGGTGAAACTACTCCATTATCTCCACCTGGACAAAAAATTAAGGAAAATCAAGTGATTGTACTTACTCCACAAGTTTTAATCAATGAGTTAAAAAGGTATTTTATTTTGTTTTATTGGTAAATCTTCAAAGTATTTTCTCTATGTGACGTATATTTATTTATAAACACAGCCATGCTTAGTGAGTGACAAAGTTTAATTTTAATGATGAAAAGGTGACAATTATAGAAGTACATACATTACAACATTTACCTGGTTAACTCCATTGTGACAGACTTGCCTTATGAGAACACCATTTAAGCAACTATGAAAATCCTTTCTTTTTTCATTTTTAAATTAAATAACACATTTCCAGAAAAATATGGTTGCTTAATAATGCCTTGTGTTGTAACCATAAGAGCTTACAAGTTCTTGATTCTGCCAAGAGAGGATTATACAAATTAAGATAAACGGCATTTTCACAGAAAATCAGAGGAAAGTTTTGTATCATTCAAAGATATTTCTTTGCTTCTGTTTGATGAGTGTCATCACACCACAAAGAAGCATCCATATAGGGAAATAATGAATATGTTGTTGGATTTTCAAGCTTCAACTCCAAATGCCAATCAAATTCAGGTAACTAAGTCGAATCTGCTATTTTGTTTTCTAGCTTCCTTTATTATACTCCCTGAATTATTTTCTATCAAAATACATAAAAATGTGATAAATTTTTTTTTGATTTTCATTTATTGTATATTTATTCAAAAACAACAGATATTTGTTATGTGTTTATTATATAGAAAATTTATGAAAATGTTCTGCTTGGTATTTTTTGTAAATTTTATATTTTCGGTGGATAATCAAATTTTTTTTTGTGAAAAAGTCAAAATAAAAGCCTAGATAAGATTTTTAGCTAGACAACCTATATGGTATCAAAATAATGAATACCGGTACATGTATACGATTTGAAATAAAAGATAAATACTTATTATTAAGTAATAGTGAAGAGAAATGTCTCAGAGGCAATCGTCTTCATAAATAACTGGTTTTAAAAGTGATAATAAATATACATATGTTTTTATTTTGAAAAAGATTATTGGTGTGACGGCATCCCCTGGTGTTGGAAAAGCTAGAGACAGAGTTAAAGTTACTGAGAATCTTCTCAATCTTCTGGCAAACATGAACATCATGGTAGCACCTTCAATTGTTGAAAAGCATATTAATGAATTGAACAAACATCAAAATATTATAAAAGAATGTGAGTACATAAAATATATGGCATTTATAATTGACAGATGGGGGTGTTTGTTGAAATTTCTCTCCTATTCATTTTTGTGACAAATTATATGAGATGACTCAATCACAGCCTCTCGCCTAGTTGGCATTCCAGGTTGATAATGCAGATAGTCAATTTACCAGTTTATCATTTTAGATCAGCGGTTCTCAAACTTTTGAAGCTGTGCCCCTTTTGAGCCAGCCCCCTTTTAATAAGCTACAAATAACAGAGTAAAACGAAAGTATGTTTTATTCCAAAATCACGTTGTAAATACGTGAATGGAACGGATAATGAAGATACAAGCACAGCAGCTTTCTGCAATCTCTAAAAAATAATGAAATGTAAATATCCAAAATAAGATCAAATCTAGCATATGTTTTTGTTTTTACCTGGCTCCACGCCCCTTCACAAAATTGTTTATGCCCTCGCGTGGGGCACGGCACACCATTCAGAACCACTGCTTTAAATACATAGGCTTCAATTGTTGGAAAATATTATATTATATCAGCGCATGATCATCCCCACAAGATTTAATTCCTCAAACTTTTTTTCAAGTTTATGTCCGTAAGTTACAGAATTAATCAAGGAAACAATCCAAGGGATACTGTTTTAATGAGTCAGTAATCACTTCCAAAAACATTCATTCATTGTGGTATAACATATCTTACTATTAGCAACAAGATCTTCAATATTTCAGATATCAGACAAATTCAAACAGAATCTGAATTTGGAAAGTCAGTCATGGATGTAATGGAAACAATTGAAAATAAAGTGAAAGAACTTAATAGAAAGAATGATGGTAAGTTTCGTTTATGTGATTTTGTTCAATAACAACTGTTTTTAATAGGGCACAGTGCGATATTTACTTGTTATTTTGTAAATACTGGGTAGTGGTTGTCTCCGTACCCAGTTAACCATTATCTGAATGCCATTTTAATCAAGCAGTCCACCAATCTTTTTGTATGTATTTTTTTGTTAATAAGTCTATTCCATTTATTATTCATCGATATAAATGCTGTTCAGTGTAATAACATAGTTTTGTGTATACAGAATATGTTTCATAGTGGATGGATTTCTGCTAGCATAAGGAATAGAACATGGAAGGACATAAATTGCAGAGTGCTTGGCAAAGGAATAAAAAGCTTTTAGATTCTTTCACTGCAGGGTTTAACTGATGAACCAACTGTCGATGATACAGAATCTTCTCAAGAATATCCACAGAATGTTCTACTTTTAGCTATTCATACACCATCATTTTGATGTGGCCATACCATCCACTTGACCAACTGTTTTTTTTTTCTCATGGTAAAATTGTATTTAATAACAAACCACGGCATACTTCTTTTATATAATTTGTTTGAATAGTTTATAACTCTTGTATACTTATTTATAATCATTTAATTTCAGCTCTTCATTTGAATAAATCTCCCATGGACAAGTCAAAACAATCTTATGAAAATTGGACAAGTAGTTTGGTTCAATTCGGAAAGCTTCATATGCGTGATCAAGATGCAGCCAGAATATTGATAACTTATGCAGAACACTTGAAGGTATTAAAAAATTCGCATTTTCAACATTTTTTATCTGTTTTTTAAAGTAGTTAGCAATATTTCAAATTTTGGCCCTAATTTATTTTAGGAAATGATTTGTAGCATACTTGGATATTTAAGCTTGGAAGTGGCACATGTATAAAATTGATGTTACCTGTAAGCTATGGTTACTCATGGTTAATACGCACCTTTCAGATTTTATTGAACTAAAGCATTCGTTCAGTTATATGCTTAAAACTATTTACATGGTTTTGTCTACTATAATTTGTATTATCGGCCTTATATTAAGCAAAGAAGCCTAAAGAAAAAGTTGCTTTCACAAACAATAGTCAATTCTCTAGTCTAAAACCTGCAATTGATGTGAATCAGTCAAATGTATGGTACTCCAGTTGTGTTTGTACCAGGTTAGAGTTAGGGCATGATTTTATCCCGATTTTCCTTATTTTGGTTCTATCACAAGTTCGGGACTGTCTGTGTCAACCAAGTGAATATACCCCATGTCCATAGGTTTTCGTCCTTTTACACAATTTGATGTAAAGTAGGCAAACAAAATTAGTTACCTCCATATTGGTACGCACGCCTGGATCGCCAGATGTATTACAACAGTATCGTTAAAATAAGATTCCCATTTCAGATGTATAATTGTTTACTTCAACTGAAAGATCTTGTACCAAATGCTATGGATCACACCAACAAAATGGTGACATTTCGAAATGAGGGATTTGAAAATAAAAAACTGCTTGAACAAAATCAAGGTAATTTACAGTTACAAAACACATTGTAAATATGTAGATGAAACTTCAAATACTGAATAAAGAACTGTAAATATCCAAAATAAAGCGAGCAAGATTAAATCTAACGAATATTTTCATTTTCAATTAACTTCACGCCTCTTCAGAAAATAGTCTAAGCCCCACCCCCCTTGTGAGGTATGCCTCACTGTTTGAGAAACACTGGTCTAAACGAATATCTCACCAAATTATAATCATGCATGTACTGCATCGCTTATTCATGATGCTATTATAAAAAATCAACTACAGACTGATTTCCTGTGTCTTACATTGTTTGATTTGTTGAATGAGTCATTCAATGTTATTATTATGAACCACCTGATGCATACAACTCTTTCTATGGGAGAGTTTATTAAAAACATTGAGGCTGGTTTTTCAGATTCCTATTTTCTTTGACAATCATGAATCAAATTAACACAAATATTTTCTTGTTTTATGTTAGAATTAATAATGCAAGCCAACAACATCAGAGTTCCTATGTTGGAATGTCTTTCTGAACTTTTGAGAGGTGAATTTGATAAAAACAAAGATGCACGGTGCATCATATTTGTTAAAAGAAAATTGACTGCCAGGAGTCTGGAAGAATGTTTTGCTAATGATGATAAGCTGGCTTTTCTCAATGCAAAATTTATGATTGGTGCTCATGATAGTGATGCAATAGAACCTGATGGTAAATATTTTTGACTAATGCCATTATTAGTTAATGTATTTTAAAGAATGGGCAAGTACAGTTCTTGTCATGTTTCAGCAACTTGCAACATTTTATTTGCATTGCAGCTATGACTAAAGTTGCCCAACAACAGATTGTGGGGTTGTTTCATGAAGGGAAGGTTAAAGTTATTATAGCAACATCAGTAGCAGAAGAAGGTCTCAACATTCCAAAATGTAATTTGGTTGTTATGTATAATTATGTGACTGGTGAGGTTGGCACAGTACAAAGAATGGGTAAGTACTGCATAACGTTTTAATACATATTGTAAAAAGCAGTAATATATGGCACACTCATTGCTGTGAAAATCATTGCGTTCTAATTTATTCGAAATATTTTAATTTTTTACTTTATCATATGTTGAGCCATATCATCTCATGATAACCAAGATATAAAGATGCATAATATTTTTTTTGGATGAAACTGCTTATTTTTTCAACTAATTAAAAATTTCTTTGAGACTCGAATTCAAGCATCGGCCATAATGGCATCTTTGGTATAGTATGGATGCGTTTTCCACATTCAGTGAATACCATAACCCAATACAGCAATGTGGACCACAAGTTTGATAAAATCAATTGAAATCCATATGCTTGAAAAATTTTTAAGAAATATTAAAATTTTGGACAAAATGACAGGCTTGAGGCCACCCACAGAGAATATGGGAAATGAAAGGTCTCGAGTCTTCTAGAAAACACTTCCTTCCAACTGCAAGCATTTGGTCTAGTTGTTCAAAAGAAGTGTTTGCTTTGTTCCAGCAACAACAGCATGGAAAACGATTTATAATCACTTTGTGTCCATATCTATCTACACAGGGGTTTAACAGTAAACAGCATTGTGGGCAAGACACGTACTTGTGCCAGCCTGGAGCCAATCCAACCAACTTTGCAACACAACATGCTGTTTACTGTCCAAAATAGACTGGGCCAGAGATAACGAACCACTGACCAGCGGTTTACAAAGTGATCATTTTCAATTTCTTTGTCATTATGAGTTAAACAATTAATTCCAATGATGCAATATGGTGCTCTGACTGAGTTTTTTTCTCAAGCATTATCAAGTTCCAGTCCAGTCCAGCAATCTTCTCACTCACAATTATCCCCACGTGGGATTTAATTCTGTGAACCCACGCAGGGTCATCAGAGACACAGGCCGACCTAGTCTATCAACGGTCTGAAAATAATGCATCTTTGGATATTCCATGATATTGAGCACCATCTCTTCATTATGGTTTTCCTTGTAGTTTAGTTGTAGTTTTGTGGTATAAACTTGAAGTTTATGATCCAATACCTCTTGAGATTGTTTATCAAAAATTTCTATCATTCCAACACGACGATCGTTCTCTGTTTCATCATACTATCTAACCTTCTGAGAATATTCCGGCTTTTCTGCCACCATATTATCCTCTTACTCTAGAGCAGTGTTACTGTTATCGTCGATCTTGCATAAATCGGTTCTAGTTGTCATACTAGCTTGTTTAATCTTATCGGTTCAAGTTCCAGCATTTGCAATCCCATTACTTTCTAATTTACCCCCATTGGTAGTTTTTTGCACCAATGCCTTGTGTACTTGTAGCGTTCTCAAAATTAGACATTACATCCATAACCATGAGGTCAAGTAGTGACGTCGTTGTCAGTTGTCACATACTTCCTAATTGGGAAACACCAGTAAAACATGAGCCAAATATTCTGCATTCATAGCCATTTTTTTCATCTTTTATTCATTACTCCATCTGTGTGAACAACTGTTACTATTTGATTCTGAATATAATGAAAGTAAGTGACGAGCCAAACTGTTCATCCGCTTCCATTTACTTCTACTGTTCGGCCTTATGATTTCAATATTGTTGGTATGGACCCCGACTTCGGTGAGGTACATGGGACTGTGGTTTACTGCCCTGTGACTATAGCTTCCGTCCAGCCTCTCTATGTTTTTAACGAAGGCAAATGCATCTGACCAAATTGTAGTTCCTCTCAGAATGTGTTAATCTCGTTATTAATTCTTTCGTGATAGTTGCTGTATGTCCCGGTTCCGATACTATTTTAATAAAACTTCTCTTGTGGATTGGTCTGTACCTTCAAATAGCCATTGTGACTCTCTAGGCTAGGGTGTCCTTGAGCATTATTTTTATGCTACCTGCATTTCATCTATTAAAACTATGTGTCACTTTGGTGAGGCTTTTTACAACGCCATCTATAACTATCCTCTTCACTTGCTTTAGTATTTTTGCCAAAAGTTGATACCGGTACTCCTTCAAAAATGTTATACATTCGTGCACATCAGTCACATACTTCGGGAGCGCCAAAATTTCTTTGTCAAGTCATAGTGGGGTTTGCTTTTCCTGGTGTTATTGGACGATTATTGTATAATCCATGCATTTATTGTAATTTTGTATCAGGCACTCTTTCGTGCCTTGTTTTGAATTCTTACCTATTTCTTCAGTCAATTCTCATAATATTATAAAAAAAAAAAATGGTAAAATTACTCTGCTTGCACACAGTGGATGTTAGTCATCGCAGCTTCTCAAGCAATTCATTTCATGAGTCATTACTATTGCGGGTTATTTGAGTAGCTATGATCCCCAAATTTCATAAACTTAAATTAACGACTAAAGAAATCTGAAATAACAATGAAGCAGGGCAGCAGTAACTTCAATGTGGTTAGAAGCCGATCGGATAATATAAAAATTTTGCAGTGGAACTGAAACACATGAATATATTTTCCGTATAAACGTATGCATGTGTATCTGTTTTGTTGTGCGTAAATTTCATAAAATTGAGTACCAGAAATCGATGTAAGTGCTGCAGCTCAACTACAAAATACAACCAAGAATTATAAGATTTTCAGAGAAGATGCTATAGCAAGTATCTAATTGCTGCAGACATTGATATTTATGTACGTCCACCGTCCACTATTCGATAATGAAAGTGTATTTTTTGACCCATTCATTACAAAAGATTCACCATTCCTGAACCTCTATTTTGGGTTTCTGTATAATCATTTTGTTAAGACATGTTTTTGTGTAAATATTGTCACTTTCTTCCTCCAGGAAGAATAAGGGCTGCTGATGGCCGAGCAATATTGCTCACATGCATGGACAGCAAGCATGTATATATGGAGCAAAACAATAAAATTTGTGCCATGGCTTCTGATCAGGCTATTGCTGATGTGAGAAAAATCCCAGTTGCTGAATTGCAACAAAAGGTATGATATCTTGATTTGTTCGAAATGTCATGAAGAAATGTAATAAATGGCACTACATAACAGCCACTCTGACTGTGCTTCAATTACAGTCACTGTTTTCAGCTTTTGATCTTTTGTATTATTGAATTTTATGCGAAAATTCCTTCTCAATGATAATTTCGAGTAAAAATTTCTTTGTCAAATCATAGTGGGGTTTTCTTTTCCTGGTGTTATTTTATATCAGGGACAATTATTGTATAATTCATTTAAATGATTTTTGTACGAATTTTCTATACCTGCATAATTACAAGCAAACCTCGGATTATGGGAAAAACCTTAAGATGTCGAAATCTATAATAATTGCATTGTATTGTAATGGTGGCAAGTGTTAAGTTTCGTATTTTTACAATATATCCTTTAATGTTATGCATGAAGGTTATGCTATACAAAATGATCATGTTATTTTATTGAATGCAGTGCTGGTGCATCTTCCATTCTTTGAATGACACTTTACTATTTTTAGTATCAATTACACAAAACTTGTAAGTTAACAAAAAATAATGTGACTATTTTCCCCTATAATACAAATATTCATATTCATGCTCATTCTTTTTTCGTTATTTTTCTTCAGATTAAAAACATTCAAATCAAGCAAAGAGAAGAAAGAAAGCGTAAAAAAGAGTTTGCATTGAAAGCAAACAAGAATGACCCACCATCAAAATGGGAAATTCTATGCGGAAAATGTAAAAATTTCCTAACAACTGGAGATAAACTTCGTCACATTGACGAAACGGTAGACCTCTTGATTGTTGTACCCATTTAGGGGATATTCTATACAAATTTCAATCACAAGCTAATGTTGTTGGAAAGACAACATAGTGAAAATTGTACTAAACTAAATTATTTCTTTTGCAGCACGTTGTTGTGAAAGATCCTGGATTTGAATCTAAAGTCACCAAAGTACTGAAGGAGCAGAAAAAGGGACCCAGTGTATATGGAACAGCAGATTTTAACTGCAATAATCCGAAATGCGGGTAAGGATGATAACTCATATTTCATCCAATATCATACCTAAAAATGGAAGTGAAGGAATATTAATAAATATTTAACTAACCCTTTTTTTGTACGAACTATTCTTCTTCAAAACTCAGTTGAGTATGTATATATAAATAAGGGGACATGTGTCATGGTTTCAGCAATATGCATATTTACATATAAAAAAATTGGATGGATCTCCTGTTAAAAACCACTGGGGTATTTAGTTTATAGTTAAACAGTTGTGACACTGCATAAGCGAATGTCATGTTACTGGAAGAAACTTGTAAGGTTTTAATGTAATGTGAAAGCAGAAATTTTTAATATTAAGAACAAATTTCCCTCATTTACAGGATAAAAGTTGCCCTGGAGATGGTTCATGAGAAAAGTCATTATCCGGTTTTTTCAATTAAAAAGATCATTTGTAGAAGAGAGGGAGGAAGATTAGTTGACCCTAAAAAGAGAAGCCTCCTGCCATTTACTATTGATCGAAGTATTCATGAATCAGAAGATGAAAAAGAATATGAGAAGATTGTTCGCGAAGATAATATGTTGACAGAAGAATTGGATCTTGATGAGAATTATACGACAGAAATGCTAGAAACCATTAATAAAACTTCATGATGCCAGAAGAATAAATAGGATCAACAACATACTTGAATATTTTAAGCTATTGTCAGTTCGCATTGTGACAACTGATTTGACGAACAGGTAAACTGTTTTAAGTGAAAAAGAGTCATCGTTTTACTCCTATCAATTTACAAATAGAATTCAATTACAAAAGTATTCATCCAGCGATCACTCAGTCTCAACGATGTGACACATCGCTGACAATTTTCAAAAAAAAAATATCTCTTTTATTAGTCTAGGTGACTTAGTAGGTCTCCTTTTATTATGATACCAATTTTTATTGGCCTTTGTAAATTTGTATTATTTTACTGTTAAATTGAAAATATGTTTGTTACATTATCACAATGCGGTAATACAGATTTGCTCGAGTTATTCAATAAATCACTGATATACATTAATAAAATGACAAACAATTTTACTGATGTATTAACATAGCAAAATATTGTGTGTACTGTGCACCAAAAATTATGACATTATCATTCACAAGACACAAAAATGTCTTTGATTTTTTAAAACATTGCTTATTCTAGTATATGATTCATATTTTTCATAATATTAAATATTGAAAAAAACATTATTTATGCACATGTAACCCCATGTATATATCAACTATGACTACTATTTTTTTTATTCTAGAATATGTTCATTTATAAAGATTATCAAGTTTCATGTCATAATGTGCTTCAATTACAGTCACTGTCTTTCGTTTTTGATATTTTATAAGAAAGTTCCTGTTGAAAGATCATTTGGAGTAAAAATTTCATTGTCAAGTCGTATTGGGGTTTGTTTGCTTTTCCAGGTGTTATTGGACGATCATTGTATAATTCATCCATTTTCCTAGTCTCTATATAGATTATGTTTTTTATTCTCATTTTGTATTAGCGTAGGCATAGCCTTATTATAATGTCCTTGATGCAGACAGATTCGTATCATTAGCTATGCATGTGCAGTAACTCTCTTCATCATCGTGGGAGCCCTCAATTTCGATCTTGTTTGTCGTTTTTCAGAGTTGAAACAAGACTATCATTTTGTTCGTTTCAAATTTAAAGCAGTATAAAAGCTGGTTATCATAGTATCACTCACTTCCTTTAGCATGATATGTCGAACTAAGTAATGGTAATATTTCATTTGTAATTCTTGTATGTGGGAGTGTATGTAATAGAGTGTGCTTTATTATCATAATGTCCTCTTTATAGGTTGATGAGCACCGATGCATGACTGTTACAATTATACATATATCTATATATATATATATATATATATACCCTAAATAAAAACTTTTGGTATACCATTCGTTGTAGTTCGTGTTTGAGTTGCAGAAATTGATACATCTAGGCCTGGGAGTTTTGATTGTTGGCTGGTGAAGTGCCGTTTGTTTCAAACACACTGCATTATGTTTCAGTTTGTGTATAACAGAGAGGACACCATGGCGAAATATAGTTTATCGAGACCTCATTGTACATAGATTGTTATTATAGGACTTGAACCGAATAAAATGGAGTTTACACCTGCAGCAGACGCGTATCACGAGCGTTAGCAAACCGGACATCGGGAGCATTTGTATAAAATGTGGAGTTGTAAAACATTCGAAAATATGTCAGTTTTCGACAATGCTACCGAAATTGTCAAATATCCAACTGAAATATCGAGAGTGCGACAAGTTAACTAATTTGCATAATAATTTATTGATTTTCAATAATTATATATAAAAAAAAAGTTAAAACTAATAATGCTTATCGCGTAATTCACTGTGACACTCACAGAGTGTCCGTCACAAAATGGTATCTGGGCACATTCCCTCTTTCGAAGCACTCCATAGAAAAAATCTGTGGTTGTTCATGGCGAGATGCAGGAACTCCAATAACATCCTATTACAATCATTATTTGATTCGCAGATACTTTTTGTGGCGGGCTATCTTGGATTCTCCACTCCACTTTAGGCCTCTTAGATTACTGTATTAACTCTTTTTTGAGATCTACTGTGAATCTGATTGTCGTATCAGGCATTTTTTGTATTTATTGCGTTATTTTTGTTTTTGCTCATATTCATTTGTTTGTGTTATTTTTATATGGAGCGCTGCAGTCTGGAGTAATAAATGAATTGAATAACCCTAATCCTAAAGTTGCAGAAGTGTCGAAAATTAATACCAAATGCGGAAATGTAGAAATTCGACATGTCGACAGTTTTCGATCCGAAATATGGACGTTTGGCTAATGCAGCATTCATTTACCTTACAATTTATTACATGCTTTTTACCTTACTCGGATAATTTCCATAACAGCATCCTGGGATAAAGACGGGATAATGTTTCCACCAGAGGCCGTAGTTCGCCATATGGTTGAGCCGTCTTATCGGCTTTCCTCTCCCCCGGAATAAATACGTACATTTTACCTTATCCTTATCCTTACATATAAAGTGTTTATATGAAACATAGCCTACATTCATCATCTCGAAATCTCAACAACACGAAATGTGTTGCTTCATTGATTTAATTGGGATTGTATGTTGTTTTTGAGGGTTTTACGGTGGGAAAAAACCTTAAGTCGGCGATAATATTCCACCGAGTAAATTTAGGTCAAAATAATGGATTAAATATACCTTACATTACCGTAATTACGGTATTATTGTAGCCAATTAGTTGTTATGTAACTACAAAACTACACCAAATTGGCCCAATTCGTGAGAAACTCATGATCACCAACTAATAGACACACAAATGCGGCAACTTCAAATATGATAATCACAGCATTGAAATTCCAGATTCACCGCGCGAGAATGTCGATTTATTTAAACTAACCTGATGAGAGGGAGATGCTCGAGAATGTCGATTTAATTAAACTAACCTGATGAGAAGGAGATGCTATCGCCTATCGCCGAAGGTATTCTATTGTCCGGATTTAATAATAAGGCGACACCAAAAAAATGAAAATGATCATACTCGCCTCATAAGATTCGCCCAAAATCAGGCAAAAAATTTGGGTCTAGAAAAGCGACTTATTCGCCGGGAAATACAGTAGTTGTTATCATTTTTATTCTTACGATGTTATACTGTTATATTATTTTGGTTCACGAAAAAATGAAATCACTCCCTCCCTCTCACCAGAAAGCACCAACGCGGTACCGCCACAAGATGCGCTATTTTTATTTTCTTTACGTCATCGCGATCGCACACAAACAAACAAATCCCATTGCATAGAGCTGTGTAACCCACAAAAGGTTTGGATTTGCCACCGTTGCGTTTTACCTTCTACAACTCGGAGAACATTTTGTTTTGTCATATTAAGTCTTCTATTATATACCGTATATTTATACAATGCCAAAATTTAGACAATTGAAAGACAATTAATTATTATGTTATTGTAGTCTACAGGCCAATACAGCAAGGGTTCTTCAAACCATTGAAATATTTTTGTTTTTTATTTGAATTATCGATGGTACATTTGCCAGTAAGCCTGGCCCCTTTGCGCAGGGGGTCAAAAACGGTATGTAAGAATGGTGAAAGAAAAAATTAAAAGTGGGGAGGTCAAAAACAGATGTAACAAGAGTGGATGTAGAAGGGTGTTGGAACACAGACTTAGTTTAGAAAGTCATAGGAATGATAACAAATACCGTATGTTAATAGTCTATATTATGCCAAAGTTTTGTACATAAATACATCAGCCCTAGGTAGACTACCGGTACTCTGGTACTGAAAAATGAAAGATAAGATTGTTTTAACTTAATTTATTACTAATAGTAATAGTGTGAATTATTTATTTGCTAATTGTCATTTTTGTTTTTCATGTAACTATTGTACATTTATGACCATAATATCTTGAATATTTGATAATATTAAACAACTGGATAATTATTATTTGAAAAAATTGGATAGTACCGGTACTGCTGTACTGACACCACTGTGAAGTGACTCTCACGGTGACCTTTGTGTGCAATCAAGCGAAAAGTTCAAATATCATATCAGACAGCACGGAAGCAGATAAAGTTTGAGAGTTATGGAGTATTTTTACACAAATTGTCATAAATATAGCAATTATTGGATGCTTTGACATTCAAGGCATAATTTTGGTTAAATTCCTACGGTACTTTATTTCTGTGCTAGTTTGATCTCCATTGACTGACTGAAGAAATCTCATATTAAAATATTAATAGATCATGATAGTTATTTAATAGACTATTTACAATGCAACAACCTTTGATATCTGCTCAAGACAAAAAAGACTTGGATAAATTCTCAAAGTTTCTATGTGTGAAAACAGCACAAGTTATTGTTCAGGGTCGACTTGGAAAATCGATATCATCACAGTGCAGTCCATTGCCAACTGGTGCAGAATGGGTAAACTATATTACAATTAAGTTTTTCAAATACTGATAAATATTTTGAAATGCGAAATTGATCAAATGGCTTATTGATATTTTATCAAAGGTCGGCAACCTTTAGCATTGAAAGACCCATTTGGCATCATTTCATCAAACTCAAATCTACTTGGACTTGGATTCGCAACATATACTTTAATGCCAGTGGTTATTAAAACTTACAGAAAACTGCTTATGATGCATTAATCTAGTTCTTACTAGGAAGTGCGTTTTGAAAACATACGACCCATTTTTTATATTTCAGGAACCGCTGTAACGTGTAATTATTCGGCTTCTCCCCTTCTCTTTCAATAAATCCCAATGCCTCTAACATAAAACTGCTGTAATCATTTTACTTCGCGGGAGCCAGGGCTTTTTTAGTAGGATATAAATTTTATCTGTTTTTTTATTCCTTTCCTCATTGATTCCATTTTTCTCTCTTTAGTTCAATCTTGCGATTAAAGATTATCCTGAAATACAAAAAGAAGCGAAGTACGCATTAATTGAAGGAAATCCCACTTTTGATTCGAGTTTTATTATTGAAATTTCACTGAGAACAAGCGATTCTGAATCGCTTACCCTGGAGGTCTGGTCTTTGAGTGTGAAAAGGAAGTATGTTCATTGTTTTTAAGCCTTAATGTAAAAGTTCACTGATCTGATGCCAAAGTTTTTCAGTAAACTTATGCTATTCATGTAGTGTATGAATCCACTGGGGATTAGTTAAATTATTAATCATTCGTCTATGCTATTCCACTCATGAAATTTCATAATTTCGTTATTTAATTGACAATTATATTTCAGAAAAGCATTGAAATGCTGCCAGATCAAACAAAATTTATTTTGAATTATCACGATTATCTTTTTAGTTTTTTTTACTATATTGTTTGAGTATTCTTTAATTAAGGAAGTTTTGTGAGACTGTTCTTTAGATGGTTACTACAGATATCAGTAAAACATTTAATCTTCATATTAACAGAAATATTGTAATATTGTTATTGTTTTTCTACAACTAATCTAGGTATGAAGATGTCCGAATTCATCATACTGTTTACAACAGAATGTCCCTTTTATTGAAATCCCTTATGTGTGTTTCTCGTGCAACACCAGCATATAAACTATCACAAAAACAGGGATCCGAATATGTCATTTGCTTCAGGTTGGATTTTATATTGTCATTCCCACTGAAAAGAAATAGCATAGTCATGTTATTCTGTTCGTTAATCCGTATTGGAAATAATTTATTTTTATATAATAAGTCTTAATGTATGTATGTTTCAACACATATTTCAACATATGTTTCACATGGACTGCTATTTCGGCGAGAAATTGGTTAATGATTTCAGGTATCCATTTATAAATTATAATTTATTTATATTAAGAATTTATGAATTCAAATTCATAATCCATTTATAATAAAAGTCTTGATAATAATACTTTTTATTTGGTGAATAAATATACGAAAATTTGGAATTTATATATGAAAATTTTATAGAGTTTACATGGGAAAAGTTGATATCAGTGGACTTGGTGAAGGTTTTAAAACCCTGCGTGTTGGTTCAATCGGAACTCCAACTGGTACATTGATGTTGTCTGCAGCTTTTCGTACAGCTGAAAATTTGCATGTGTCAACAAAGAAATTGTAAGATTTTTGTTAAATCTTTAAATTGAATGTAATATTTCAACTTGCAAGATTTTTGGACACAAAATTCACATACAGATCGTTTGGCTAAATTCTTGGTATTGGTGTTCAAAAATTTGCTATTATTCAATGGATCAATCTATTTTAAATTTTTCGATACTTGAAGATGGAAGAAAATTGCTAGAAGGCTATTACTTGTATTCTATGTTTCAATCTCTTATAATAGGTCCCAGTATTTCACCAAGAATCTCACTCCACATTAGTGCTTCCCAACTTTTTCAATTCGCCACCCACTTCTATTGCCATTTTTCCCGTTCGACCCACAATGAGCTTTTAATATATGGAAAGGAAGCAATGTATCCCCATGCAATTTACTATTAATGCGAAACTTGAGCTTGCATGTTAGATATTATCAGATCAAGGCGAGGCATTTTTTGGCTCAGTCATTGCCTGCCTTAATGCAACCACATTTGTAATCAGTCATATTTTCTCACTACAAATTTTCAAGCTTCCCTTTTTTTTTACTTCATTATTTTTTTTTAATTATCCATTTTGATGCCTACAAGAACCAAACAAAGTTGGGGCGTTAAAATAAAATATATTATCCCTGTTAAGTGTTAAGCCATTATTTAATATGGAACTGTTGAACATAAGATTACTAATTTCTTAAACAGACATCGTTGTTGCTGTCTACACAAATTCAAGAAATTACTAATCTGCCTAGTAGCCTACCCACAGGCCACAGTTTCCAACTGCAATTATTAACGGGACACGGCGCATAGTTCTAATTGTTGCACTGTTTCATATTTGTTATATAATGATAATGCCACAATTTCTTGATCTAATTGAAAACTGTATGTAACATTTGCATGCTATTAGATAAAGGAAACTTTTGTGTTTTTTCTTGTTGTGCAAATTTCTTCTTTGAACACTTCCCGTGTATACTAGTATTTTTAGGGAAATTTCTTCAATCTTTTAAATTTTTGACTTGAAAAGTTGCCAAGTTCAGATTAGAATGGATATGATTGAAAAATAGCTCTAAGTGGTGAGATAACACATTGCTCTTAAATCTGGTGAATAACATCATCTAATTCTAATCAGACATCCTGGAACTGGAGACCTTATGAAGGTCAGTCCTGATCATTTTACTTCACCCAAGAATGCTACTTTGTCACCAGCACGACCTTGTCATACGCTGCAGTCACGTATAATGAGGTAAGTATAAATAAGTTCAATTATGAACCTAAGTTTTTTTTTTGATAATTACTCTTTATAATCTTATCTTTTTTAACAATACACTGATAAAATTACTTATCACATCCTATTGTTTATTGACTCCTCAATATTCGAGATAATACTAATATTGAATTTATTTTGCAACCCACAGTTCAGGAACCACTGATTCAGACAACGCATTTCAGTTTCGGTTCTAAATACACAATTTAATTTAGTTCTAGAGATATGGATGGAGAATCACCAACTGGTCATCCTATAGAGTCACCTTCATATGGTGTTTTACCAACATCATTCTCAACATCACCTGGTGAACTTGGTTTAGGAATGTCACAACATAAGTTTCCTGGTGATATGGCTGTAAGAACTATTAAATACTTATAATTTGTCGCTGTCCAACATGTATTGTTTTTGTTCCTTAGTAAACCTAATTTTATGAGATAACAAAATACTGTCACTCTCCTGTCTTCATCATTCAAAATAAATTAAAGCGATAAATTGCTAATAATATGTTCAGATTGGGTGACAGCACATTTGAACCCAAACATTTGCACCCGTATATCCGCGGGTTCAATCTATACAAGGGTGCTAAAATCTATGGGTTAGTATGGGTTCAAATGTTCGTAGGTGCAAATTTCCATGGGTGCAATAGTATTCAGGTACAATTGTCCTGGGTTGGAACCTTCATATTGTTATGTTTATTATGTTGTATTAAATTATATAATAAAGTTTGTGGGCCGAGTGGGTAAAGCATTAGAATTGTTAAACTATGAAGGCATCACAGCCCAGGCTCACCGCACACTGGGGGCAATAAATTTGGAAGGCAATGGCAAATCAAAAAGATTTCGGTCTTTCCGAACTATTGTAGCTCCTTTCCTTGCGGGAGCTGCCTGTGCGTAGCCTCGTTCTGCGAAAAATGCATATAAATAGTAAATACATCATATCGAGAAAATTGTGTTTTTCAACAGGGTGCAATATTCAGTGTCGGCACACCACCGACACAAAATTCAACAATGAAATCAAAAACTACTTCATCTCATTCTGTGGATCACAGACGACATAATGATTATCTTCGGGACAGAGAGGGAAAACAAATTCATACCTGCAGAATACAACAACAGACTTTTATTCATTCTCAATCGGAAAAGAACTTTTCTGACCCAATAGATGATGGAACAAGGTAAATAATTCAACATAAACTGAGTTTTGTTAGTATTTCTTTTCCGCCAATGCTTTCAGCTATTACATTAAGCCAAATTTTGATATACAAGCTTTATTATCGCTCTGGTCTGAACAGTGCCCGGTATAAACCACCACTTTTATGATATAAGCTACTCTTTTTGGTAGGACTGAAATCTTTGCGATTTGACATTGCCTACACTACACAGTTTATTACAATCTGGGTGAGGTGATGGGTATGGGATTTGAACTTGATGTGTAGCCTGAAATACCAACACAATCTGAGTATTGTTTAATTGCCAAACCTTTTCGCCCATTAATCCCAATTATGTTTGAATTTATAGTTACTGATGCATACTCTCTGAAATTAAACTTACCTATTCCAGTGTAGCTCTACAAGTCACCCCCGATGCTTTGAAAAGTTGGTAGTTCAGTAATTTGCTAAAAAAAAAATATTACGGTGAATTGAAAACTGTGTGCCCTATTTCTCTAAAATAGGGAAAGTTGCCATGTGTTGCATTGAGGAATACACTTGTAACGATAAACAAATCAAAATTTTGTATTATCTCAAGCATATACAAAATATTTGTAGTTATTGTTTGGAGGTTAAATTATTCGAGATGCAAAGTACCATATCTTATTACCTTAGATTACTTCACTTTTCATCATTTTTACAGAACATCGCAACAGCAGAATGTTCATCATATGCAGGGTGAGTATCAAATAGAAACTGATTTAATTATTTTTCTAGATTCAGTTGTTAGAAAATAATGTAAAATGAATAATTAGTTCAAATTATGGTCTATTTGTAATAAAACGTTTCTCTCTTACTATGTTTTGATGTTCTTCCCTCGCAATAGCATAGGTAAGTCTAATGAAAGTCCACATGATAACTTGATATCAATGCATGAATCGTGTTCAGCAGGAGTGCGCAACCTCAATACAGGAGGGCCGAATACAAACTGGGTGAAACTGTGGGTCGCAATTTAAAATAGGATTTCTAGTAGTTGCAGGCACAAAACTTTTGGTTCAATAATTGTATGACATGAGTCGTACGCCATTTTAATTTCATTGGCATAGATAATAAATTGGACTCAGGTATAGGCTTTGCAACGCAAAGGAATTGGAATTACTTGCACCTACCAGATTAAACTAAATAAAAAACTTGTTTCCCTGGCCGCACACCATTTAAAATTGGCACTTGGCTGTGGGCCGCACAATTTTTCCTCGTGGGCCATTCATTGATGTGCTTACTATTCTTGTTTTAATAGGTTCAAGCAATCGTCGTAGAACTACTTCATCCAGTGTACCGAAAGACAACACTTCATCCGATATCCTAATGGACAAAAGAAATGTATTTAAACCTATAACAGATGATTCATTCAATGAAAACTCTTCAAGATCATCATCAAATCATAGAAGAAGTCGAAAGATTATAACTGTCAAGAGTGGAAATAGAACTGCAAACACTGACATCGTAACTGCATTGAAAAGTAATTCTCCTTCTAATGCAAGAGTTGGATTCCCTGATAATGCAGAGACAACAACTCATTTAGCACATCTTCCACCTTCTCATCATGCTGCATCTGTGGTACCGGTAACTGAAGTTTCATCCACAGCACCTAAACAGCAACAGCATCAGTTACACAAACCAAGGTATTGTATACATTCCACCTGTATATTTTTGTTAAGTTGAAAATAACTACTGTATATACTCGACCTGTAAATCGCACAGTATCATACAAGGATAGAATTTACATATTTATTTTACGAACACATGCATGGTAATCATAGGTGCCACACTGTCGGGCCAAAGTAAAGTAAATCTTTGTTAAAAAGCACACTTTTATGCATTCAGCACTGGTGCATTTGTGTCGAACAGCAAAACAGCAGCTAGAGCACAGGATACACTAATTGGTGTTTCTGGAGGTCACAAATTACCATTTGAAGATTTAATTACTGAAGATAATTCCAGAACTTCTGGAAGGAGAACAAAAAGAAATATTACGACAAATGAAACTAATTCAAGTTCAGATACGTCTCCTGAGAGTGGACGAGAGGATGCCAGGTACATGGATCAAACTTTCCGTCTTTTTATCCAATCTCTACTTTAATTTGGTTCAATCTTATTGAAGATGGCTTATCAGCTTAGATACTGCATCTTATACTGCATGTAGTTAGCTGTTAGCATGTTAGTATTCTATTCTCATTTGGGATTTTACCTAATAATGATAAAGTTGTGCACAATAATGTGCATCAAAGCAGCAGTTTCTATCTATATTCAGTTCAAATTTGATTTGTCAGACAAGCTTTTCAGTGATATTTAAATCTAAATGGTTTATTTTTGAAAGATATCTCACACACAAGTTTACTACTCCTAAGTTACAATCCGAGTAATAGACATTCGTGGATCATAATTTAGTTTCATATCCAAAATATACGAATGAAATGTAAAATTATTAATTGTTTCAGCACAATTACAAGACTGTCAAGTCAAAGCAGTTTATCATCTCACCAAAGCAGTGAATCAAGCCCCAGTAAAGAAAACATATTAGGCTTGCCATCTCTCGCAGATGAATTTGTAATGGTTGATCTTGTAAGTTTGAATTGTATTATCCTTCCCATGTCTTACTTATTGTTGATCCTTATTTATTCCTTGCTTCCAAGAATCCCGCTTTCGGAAAAAATGATTCAGCAGGGGATCTTGGAACATTTTATCGAGAATGTGAGAATGCTCCAGATCTTGTAATGTTTCAAGACAACAATGGCCAGGAAACTCAGGAAGCACTTGTACGTTTTTCTTTATTTTTTGCCTTTTTATGATTATGAAGTGCCATATATAAGCACTCCTTTTTGACTCTTGTAAGTTGGTTTATTTATGGGTAACTCCTAATAGGCATCATGTGTAAAGTTTTCATTCTACAGTCTTTTCAGTTTTTGTGCACAAAATATAATAATATAGTAGCTAATATGATATGGTATCACAATCAACCAGTGATGTGTAACTAGGGCTAGATTATTTCAAGAGCACATTCTCAATGGTTAGTCTGAAAGATTGACAAAAGCTTTTAGTGCACTTTTATCTATGTTCGAGTCGTGTAACTCTATTTTTTTCTTCATTAAAGCTCGATCTTACTAAACAATTGGAAGATTATGAAAAGGATGCAGTAGATTTTGATAATTTTGCTGAGGAAATACAAGCGTTGCCATAGCTTTATCCTCTATTATTTTATCACAAATCAGCTTGTTTTATTGAAGATCGATGGCTTACTACATGCAGAGTGACATTACTCACTTGGTGGCCTTGTTTTTGCCATGACATAACAGTATTATGAATTTTACTTCAAATATTGATATTATTATTCTTATTGACCAAACTGTTGTCGGGAATGTTTCTTCTTCTGTTTAACTTTTCTTTCTTTTTGTTCTTAAATCTTTATGACGATACTGGTGATAATACAGAACACTGTTCACCAAAATATTATTTTGACATTTGAGTGGGTTGTTCCGACGCCTTTCGATATGATCACAATGCTGAACATAAAAAAAGGGATAGGGGAGGGGATGGGGGTCACGGTGACCTTTTATTGTTTTTCGGTGACGTGTGAATTAAAAAATTATTGTGAGAAACTTCATAATATTTCGCGAGGAGAAGAATTTGTTATATATAGCCGCTCTTAATATAATTTAACAAGGAGTAACATCAGTAAATGGGGCATTTCCAGTCAATATAAAAAGTGGTTACTACTGTCGACCTTAACGCAGGTATATTATTGTGGGATCATAGGATGAGGGATTTCTAACTATCCGGGAGTATATATGTCGAGCCGGTGTATCCCGTCCAGTTTAGCTTGACAAAAAAATATGTGGCCAAAAGTTGTCATTTTTTTCGCGACATATATATGTGATCGTTTAAGCTTTGTGACTTCAACCGGAGATGTAGTAACCTCATTGGTAAATAGATAGCCCAATGACTTTTAGATATTGGGCGTTTGGATCATGGTGCCACACCCCGGTCTGTTCTATACACATACATTAGGCGACCGTATACTGCAAAGGGAAATCGGCTTATGTCAGGCTATGTTTATTGTACTCGTGGTAGGCAAGGTTACAGGTGCTCTAGGCCCTATATAAAAACGCTATTTTAAAATTAATTAATAACTTTAAAATTCGAAATCGTCTATCTCAAAAGACGAAAACAATATTGCGGGACATTTAATTACATACCCTTGGTATCTTCTTATTGTTTTATACTCTAATCATTGGACCGAATGTGTCTAAAATGAACCTCTAAATTCTACCCGACTTGAAGATCCATACATCAAAGCGTGATGCCCAATAGACTGTGCAAAAAAATTACTTTCATCACATTTATTATACTTTTTTGAGCTTTCATCTTTTTCTACAAAATACAAGATGCCAATACTGGGTACAGTTAGCACAACTGCGTGGTATCCGGTTTTATGAAACAAACATCGAATAACCGTCAGCCAAAGCACGAAACTGCGGCGCGGATTTGTTTTTGTCATTACTCTGCATCAACAGTTACGTCATACGTCACGGGTTCCGTCCTTAATTCGGGTAAATATTCACATTGTTTGATAATAAAAATTACACAGATTGCCAATTTATAAATCAATCCTCTATAAATACTGATATTATCTGTTGAGTTTGTTAGGCAAACCTATGTCGTGACCTCAACCTTTTGTGTAAATATGGTTATGCTTGCCCGTACGTCCGAAAATCGGAGGTGTACTTAATATTTTATGACGGACTTGTGTTCCGCATAGGCAAATCTCAGTTGTTTCAACGCCGTGAACCGCGACGGATGGTAGACAACAGACATGCGAGTCAAAGATAAATACAAACTTCTGGTTTTGGGTTTTTTACTTTGTACGTCTGTTCTGCTGAATTTTAAGATATCTTTCACAAGATATCCAGGCGCCAAACGTAGTAAAGAAGCAGTTTTTGAGTAAAAGCGGTGGAATGGTCATTTTTTTCTGATTACAACAGCATTGCCAATTAGTTTTGTACTTCTTTGCTACTTTCACTGTCTGTCTGCAATATTTATTTGCTGTGGTAATGATTCTCTCTGATATTGCAGAGTAGGTACAACTGACGTACAATAAACAAATGTTAGAAATGAAATTTTCGGGCTTCTTATATGTGTTTGCCATCGCTCTGTATCTCTTGAAGAGCGCTACGTGCAAAGATGCACTGCCAGCGAAGCGTTTCAAAGTAAATTTAGACGCCGATCCATTGGAAAGGTAGGCTAACATTATGTAACTCTGATCGAATTACCTTACTTACGGCTATTGTTTGGTCTGTAGTATTGAGATAAACTGAGATGATTTTAATTTCATTCGAATCCTTTGTTCGTTTAATATATCCAACAGGATACTGCAAAGTGCTTAGCATGAAATTATTTCCTCGTTATAATGAACTTTATAAAATGAGTAACGTTGAAAAAATTTGTTCGGCGTTAATTCGATTTCTAAAATAAAACATTTTGTTCAGGTGGGAGCCCGTATTGAAGAATTTTGATGCATCTCTTCTGCAAGATGTTATGGACACACTTCTGAAGTAAATATTTGTGGGCTTTATGGTTTGATCACATTCGTGAAACTAAAATTAGCCCGATAAGTATATATATTCCTATACCGCTTCTACCATTGAAACAAAATTGAATTTATTGTGATATGCAATTATCACGAAATCATTTGTACGAAATTATGCAGCATTGTAGTTACATGAAAAGCTGTATATAAATTCCAATAGAAATACCAAAATCACGTAGCTTTTTGCCGTGACTTTCGAAAAGCTGGCTCATTAGAGCGCGAAATATTTCTGGTGAAACATCAAACTTCTGCACAAAACCCAGTATAAAAGTAAAATTAATTGACTGTGATGAGTCATAACTATTCATTTAATTTTGTATCCAGAGAATACGTCAAAAACAAGGAGTTGATTGCTTTGGCTGAGGTAATAGGTAAAGATCTTGACAGATATTTTCCTTATCCCTATGGCGATGAAATACGAGGAATCAGTAATTTTTACAATATGAAATTGGGCGACCTCGTTCTAGGAAACCTAGCTTATGACCTATCAGCATGGAATTCAAATCGTTTCAAGTAAGATTAAGTCGTAAATATTTTTGCTTGATATCAGCTTTTACAATTGATTAATGTGCGCTTTTTTCATTGCAGGGGTCGAGCTTGTACAAGCATTGTCACAGTTGATGAAAATGGTGGGCTAATTCACGCGAGAAATCTTGACTACGTAGTTGGAGATGAATTGCGGAATATAATTGCCGAGATAGAATTTCACAAAAACGGAGAAGTCGGTTGATTTTCAATATTGTATCTTGAATATAGAAAACTTGAGGTTAAAATAGAAATATTACCATCGAATATTATTTTCTATTCTTCATATTCTGGAAAACAATCGTATATTATCATTTATTCTTTCATCGTTGTCTCATTTCTCTGAAAGTGTAAATCAGAAATATCTTTTAAATCTAAATATGATTATGTTGTAAAACTCTTCGCTGAAGCAAATATGTTAAATACAAATATTTCTATATTTAATGATTTATGTTGATATAGGGATATTTATTACTGCATGTTGCGCACAGTCGATTGAGCTTTTACTTGATGAAATCTGATTTATCATCAATGCACACAACTCGATTGTTTCACTTGTGTCACCACTATAATTATTATAATATTGTAATACTTACTGTACCATGACCTTTATTACAATCTTGTCATGCAAACACTTATGAACAACATGAAAGATAGTTGCGAACACTACTCATAATATATACTAAACCCTAATTCCCAGTCTATAATCTCCATCGTAATTTTTTTAACAATATTCTACTTTAAAGCACGGCGGCGGTTTGTGAATTAGGTTCTTTCAACCAACTACAAAAATACACACACTGATTAAAAGTTGTTCATTACACTATTGGCTAAGCTGAAAATGCTGTAATTTTTCCAATTTTTTTTAACAGTACTTTTAACATATATATATACAGTAGTATAGCAAACAATTACTGTAAGTTGTTTCGCAGACTGTATTTATTGGAACAACATACGTTGGTTATGTCGGATTGTTGACGGCAGCAAAACCGAACAAATTCTCCCTGACTGGGGATCAGCGCAACACTGGGTTTCTATGGGAGAATATTTTGGCCGCCTTGGAAAAATCATGGCCCACAATGCTGATGGCAAGAGAAGTATGTTCTGAAAACGAGTATTTATATAAACACGATTACTCATTGTATTGCGAAAACGATTGTATTTAATTTTTTATTTAATCTACAAATCGAATTATTTGCATGTAATTCGTTTCCGGCATCATTTTAAGATATATGTTTATTATAGGCATTAGAGCAATCATAAAAGAGTTTGCAAATTAATATTTGTCTCATTAACAAAAGCATTATTTTCCGCTAAGTATATCTACTTTCGTTTTATTCGCATAACATAGTAGGTCCTGTAACAACAATTTGGAACATTTGTATGAATTTGGGCATCAAATGTGCAACGGTTCAAAGTGAAAAAAAATGGAAATTATTGTCATATATAAGTTATGGTTTATTTTGATAAATAATAGTTTTATATAAAACTGTCTTGAAATATCTTCTGCAGTCAAATTTTTAACTTGCTAGCTAAGTTTTTTCCATAGTTAGTCAGGAATTTTTTCTTTTGGTGAATGAATTACAATGAAATTATATACTTATTTTATAGGTCATAACAAACGCTGAAAACTATGAATCTGCAATAGAAATGCTACAAAACGCAAAGACAATAGCACCAATGTATTTCATAGTGGGTGGACTGAAACCACAAGAAGGTGCCATAGTAGTTCGGGATAGATGGGGAGCAGTCAATGTTACAAGGATGATAGATACTTCTCATAAGTAATTAAAAGATAGCTTCATTCTTTATTTGCAATTTTATTTGGAAACTTACCTTCTGATACCACTGGACTCAGCGATAATATTGTAATTAATGTGTTTGGTTTTGGTTTTGAAGCGAATTTTATTGGTATCATCTAGATTCTAGAATTAAATAAACTTTTTCACTGTCAGTCTAATGATCATAATTATCACAGATGGTTTGTCGTTGAAACAAACTACGACCCTTGGAAGCCCCCACCTCCAACAGACGACAGGAGAGATGCTGCTGTAAAATCTATGAATGAGTTTGGACAAGACAAAATGAATCCTGATAATCTTTATAAGGTATGTTTGAGTCAATTAAATCAATATTATTTTGGTATCGATTTGTTTTATGGTAAAAACGTTTCCGATACGTTTGTTCGGCAAAATGTATTTATATATATATTTTAGGTTATGTCGACACCTCCTGTATTTAACTCAGAGACAACATATACGACAGTGATGAGTGCTGCAAATATGTCTTTATATCATACCATGATAAGATGGGATCACCCTACGGAAAACTGATAAACTTTTTTGATTGTTGATCTTACTAATTTTCTTTCTGATCTTTTTATATTTTGTTCCAAATATATATTCTATTTTACGCATAATTTTTGATTCATTTGATCATATTCGATGATATAAGACGTGACCACTAATTTTAATTCACGTGTTAATTAATATTTCACTCGTCCAATTAATACTAAGATTTAGTTATTTAATTAAATCAATTGTGGTTTATTTCAAAATTTCACTATATGCGAATGTGATTGTAAACTCGAATTGCAATTTAATTGTGATTCCAAAACTTAGGTATAAATAAAAGAACTCAATGGTCATTTGAGTCTTTCGTGGAGTTTCAGTTGGTTGAATTGTAGTTAACCAAACGTAAGTCCAAAAAATTCTTCAATAGACTAGCAGTCAGGTATCATTGTAAATGACAAGTGGCTAAATAGTTTGAAGCAACATTATGTTTATAAACATTCAAACTGGTTTGTGAACGCAATCTTACAAAATGAGAATCGAAAAATATTTATGCGGTCAAGGGTCGGAGAAACATCCATCAAATTTTCAGTTTATGTTAGTAGCCCACTAATGATAAATATCTTGTTAGAATTCTTCTTTTTGTGAAAAAATTTATTCAAAAAAACTCTGTGGACTCTGTAAAAATTTTTTTTTGTGCGATGACGTCATTCAAATTTAAAATTACGTTTACGTGTCCATATATTTGAGCATTGCTCTCTTCTATAATCTAAGCATTACACTGAATGCGTCTCAAAATGAACTTTTAAGCGGCTTTGGAGATCAATACAACAAAGCGTGATGCCCGTGATGACTAGGCTATGTACAAAAAAATATGCTTTTATCGTATTGATTGTGGTTTTCTGGGCTAGCGTCTTATTTTACAAATAGTCACTTTGTACGTCTATTTCTGAAGGATTTTAAGATATCTTTCACAAGATATCCAGGCGGTAAACATTGTAAAGAAGGAGTTTTTGAGTGAAAGCGGTGGAATGGCCATTTTTTTTATTACAACAGCATTGCCAATTAGTTTTCACTCTTTACTACTTTCACTGTCTGTCTGCAATATTTATTTACTGTGGTAGCGAACTCTTTCTGATATCACAGAGTAGGTACAACTGTCATACAAAAATAAGAAATGTTAGAAATGAAATTTTCGGGCTTCTTAAATGTGTTTATCATCGCTTTGTGTCTCTGGAAAAGCTCTACGTGCAAAGACGCACTGCCAGCCAAACGTTTCAAAGTAAATTTAGACGCCGATCCATTGGAAAGGTAGGCTAACATTATGTAACTCTGATCGAATTACATTACCAACGGTTATTGTTTGGTCTGTGCTACTGAGAGGATTTTAATTTCATTCGAATCTCTTGTTCGTTTAATATATCCAACAGGATATTGCAAAGTGCTTAGCATGGAATTAATTCCTCGTTATAATGAACTTTATAAAATAAGTAACGTTGAAAAAATTTGTTCGGCGTTAATTCAATTTTTAAGATGAAACATTTTGTTCAGGTGGGAACCCGTATTAAAGAATTTTGATGCATCTCTTCTGCGAGATGTAATGGACACACTTTTGAAGTAAATATTTGTGTGCTTTATGGCTTGATCACATTCGTAAAACTGAAATTAGCCGGATAAGGAATATGTACATATATTCCTATACACCGTTCCTATATCATTGAAACGTATGTACAAAATTATGCAACATTTTAGTTACGTAAAACTGTGTATAAATCCCAATAGAAATATCAAAACCCCGTAGCTTTCAGCTTTATTTAAGTTGAAGTAACTTCCGGGAAGCTGGCTCATTAGAGCGCAAAATATTCTTGGGGGTAAACATTAAACTTCTGCACAAAACACGGAATAAAAATCGCAATAACGACAGTAATTTTTTTGCAGCACTTGCTTCTTGAATGTCATTGTTTGTCATTATGGAAGTAAATTTAATCAATTGTGATAGGTTAGCCTATAAAAACTATTCGTTTGTATCCAGAGAGTACGTCAAAAACAAGGAATTGATTGCTTTGGCTGAAGTAATAGCTAAAGATCTTGAAAGATATTTTCCTCATCCATATGGCGATGAAATACGAGGAATCAGTAACTTTTACAACATGAAATTGGGCGACCTCGTACTAGAAAACCTAGCTTATGACCTATCAGCATGGAATTCAAATCGTTTCAAGTAAGATTAAGTCGTAAATATTTTTGCTTGATATTAGCTGTTTACAATTTATTAAAGCACGATATTTTTCAATGTAGGGGTCGAGCTTGTACAAGCATTGTCACAGTTGATGAAAATGGTGGGCTAATTCACGCGAGAAATCTTGACTACGTACTTGGAGATGAATTGCGGAAGATAACTGCCGAGATAGAATTTCACAAAAGTGGAGAAGTTGGTTGATTTTTCAATATTGTATCAATTAAATCTAAAAAAATTCAGGTTAAAATAGAAATTACAACCATCGATTATTTTCTATTGTTCATATTCTGGAAAAACAATCATAGTATTTTTCTTCTATTCAATTAAAGAGTCCAACTGCACACTAACACAAATGTATTTCTGTAACGTTTCGTCCGACCAGAGTCAGACTTCCTCAGACAAGCAGTTTACAACCATGGTCAACAGAGCCATTGTTGTAAACTGCTTGTCTGAGGAAGTCTGACTCTGGTCGGACGAAACGTTACAGAAATACATTTGTGTTAGTGTGCAGCTGGACTCTTTAATTGAATGGAATAGTCATATTTATTCCAGCTACAGTATCCTTGCAGTATACGCATACGGATCCACTAGCATAAAGGCATAGAGAAAAGATAGGAAGTTAGTCTCGCGCAACCCAACTCAAATTTATAGTATTATTCATTTGCCATCTTTGTCTTATATTTCTGAAAGTGTAAATAAGAAATGTATTTAAAATGTAAATATGATTATGGCATAAACCTTTACCCCGCACTAAAGAAATATTATGCTAAAACCAAACATTTTCATATTTAATGATTTATGTTGAAATATGGATATTTATACTGCATGTTACGCACCAAGATTTGAGCTTGGTTTAATGAAACTTCCTTTATCACCAATGCACACAATTAGATTGTTTCACTTGTGTCATCACTTTAATTATTAAAATATTGTAATACTTACTGTAGCATGACCTTTATTGCGACCTTATTATGTAAACACCTATATGAACAACATAAGACAGTTGCAAACACTACTCAAAACATATGTATATACTCAAACCTGCTTCCCATCATATATTTTCCCCCGTGATGTTTTTTTACAATATCTTACAGCGGCGGTTTGTGAATTAAGTGCTTCCCACTAACTACACAAAATGCACAAATAAATTAAGAGTTGTTCATTAAACTATTGGCTATGCTTAAAACTGCTGTAACTTTGCAAATTTTTTAACAGTACTTTTAACTCATAGGCATAGCAAACATTTACTGTAAGTTGTTTCGCAGACTGTATTTATTGGAACAACATACGTTGGCTATGTCGGGTTGTTGACGGCAGCAAAGCCAAACAAATTTTCCCTGTCTGGAGATCAGCGTAACACTGGGTTTCTATGGGAGAATATTTTGGCCGCCTTGGAAAAATCATGGCCCACAATGCTGATGGCAAGAGAAGTATGTTCTGAAAACAAGTATTTATATACCCACGATTGTATTGCAAAAAACGATTTGATGCAATTTATTGACATTGATTCACAAATATATAAAAGGTCCTGTAATAGCAATCACTTTTTTCCATATTTAGTAGGGAATTTTCTCCTTTGGTGATTAAATTACAACGAAATATATACTGATTTCATAGGTCGTTACAAAGGCTGATAACTATGAGTCTGCAATAGACATGCTACAAAACGCAAAGACCATTGCACCGATGTATTTCATAGTGGGTGGACTGAAACCACAAGAAGGGGCCATAGTAGTTCGGGATCGATGGGGAGCAGTCAATGTTACGAGGATGATAGATACTTCTCATAAGTGAGTGTAAGAAAGCTGATACATTTTTTATTTGCAATTTTATTTGGAAACTCACCTTCTGGGGCCACTGGACTTAACGATAATATCCTAATTAATGTATTTGCTTTTTTTTTAAAGCGAATTTTATTCTGATCATCTAGAATTTAGTAAACTTTGTCGCTGCTAGTCTAATTATCACTATTATCACAGATGGTTTGTTGTTGAAACAAACTACGACCCTTGGAAGACGCCACCTTCAACAGATCACAGGAGAGATGCTGCAGTAAAATCCATGAGTGAATTTGGACAAGATAAAATGAATCCTGATAATCTTTATAAGGTCTGTTTTAGTCAATTAAATCAATATTATTTTGTTATCGATTTATTTTATGGTAAGAACGTGTCTGATATATACGCTTGTTCGGCAAAATGTGTATTTTTCAGGTTATGTCGACACCTCCGGTATTTAACTCAGAAACAACATATACGACAGTAATGAGTGCCGCAAATGTGTCTTTATATCATACCATGATAAGATGGGATCATCCTACGGAAAACTGACAACTTTTTGATACCTCCGGATTACTAATGTTTTTTCTGTTATTTTTCTATATTTTGTTTCACATATATATTCCATTTTACGCATATTTTTTTGATCCATTTTATCATATACGATGATATACGATTGAACTCGTATTTACAATTTGTGTTGTAATATTTAGCTCGTCGGATCAATATATACTAATATTTAGACATTGAACTTAAATCAATTGTGGTTAATATTCAAATTTTATGATATTTGAATTTGCTTGTAAACACGAATAAGTAATTTGAATAAATACGGATACTTAAATTAAAATAATATATATATTTACCCAACAGTAAAATAGCAGCGTTTGTTTTAAGATATATATGTGTTATAGTGTCTGCTAATGATTTTTTGAAAATAAATTCAAAAATATTATTTTTTAATTTTAATAAAATCACTTTTCTTTCATCCAAAGTTTTCCCGATTATAATGACGAGTCCAAACAAATTTTATATAAGGATACGATGTCCACCGGCTTTCTTGTTTACTTCTGTAACATTAGAAATCCGCTCAGAGACTACTCACAAAGACAGAATTTCAGGCATGGCGATATAGGCTTACATCGTTTTCGTGGTTTTTGCTATTTATTTGTCATTTTTTAATTGTGATTCCAAAACTTGGGTATAAATAAAATAACTCAATGGTCATTTTGGTCTTTTGTGGAGTTTCAGTTTAATTGCAGTTAACTAAACGTAAATTCAAAAATTTTTTCAATAGACTAGGCTATCATTTCGAATAGCGGATGGCTAAATAGTTTGAAACAAAATTATGTTTATGAAAATTCAAACTGGTTTGTGAGCGCAATCTTACAAAATAAGAATCGAAAAATATTTATGAGGTCAAGGGTTGGAGAAACATCCTTCTGACCTGAAATAAATGTGTGTACTTATCAAATTTTCAGCTTATGTTAGTAGCCTACTTTTTTCAAATTTTTTTAATCCCAGAAAATTGTGATCTTAAAATTTTCAATTCTCCCCCAGAATCCTAACCCCACTTGGAATAGGCCTTATTGATGCCAACGTAACTACTTATGATTTTCAAAATAAGATTGGCTTAACCGTAGTAGTATATACTCCTATTTATACATTTCACGATTGTTTATAAAATCTAGTATATATAATCAGAAACGGTAGTGACTAGATTTGACTTGTGACTCGGGATCTGGATACGATTTACATATCTATTGATTTTTGGACAAGTCTATCTAATTTTGACGAACGCTACACTGCACATTAGGCATATTACGTTTTGAGCTGATTACAGGTGTTGGACGAGTTCCAGGTGTCTCGCTATTTGCCTGTTTTAACTTTATGTTTGCGCAAAAATAAACTTTGTCTATAAATAAAATTAGGATAACTGATATATGTATTCGTATATTTGTATTTTATCTGGTCAGTTAACCCGTTAACCGGATAGTTAGAACATCGATTACAATTGATTGAACTGATCGATTGATGATGAACTGATCGATTAATTACGTTGAAATGTCGTAACACAGCCGAAGTTTCGTAAGGAAGAGTCTACAAAATATCCAGTTGAATTTTCAGCGGAATCTTTTTACAGCTGTTATCGCATTTTGCTAACCTTATTTCTATTTATTGGATACGGAACGTACGTTTTGTTATTATGTTGTCGTTGGTATTCTTTGTATTTTTCCATTTCTTGTTGTTGTTTCAAAAGGTAATAAAAAATCCAGTTCAACCGATCAGCATTATCCGGATAACCACCCCTGCTTGCAACAGAACTCGTTTCTGCAGTTTTGAGCAAGTTGGTGGGCGCCTGGAATCGCAGTTCTGCAAATGTTCTCATGACGCGACGGATGTCGGATGAACTGTCAGAGAAGAAATAGATTTCATTTTCACAAATAAAGTCAGCCGTAACTATCATGAATTGAAGTAATATCCGAAATTAATTTAGCGGCAATTGGTGGTGTAGCAGTAGCAGGCGAAAAAATGCCTCAATGCAGAGATGAAAGTACCGGTATGAGATCTCACACGCAATCCTGTACGGTATAAGTCGAAGAATGATATAGGCCTACAGGTATCAGAATACAGAAATAGCAGAAGATCACAATAGACCAGGACTGACCAACAGACAATGGTTTGATAATGTTTACTTATCACTGTATCAGGTTAGTGCAGTATTCAGGTATTGCTGAGTTGTATCATCGCAATATTGAATGTCAGAATTAATCACTGGAATTTTCCAAGCTGACAAGCATGCCCCTGGAAAAAGCAAAATTTGTGTGAGAATAATAATTGTTAAACAAACTTACAAAAGTAACAATATTAGTCTAGTGGGCTGGGCATAAAACCTTTTTTGCTTATGCAGTTATGTTATTCCTAACCCCCACCTGACTAAGTCATCCGAAAATTATGTCACTACGTCGTCACAACTCATAATCACATCATATACTGCATATGCTACACTAAAAGTTATTGTGGTAAGAAACCACACAAGACCTGTCTACCTGTATTATGCAAATCTCTTTTCTAACAGTCTATTGTTACTGGAACCATATCTGTATATTTAAATTCTTAGAACAATATGCTTGATTACTATTGGGATTGTCATTATCAAACTTAGATAGAAGGGGAAATTCCGGGGAATGGGAAAGCCGATAATACAGCTTGATCATACTGTCATATGGAAGTATGGCACACCACAGCATCTCGTCCGGATACGAGTCCATGTCGGGCATGGCAGTATGGGATTAGTTAACCAGTTATTTTTTTGTTTTCAGATGCATGGACTTGATGGTGACCATTGGTTACGTGAATCACCCTACGGTTGTGATGAGTCCAGCAATCCTCTCACACATAATTATACCCTACAGGATTCGTACCTGTGAAGCCATGCAGGGTAATCAGAAATGATGTGGCAAGCTTAATCCTAGCGCTTATCACAATGCGCCACACTGTCGAGTCAGTTTAACTGGCTAATCCTGTTTTCTATTAAGTATATCGGCCTTGATTTCAGTCGTGAAAATTACTATGGCATTCACTGGTTGTACAATTGTAACAGTGTAATGATATTTAAAATTGAATGTTGTGGTTGTGGTTTTTTTAATCTATGGTTTTAAGTTAGATCTTCTCTTCAGTCTAGTTTATGCCTAGTCACACTTTTTGGGCTATCCAAGGTTGATTGTTTGGTTAAAATTTGTGCTATGAAAACTTTTTTTTCATGCCATGTATTAGCTATGTCCGTATGTGTTAAAACTGTAAAGAGAAGTGAGAGCACTTTTACTTATATATTGTGTTGCAACATAGAAATAGGTTTATTTTTTAAATAACATCTATAAATAAGTAGCAATCTTTGTAAAATCAGTATGGCTCAGGTGGGAGATAAAGTTACAGTATTGTATGAGTTTGATGGAATTGTTGATAATCACGAGCTGGCTCTTCGTGAAGGAGATATTGTGACATTGACCAATCCAGATGTAGGTGAAGGATGGTGGGAGGGTCAAGCTTCTGATGGAACAGTAGGTCTTTTCCCTTCTGCTTATTGTGAATTGGTGGAAGACAATGGTGCTGTTGGGGATGCAGAATATGGTGAATCCTATGCTCCACCCGAACCACAAGAAACTACATCGTACAATGGAGATAATCAACAACAACACGAGGAAGTTTATGATGGTGGGGATGATGATGAGTGGGAAGCGTCATGGGGTGTTCAAAACTACTCAGCCCAAGCGCCAACAGCTACCTCTCAACCTGTACCAATAGCCTCATCACCTGCTCGAGAGGGATCAACTAAAAAATCATCAGAGAGCGACTCACCCAAAAAGAATGCAAAAAATGCAGGATTATTCAGCAGTCTAACCGGAAACATTTTTTCAGCTTTCAGTGTTACTCCGGCTGAATCTTTTATATTGGGTGACATAAAAGCAGATACATCTTCTAAACCTAAGATTCATTTGGTTTTAACAGAGGATGGACCAATGTGGGATAATACTGCTCAGCAACATTTCACATGCACTATATCTGATCCCCAAAAAGCGAGCAAGTTTTCTGGGTTTAAAAGTTATATTACGTATAATATCACACCTAGCCATTCAGGGAAGACTGTATCGAGGCGTTACAAACACTTTGATTGGTTGCTGGAACAGCTTGTAAAGAAATTCAATGTAACTATTGCCGTTCCTCCATTGCCAGACAAGCAACTTACTGGGAGATATGAAGATGAATTCATAGAAGGACGAATGCACCAGTTGCAAGGATGGCTTTCTAGAATGTCTTTGCATCCAGTCATATCCCAGTCAGAAGTATTTCAACACTTTCTTGTTTCAAAAGATTCAGAAAAGGCATGGAAGGAAGGAAAACGAAAAGCTGAAAGTGACCCAGCTGTTGGCGGAGCGTTTTGTACAACTATTGTACCTGTCACTGAGAATAGAATGGAATTATCCACTGCTGAGCAAACTTTACAATACTATTCACAGTTTACAAGGGCAATGGATGAATCATTAAAGCAAATTGTTGCTCATGGTGCTGCTTATTCAAGAAAATGTCAAGGTCCGTTAATGCAAGAATACCAGAAAATGGGACAGTGTTTCGGAGCATTAGGAGATTCATTTGCTATGGATAAGCGACAAAATGCAGCACCATTAACAGAGGCAATAAAGCATACAGGTATAATTATGAATTATATTATCATATTTATGTATAAAGTATAGTAATTAATAAATGTATTAAGAGGATATGTGTATTTATATTATATTGATTAAAGTTTATTAAGTAGCCTAACTAATTAAATGTGACTGATGGGAATAGTGTAGCTCAAATGAACCTTCAAATCCATTCAGGAAAACTGAAATCAGATTAATTCTGATCTTTGCAATCTGAGACAATATAAGTCATATGTATACCATAACACCCAGATTGCAATTTTTTTAACCAAAGTTTGTACACTCAAATGAATAAGTCTGTATCCATATATTCGGCAATATTATTGTGCTTGTCATAGTTCATGATCGGGCTGCCCTTTTCTGATACTGGAATTGTTCTATTAGAGATATGTATATTAAATTGCTGAATTAAATCTATTCCTCCAGGTAAAACTTACGAGGACATTGGATTGATGTATCAAGAGCAACCAAAACAGGATTGGAATCCATTATTGGATGGTCTCAATGAATATAAAGGTAGAAAATATTTACTGAAGATTTTCTATGCATTGATGTAGGTTCTAATGGGCTGTACCGAATAATTGTACTTCACAAATACCCCATTGCTCGAAAATGAGTTATAAATAATGATTCACTCATCTAAAATACTGTATTTAATACAAAGAATTTGGTTAATATAAAGAATGTGGACTGTGGTACCTGCGATATATGCAACATATATATTAGTTAATGGTTGGTTAAATATGAATAATTTTTTTAGTTTTTATGACACACATAATTGTCACGTGCAATGGCAATCATGTTTCTAAGGCTTAGCTCGGTAGCCCAACCACCAGGCCATCTACTTAGTAACTACAACTGACAATTTGTTCTGTGTTTTCACAATTTAGGAATCATGGCGTGTTTCCCAACTATCCTTGGCAATAATAAGAGTGCGATAGACAAACAACGAGAAATGATGCGTCTTCAGCTAGAAGGAAAATACACAGAGGATGATGTTGAAAATGCTAAATTGCGAGCTGAAACTCTTTCATATGCCGTTCAAGCAGAAATTAATCACATGCAGTATTACAGGTAAGACGATGAAAATCAATTGATAGAAATTCAATTATAATCGCTTAATCATAATAAAATATAATCTTGATTTAAATCATTGAGTTGCACTCAATCATCAGTTGCAAAATGTACTATGGACTGGTCATACACATATATATAAAACTGCACCACTCCAAACCCATGTGAGCTTTGTTACTTGTCTCAAGTAACTTATTTTATGTATAATAACATCAGACTTTCTAGTTTCTACTTGAGTGAATGGTCATCCAAATCAGGCTTCCTCATGCAATTTTAATGACTCCATATTGCAATACTGATCAATGCTACTTTACTTTGTACTGAATAGAAGTTGACATGATGCTTGTCATTCACCAGCAATATCAATTTCCTTATTCTGGTTATGATTCTATTGTGATAATATGAGTCGGTCGTTTTCGCTTCGAGTTTGCAAATATATATTTAATATATATAGTCATCCAATTGCCAATATATTCATTCATTTTTAGCCACTGCTATTGTATTTATGTTAAACTTATGAATTAGCATTTGACAAATGCAATGTAATAGTGAGTAAAGGATTGGCTTGATAGGCCTGTATCTGTATGATTTTGATATTTTTCAACTTTTGAATCAACAGATTTGATCATTTTGAAACTATAACCCATTAATATTATGATCATTCTATCAACTGTGGAATAGAAACATTTTATTTCTAACAATTTGAAAAGAATAATGGGATTGATACATACAATATATGGGGTGTCCAAATAGTCTTAAAATTGCAAAGGGAATTCATCGATACCACATATAGTTTTGATCCTTACATATGTATTAAATAAGGTAAAAATACTTGAACAATTACTGATTTAAAAACAACAAACCTGGTTAGGATATATTGAGAACTGACTTCATATCAAAATTGTAAAGGGACCTCATGGACACCCTGTATAGTTTGGAGTTGCCATTTCGGTGCATATCTGTAAAATATAGTTGATATAAATAGCAGTTGTTCAAATGGTATATATGATAAGTTAGGTGGTATTATACTAAAATCGTGAAAAACCGAGGGGAAGTATCTAGATTGACTTCATATTCTGCGAATGTTAAATTCCCTGTGGATTATTTCATTATATACAACTTCACAACTGTGCCGTGCACAAAGGTTATGAATGTTTTACACAGTGCTAGCTTATTTACTCTGTTTCTGTAAATATTTGTTTCAGATGCTCTATCTCCCAGTAGTTTTAAATTTTCAATCAACGATTTTCTAAGATAAATTGCCTTATTGTCAGTAAAATGAATGTTTCACTAATAACAACAGATGTCTTAATTAAAGCAAATGCAGTGATCAATGTTCTCATCAGCAATATTCTTTCATCCCTTTGTGCATTCCTTGTGTTGTTAATAATATCAAGTGGAAAGAATGTATTGATTTCCAATAACGCTGTCCTATATCAGACTGAAGCCTAATTTCAAGATGACCATAATATGAACCTAGACATATGAATATTATATTCGACAGTAGTTCCAATTCCAACAAATCAAAACCAAAATGAATGCATATATATACTTTAACAGCATTACAATGATAACTACTAAATCTGCTTTTTAGTAACCTAAAATGAATTTTGTTTTCAGTATACACCCACAAAGCAAATCTTTATTGATAAAAAGCATATGCCAAAGAAAATTTCATTTTCAAAATCTCAAATTAAAATTATCACCAAATGAAAGACTCAAAAATTCAATAATTTCAGCAATCACCATATGTATCCAGCATTATAAATAACACATGTGGTGTTTCGAAAATACTGTTTTATCGCACCACTGTCTCTTTTAATAATGCTGCGAATGAGAGGAAATTATATCATTAAAAAAACAAAATTATTTGTGCATTTGTTGCATCGATTGTTTCATTATAAATATTTTATATTCGTATGATATACCCTAAAGCACAAACTTAATTGTGATTATTAAAACACAAGTGTAATTTATAAGTTCTCACTCATAAAGTTTATAATTTAGATGTCAGAGACAACTTAAATGAATACTTGTTTTGCCATTACTATACTAATGTTCAGACCTCAGAATTAAGCCTGACCAAGGTTTTTCTATGTGTCAGGCATCCTCATATGACAATAGATATAATAAATGTGATCCTTTTCAAGAAACTGTTTAAAAAGCAAGGAAACTGGTTTCCACAAAGGAAGTTTCTCAAGCATTGACTTCCTTGTAAACTTCTGTAACATTGACTAATCAGCAACTTGCCAATGAAGACATTTGAAACTTTAGCAGCCATTCAAGATATTTTTTCACTCAACAGATTTTTATGCATGGTGGTAAACATTGCCATGTTTTCCTAGTCTCGTTATATATTTGACAGCTCTTAGTTGTCTTCTAGAAATTTAGGTACCGGTATAAATAAAATAACTGAATGGTCATTTTGTCTTCCGAAGTGATTTAATTTAGTTGCAGACTTGCAACAAAAATGAATTCCTGAAAAATATAGAAGTATAGAATAAATTTCCTAGGGTCCCAGTTTGGGAAAACAACCATAGTTTTGAATTGCTCTGACACAAATTTTGTCATTGCATTTACTGATATAATGATATAGCTAAGCCGATATCAAGTTGTCGATGAGTTTGGTTTTGTATTTGACTTTTATATGTATATGCAGCGTGTCCTGTCCGTAAAGTCTGGATACACATGATATTTTTAGTGATATTAATAATAATTATCGTAAATAGTGAAAATAATATTAGTTTAAATAACATATTAAAAATATCTAATTATCCTATGTTTCCAGACTTTATGGACACCATGTACGTTTATCAAGATTGACCAAACTGACATTATTTTGCAGGGTTGGAGATTTTGCTGCTTATATGAAAAGTTTTGTGCAACAACAAGTTGTCTTCTATCAGAACATAGTGAGTAAATTACAGGATACAGCTCGGATGTATGACAATCTCCAATAGAACGTTGTTTCATTATTTCTACGAAGTTAACTTGATCAGCTTGACGCTGCTTCCACATAGTTGTGATTGTCATATTATGAATGTGTTTTTGTACAATTTTCTTGATCAATCTGTATGCTTCTAACTGCTGTATTTTCATGTAGTACAAATCATATATAGACAGACTATTATTTTATCATATCTGTATACCTACTGAAAGCATGTCCCTCTTAATAATAATATGCTCAGACATGATACCATTTTTCATATTTTAAACAGTATAATGTATAAAGTGTGGGATTCTGTTTTGGTATATTAATTTTTAACAATATTTATATGAGATCATGAAAATTTTATGACTTTTCGTCAGTGTCTCACTTCTAGTGTTCAATTTCATATAAGTGAGATGGTGGCAGTCTTCAGGAATTGTGCTAACTAAATAATATTATGTGTGATTTCTCATTATCCAAGGTGTCTAAAAAGTTTTGCAGAATTACAATTACCAATTTCTTATCATTTTGATTAAATCATTTCTTGTATATATTTTTATCTGTATATTTTATTAATGTTGTCACTTGAAATGTGCACTGTATTGTATGTTTTTTACTCAAATCTTGACATGTTTTAAAATTGTTACATATACTCTATAAATGCTTGGCCATTTTGATTTGCCATAGCTTGCAATTTATAAAGTCTATACTCAAGTTTCAGATTAATGATCGTAACATATGGATCTTTGTTGCGCCTTTCAACTACTTCTATTCGATACTGAAAAGCTCTTGACTTCCTGTATATGAATTAGTTGCGTAAAATGAGACAAGATTCCCTGTAATTTGCATATGCTTAGCCATTAAACAATGCCGCCATAACTTAGTAATATTCTATACTGTTCCCCTTTTCTATACCTTCCATTTCAAAAACAATAGTTGTTTGCTGTGAGACATAACTTATATTTTTGACATAAAAGCAAATTTTGTTACCTACTTTATCGGTTGAAATTTCTTGTTCATGAGCATACCTTACCCAAAAACGTCAAAAATTTGTAACTTTTGAAATAGTTTATTGCTTTTGTCAAGTCTCATGCCCACTTCAATAACTAGCTAACAATAAGCTACAAATAATAGATAGTAGGGCGAAGTATGTTTTATTTGAAAAACACATTGAAAATACGTTGATGGAATGTAGATATCCAAAATAGGGCATGCAATATAAAATCTAACAAATATTTTTATTTTCAATTAGCTTCACTTCCCCTCAAAAAATTGTCTAAGCCCCCGCTTGTGCGGTGCGCCCCACCATTTGAGAACCACTATTCTATATAATTGAAAATTCCACATCTCAAGATATCAGTTAATTTCACAACATATACATACATATACATATACCTTCACCCGGAGTACCAAATATATGAATTTGCCCTTTTTTCATTATATTTTGAATACACAGTCTTCTCACGAACAATTCTAAGAAATATTGGTCTAGTTTTTCCATATTTTGGGTCAGTTGATATGTTATAATTATAATATAGTCTAAATATTGAGAAAAAGTAGTTCCTAAAATTAACTATTCCCTCTATCATAGCGTATTACTATGTGTTGGTCCTGTTTTTCCTCATAGTTAATTGTTGCAGTTGTATTTAACGTCATTGAGATTATGCCTAGATTGACTTCATCTGTGTTTCTGCAATAATCCGTTCTTACATGACAATAATATGTTAGTATTGGTAGTATATACCCTATGTAATGTGTTATACCCATTGGAAGCAGTATTTTGTGTAATGTGTGCAGACTTATGTATATTTGATGTCAATCATTTATTGAACAAATATTATATTTTGTAATTGTTTTAATAATTGCTTATGGATGACATAATATCATACTATTTAAATGTATTATTAAATTCTGTGCAATAACATAATTATCGTTTCACTGTTATTATAACGCGGGGCTAAACTGTTACTTTCTTAGACAATGACGCCCCAAACAAACCGAAACAATTCTAACTCGTTTGTGTGATCAATCGAAACACGTGTAAACATATACTTCGTGCCTATTGTAGGCGGTACAATGTAATATTTTACCGACACTATAAAGGGCAAATACTTTTTATTTTAATCAAATCATCTTCGAATTTGATATCTTCAAGTCATTCTGGACTTTTTATTCCAATGATCCGTTTGATACAATATATCATACGTGATTAAATTAGTATAAAAATTTCGAAATCATATATTGGTCGACAACTCTCCTGATGCATCATGAATAGGGCGTGGGATTATCTCGAACCATTCTATCAAGTGGGATTACGGAGCTTGGTCAAACATGGCGTGGGGCTTTCAGGGCAATACCCATTTAATTTATGTTGTCTGCGAGAATGGTGTATAAGGGTGAGTACTGGATTATTGTCAGATGGAAAACGGGAATTGCTAATCAAGTCGGTTGGTTGCAGTTTGATATATGTGATTGAAGGTTTTTTGTTTGGCTGGACGCGATACGGAATTACACATTACGTGGTATAGATTGTTGTACTCGGCGACTGTATTTTGTTTAGGAAAGACCGGTTTGCTGGACTATAAATTCTTTAATAATCTAGGTTGGAACTTTTTATTCTTCTTTGTGGATTCAGTTTACCACGTACATGTTGTCTATATTGACCAATGCGCGGTTTACGAATTGGACCTAGAAAGCCGAATTATTTAATTTTTTATTGCTGTCCTTTCCCGAAAGACACGAGGTAGGACACTGTCACTGGTCATTCATGTAAAATAATTGATCGTGTGTTTGCACTCCGCTAGTTTCGTTAGGTTACCTAAATTCCCTTGTTGTTTCTGCGGAAAGGTCAGGCAAAATCAAGTTTGCTCTCCAATAATTTCTTTTGTTAGGCGCGTATAAAACATTGTAGTCTTTTGATCGCTAGCTTAGATTCAATCGACAGCATTGTTATCAACCGTGGGCTGAATCGTAGAACATTTTAGGCCGCAAGACTTTGAAGTCAACGAACGAAATAAAGATTTGACTGCTTTACTATTTTCATCTTCCGTTGTAGACATACTATTTTGCAGGTTACGAGAGGAAATGTTTCGTGCAAGATGAGAGTTATAGTGCCCTTTATGTTAGTGTTTTAAGTTAATGGTCGCATGGGTTTATTTCCTCTGGGTTGATTCAACTATTTGATTAGTTAATTGTTTGCACCGCACCATTGTGCAGTTTCAAAAACAATGATATGTCCTTTGTAAAGAAATAAGAGGCAACAATAATATATCATGTCCACCCTCAACCTGCCTGCTATCATCGCACGTCTTCACAACGCCGCGGATAATTATGCAAAGAAAGGGAAGTCGACAAAGCACGACCTCCTACTATCCAATGGTTATAGAGTGAGTAATTCTGATTCCCTTACGTTTTTATTTTATTCAACTTTTGTACGCACACCTGCTTATATATATTTCTAATTATTACCAAAAAATTCTGCTTGTCTATAATTTTCAAAGTTTGTTCGCTCTGGTGTCATATATATTTAAAGTTTATTATAACTTATTATATATATATTTTATGTTTTCCTTCGGTCCAACTATTAAAGTTCTTTTGGCATCCGAGCACGAAGATGTTATTCTATTTGCAACCGTGTACAAATTGAGCAAATTTACTTGATATAAAACATATGGTCTTGATTTCTAGAATTTCAAAATTCCCGAAATTGTGCGGCATGTTGGGATTGGAGATCGAGGATGGATGAGTTTACAAGGCAATGTGAGCGAACTTGTATTAACGAGATATTACCTACACATTTCTACGTGAATTAAAAAATTATCGGCCCGATAACTTCAAAAAATATAGCTAAGTATTGCATAATTAGAATTACTTAGTTTCAACGCTTACCAAACAATTTTTCAATGTAATTTAATTAATTACAGGTAGCTTTTCAATCATCATTCTTTTATCAGAATTCTCTTTGGAACCAAACTTTGTATCTTGATCAAGTCCTTCGGAGACACCCTAATAATGAATCGGACGCGGGCAAAGCAATTTTTTCTAAACATGCGCGCAGAAAACGTCCTCGCTTCCTGCCCAAGCTGGACGACAAACCCGTTGAAAACTCTCACACTGCAGCGCCATACATCAGAGGACAAAAAACCGAAACACACCGCCTTGGTCCCAAACATGATGCAAACGAACGGTACTATCAATTTGACGAAGAAGACGAGGACGCCGAGTGGACAAGAAATGCTCTCGATGGAAATACTTCCCATGAAATTGTACAGGCGTACCGACATGAAACAGTCAAGCAAACGCCGAATCTCAAAGGTGAACAAGGTGATGCAACTACGCTTGTCAAACATCCGCCTTTACCACCAATCAAGAAACAAGCTGATGTTGTCAGCGAATATAGAGAAGAGGTGGAAGAGGTAAGGTAGACGACGAATTACGTAGACGTGATGTGAATTTGGCTACAATATTTATTTTGACGCACATCAGAGTAAAAAAAACCTGCGCGGTGATGCCACAGCGACATTTCAGTACAGGAAAAAAGTTTGACAAAATTTGGAATTCACAGCACGAAAAAAACTATTTGTATACTATCAGCTACTAACATAATCCAACTCGAAAGGTTATCCAAATCAATGACATGTTCAATATTTGATGAATTTGTAAAAATGAGGGGCTAACAAATTTTAACCACATATTCACAATTCACATATTCATACATGGTTAACGACGAGCCGCCAATACCTTTGCCATAGTTTTTCTGAAATTCGAATTCAAAAAATCGTTTATATATAAATGTAGCCAAGCATCAATAATAATCTAGTAGATTTTATAGCAGTAATATCACTAAAGATAGACTACCAATATGGGTGAGAGTAAGTATTTTCCTGATTAAAGAGAGAGAGAAAAGTTAAACAGTCTTATTGCGTAAAAGTTATTTTGTTAGAATTTGACCCATAATAGGTTTCATATAGCACGAATTCAATGAACATGTGGTTGGTACAAACAATGACGAAAACACTTGAATTTGTTGAGATCTGATATCGCGATTCAACGGCGTTTAATGGCCCTTGACAAGACCGTTGGTTGTGAGGGAGCAAGTGGTTCAACCATCGACGAAAGTGCGGCCAAACACAACAAACAAAACCACATCCTCATTTTTGTTTTCAATTAATCCTGTTTTGATATACAAAACGTAATATAATATTTTAGATGCAGATAGACGTCAGAGGTGAAGACAATAAGAAACAGATACCTAAATTTGTTTTACACACATTTGATTTTGGAGACATGAGAAGCAAAAAAAGTGAAAGGTACCATTTGGGATATTGTATTATATTTCAGAAATAAATTACTAATTAAGTTTTTTTCTTTGTTCCTGATGATTGATATCAACATCAGCTCCTAAATTAAAAAATATACTGCATGAAAGATATTTGTGAATATAGTTCTAATTATCAACAAATATTTTTATGCACCAATCATAAATGTCTCTTTGCATTCCGCATATTGAGAAGATCAGTGAACTTATGAGTTCCTAATATTGAATTACTTATGAATTCTGTAATTCTGCAATAATCACTGTAATATTGAGTCTATTGCAAGTGATTAGATTGTCATTCCTTGAAATCATGGTATTATTATTTCAAAACTGTAAAAGATTTGACGTGCAGTAACGTACTATAATTCTTCACAGAATGTTCACAAAAACAAATATGTTCGTCCCAAACTTGGAGCAGAAAGCGGCTCCTGTTACGAAAGTTGATCGCATAGCAAATACACAAAATCAATCTACGTTTTCTCGCATCTTAAATCCAGATTCGAATCCAAAAACTCAAGCTGGTAAAAAATTGTTGACAAGTTTATTGGGTAGAATGGAAAAAGACAAACGAACTACAAGCAAACAAGAACCCACTGTTCTGCAAAAATCAAACTCCATCCTGTATTCCGAAGAATATTTGCGATTAGTCGACAACAAAGGTGTTAAAAACGTTGCAAAAGCTGCGTTTAACCAGCAAGAAAAATCGTCAACTATTGACCGGAAAATAGGAGAGTTTTCGTTCGACAAATTACCCGCTGATTTAGTTGGTCAGCATTTTCAGCAAACATATGAGCATTTATGGAAATATCTTGTTCATAATGGAAGAAGAAATTTACCGAAATCGTACTTTTCTTCAAAGAAAGAGCTGCAGAAAAATAATCCCGGCGTGATCTACATTCCCACAGGTTGTATCGTGATATTCATGCACCCACATTTTATGTCGTTCACATCGTTTGAAAAATATTAATAAAGATATTATGTCCAAATCCAATTTTGGTTCGTAGGCGCCATTAAGGATATTTACCGTACACAGCTTTAAACTATTTAATATAATAACTATTCGTAAATTGTGACGAAGAATCAAACCACACAATCCTATTCTGTTCCTATTATTCAGGTCGACCAGAAGAAGCTTTGTATGTCGAAGGTGTTGAACGCAAATACTTGTCGCAAAATCAACAAAGTGACAAACCTATCAAGTTAAAATACAATCATCGTAATGATGCCGACGAAAATCACACGATATCCAGGAGTAAAGATACGTCACCATGGGACATTGACGAACAACTTAAAACTCCGGAAGAGCCATCAAAGTTGACAGGCAAAGTTATCTTAACGGAAATGAAAAATTCAATTCAAAGAGTGCCGAACGCAGAATTTGATAAACAACATGAGGGGTACAATGACAATGGAATAAAAAGCATCTCTATAACCCTCCCACCCCCTGAGATTAACGCACCCCCTTGCACACCAGCGTCTTCACATGACAATCATCACCCTAATCAAGAACACCTCGGCGCTGAAATCAATTTGCCCGAATTCGGCGCCAAAGCTTTAAAACAGCCAAGAGAAGATTTAGTATATCCTACCCCAAAGAAAAATGTTCGATTCAAGGCAGTTGGTAAAACTTCAGAAGAAAACCAGAAAATCGGCCACAGAAGAGGATTGGGACCCGTTCCGGAAAAAAACAATAGGCCTACTCAACAAAGCAAACAGGGAAGCAAAAAAACTCGAACATACACACATGGACAATACCATATAAAAGTAGATGAAAAAATTGTATATAAAAGAAAGCCGAAATTACCAAAAGATTTGTCCAATATGTTCACGAAACCATATACATTCTCATATTTAACGGGAGTAAAAGCACCTGGCACCTCATCAAGTACACTTTTTGCTGGAAAGATCGCAAATCTTTCCGTACGCAACAAGCCTCAAGTTGCACCTTTACATAATAGCACTCTAATATCTGAAATTCACCACCCAGTCTATGACGTGAACGACAATGATGCATTACCTAATACAACTCAAAAAGATGCAAGTACTCAAATCGACGAAGATGACGATAATATCTCGTTGTCAATACCGTATAGTCTGTTCTCTGAAAACGAAACGCTAGTTACCAAAGAGCTTATATCGTCAGAAAATTCGCCCAAAATAAAGTTACGATCTCCACTGCCGCACGCGGAAGAAAAAAGTACTTCAAGATCTATCGACCACAGAAAAACAAGCTCTAAAAAGTCTTTGTATTCGAAATCTTCGAAGCATGTGAGGGTGAGTTAACGTTTCTTTAAACCAACTTGAATATAAATGTTCTGTTGTTAACAATCTATAATTGTAATCTGTTCCTTTTAGTTGATTACCTTAATTGTCACAGGTATGGTAGCTACTTTATAAATACGTTTGATCAAACTATTTTTTTTCTTCCCATGCTTAAATTTTCACCACCAAGTGTTCCATTTAAAAATCTCACATTTTCCAACTGTGAAGTTATGTTACCGCGAGGATTTTATCGATTATCCAATTTAAGAATCTATATTTCAGGCAACCTTACTTCATATCCAAATATTTTTATGTGCTACTTTTTTGCCTTAATCTCATAAACCAAAAAATTGTTCTGAGAAAAAAAAACATATTGGAATCATGCACACTGCACAGACCAATTTTAAATCTAGGAGAAATGAAGGAGATCGTTACATATTGAATTTGATATTCAAACGTTAAAACAGAAATTTTTATTTATTCAATTTTTCTTTTCCAGTCACTTTCTGAGGGGGCGAAAGATGTAGATATTAAAAAACATGCAACGACAGTGCAAACTTACGACGCTTCGAAATATTTTCGTGGGACGAACGACGGAGTCAAATGATTGTGATAAAATATGTTTGGTAATTTAAATAAACTTATGAACAACGCCACATTTGTGTTGATATCCGTATATATATTCAGTTTCATTCATGACAGGAAGGGACTTCAATAGGTCTTGCTATTCCGCTTACTCGTATTTTGTTACCTGTATAAAATGATATTCTCTTTTTTTATAAGAATCAAAATGGATCGACGTCATGCAAAAATGCGGAGTATTATTATTATTTGATAAGGTAATTCGACTACAACTCCTAGTGCGATCATAGACGCTTAGCACAAAATTTATTTCCACCCACCATTGTTGTTACCACCATTCCATGCGTCACTCTAGTCTAGAAAAAAAACATAACAATGGCGCCATACTGCGCCAGTTTATTTGTTGAATGCTAAACCATCGTGAATCGTGACACACAAGCTTTCGGCCGTTGAGCCTAGGTTAGTATGGCGTCACAATAAAACCATGGCCGCTCGTTCAGCTACATCTCTCTCACTGTATTCATTGGTTCACTGGCTACGGATGGTTCTGCGTAGACTTTTCGCCACACGCCATTTTCCTCTTGACATATGCACGGAAGCTTTGGGTTGAGGATGTCGTGTCATGACTTGTTAGATCCTCCAGTCACGGAATTCTCGGATGAACTTTATTCATTATTCGCACCTCACTCTAAAAACCAGCAGACAACGACATCCAAGAAGGTAAGTCACTTTATAGTGGAGTAGGGTATTCCAAATCATTGTCAGAATGAGGTAAAGTAAAGTGCGCTAAGATGTCTTCAACATTTATAGGCTACATGCGTGTTATCGATATCTAAACTGCTTGCATGTGCTTACTTAATACGTTACGCGCACAGTTTGCGGAAGATCGGGAATTATTTTTGCAAATTTTATATTTCGTAGTGATAAGGTATTTACTACTCTGATATAGACTTTCGTAACCTAAAATCGAGGATTTTTGCATAATGAGGTACCTATATATTGTATATTCTATTTTTGATAGGGTGATTCTATATTTGGATGGAAAATTTGCGAAAATCTACATGAGGAAGAGTTACCTTTCAACTGCGAGTCAAATCGTCCGTATGCGTGAGTTTTCCATTCCACAGTATCATAGCACGGCTGTAGTCTGTTATCAGAATCATTTTTAAATAAAATGTATACACAGATTATGGCACACTGTTTTATTTGGGCCGGAGACATTCAAAGTCATTTATTCAAGTAGAAGCCTTTACATAAAACACCACACTTGTTTGGCTGTACATGTCTTGTGTATTTGTCCTAAAATCAGTCCAATGGCCAGCCCTTCGGGGAAGGCCATTCAATAGGCGATTTGGACCATATTTCGATACATATTTCAGCTGCTCTGACGTATATACGTATTAACATAAAAGACGGTGTTGTACTTTGGAGAATTAGAGATTAGACCAGGGGCGTGCAACTGTTTATTGCAATCGGCCAAAACGTAAAATTATGGTGACGCCGAGGGCCTGACCATTGGTATTTCGCAACTCGAAGTTGATGGTATGAGAATGTTCTGGTGTGAATGGTATGTGTGTAGTCTATGTTCTATCAGTCATTGATCTTGGTTTACTAGAATGAATGTGATGTGTTTTAGGGCTTTACATCTCATCCATATGACACTTGAGGACACAGAAGAAGCAGCAGATGGCGAAGTCCCTGATCGGCCGACATCAGTCAATAGCGAAGTAAAAAGACGAAACAAAGTTGTCAGTTCACTGAACATCGCCATACGGCGTAGCAAGTAAAATGATAGCAAATTTGTTAACCTTTATCCAATGAATTATATAACATGTGATCGGTGCCATTATATCTAGAAGCTCCCGGTGTGTTCCATCAGGCCCTCCTGCAGCAGTGTTGAGAAGTTGGGGATCTAATCAGCAACATGGCATTCGTTACGATAGCAGATTTCCAATGTTATTTCACGGAATTCGAGAAATCAAATATGAATTCAGGCCGTTTTGTCATCACCAACAACACGCCGATGCATACAGGTGAGCATCGAAAGTTTTCATGTTTCGAGCCTTTGTCAGATACCTCAATCTTACGGGATCAAAAAAGATGTGGTTGATTCCAGAAGATGTGTATTGCATGTTTTTCATCTGACTTTCAGTTTGATTACTTAAATATTCTATATTTTCAAATGAAACTATAAAGTACTGTCACTGTATTCAATAGCTTATCATTTTGCAGAAACTCTTATACATATATACTAATTCGGAATTTTCGCGAACTGAGAGCAACCGGATTGATTGGGAACAGACTCCAAGCTGCACTAAGATTCAATATTTCATCCTGCCAGGGTGAGCAGCACAAAGACCAAAACCATGTAAGTTTAAATGCGTAATGAATAATCACAACAACTATATTATTATATTCATGTAAGTTACTGGTAATTTAAACTTAGATCATATTTTCATGGTTTGTTCGTTTGGTACTCCAAAAAGGTACTCTGTTGCCGTATACAATTTCCAATACTTCTTTCACACACGTGTCTTCAAATGACAATTCACCAATAACGCACTTTCCGATAAGTGTTTTAGGTGAATGGCCATCCACGCAATTTTTTCTGTAACTTTTTTTCGCAAAATGGCTATTACGCTTCTGCACAGCACTTGCTGTCATTAATATCGGTATATATTTTGTCTTCTGTTGTTTACGCAGATCCATGGATGTCGAAATAGTCATCGTAAGAAGCATGGTAGTGCAACGTATCACCAATCTCCTATCGTTTACTACACAGATCAATGCCAAAGTGGACCAGTCAGCGTGCGAAGTGCAATAACTAAAAATGGCGAATTTATACCGAGCGCAGGTACAACTTAAGAAACATTGTTTAACTTCTATTATTCTCTAGTTTAAATTATGCATAAGCAAGGCCTGGGCACAGTTTCTTCGTCTACTTTTGTACTTTGCTTAACTTTTTGAAAAAGCTACATTTATTCACATTAACGTTATTAACAAAATATAGTTGAACTAGTGGAGACGGAAGTTCCTCTTTGATTCTTCTAGCAAAATCACTGATGTTTATTTCAAAAATAATAAATAACATTTTTTTAATCCTAATATTACAGGTGCATGCTTTCTTCCTAAGTCAACGATGGAAATTAATGCAGTAACATTGCGTCCGTCACAACAACGCCCATTTGGGGAACAAGATCTTCAGAACAAAGTTGGTTGATAACACTATATTCCTAATTTCGAATAATAAGAAACCGGGTTTTGTACTTTTCACGGATAGTGTGTAAATTCGGTCGACTTCTTTCTGTCAGAGCCAATGTTGCTATTGCTAGAGTTGATTAGTATGACGGGGCTGGAGATATTCATAGTACAATAGTGCCTGAATCGGGCTTGTAAGCAACAATATCTCGAAAAGGCAACGGCAAAACTGAGTTTCTGGCGATTGCATTTGCGCGAAAATTGACAATGAGATAATGGGGATAAAGGACATCAAACAGGTTCTGTTGAGGTCTGCTAATTCAGTGATGTTCAACCCCTTTTTAAGCCTCGGGACAACCCTTTATATTACGAATTTTTGCTGAACAACAAATGAGAATTCAGAATTTTCCGGAATAACCGTTTTTGAGTGTCTGTTTTGTTTTCAGATATCTATCCACCATAACAAAGTAATTGATATAATTGTATTCGTTGTGATATCATTAGCAAATTGCCTAGTATACTGACAAATGCTAATGATAAATTAAATTAATAAATAAATTAAATAAAAATCAAAATAAATGAAATTCCTCCTATGATGTCATAAAAACTCAAAGAATATTCGCACTGTTCATTTTAATTATCACGCAACAGACTCGACCTAAAACCAAATAAGTTGATATAAAATTTGTAATATTTTATATCTTAAATATATCAATTATAGAAAGAAATTGAAGCAGTAATTTGACGCGGAACTCCTGAAAGTCTTTCACGGAAAACCCGTTTTCGTGTTCCGCGGAAACCGGTTGAAGATCAATGCCCAGATTGATCGATTTTTGCATGAGGAGAAATTCTATTTGTTATTCTGGCTCACGGCTGTAGTGCCCAAATGATGTCTACAAATATAGACTTCTCTTTTAATCAGCTTGAAAAAAAAACGATCTACATTGACTTTAATTAACATGACAAACCTAAATTGAGTTCACATCATAACTTAGAGCAACTACGGGATACTCAAAACTTCGAAGCAGCTGAAAAACTCATCTGGAGACTTATTTTGCGTGAAAAGGAAATGTAATAGTGGTCCTGTGGGAATTGTGGCTGGGACGAGGTGAAGACATTTTGGAAATTATCTACTACGTATCTTATTGAATATGATGATAAGGCTTTTTTTGGCACATGGATGCCTGAACATAATATCATAATCTAAAGCCGAGCATCTGGAAAGAAACCTGGTAAAGAATTCCCACAAACGACTTGGTCTGGCAATCGGGCAGGATGCCATGGTACATCATATAATTAGACTTGTCTGGTTAAATATAAAAATTCTTATTCCATAATGAAATCAATCTCGTTTATTTAAAAATTAAAACTTGTCGAAATTTATAGTAGACCATTAATAGTCAGGAATCCAGAAATCCGAGGACGCACTATTCCATAAAATTACCCTGACATTCATCGCGAACAGTTTTCTGAATAGAATTTCCATTTTATTTTATTTACGAAAGCATCTGAGACGCACGTCTACATTTACCGCTTAAAAAATGCGAATTTTTCATGAGAGAATATGCGCCACGAATTTACTAAAAGTCAGTCGGTGAACGCAGAGTATCTTACCTGACACATTTTCAATGTATGTTTGGTTATATAAGTATTGAAATAAGATTAAATGTACTTGCTTAACTGCCGTTATATTCAACACTTGTTGCAGCGCTTTTAGAAGAAATAATCAAGGTATATCAACTGGACGAAGGATGTCTCCCTTGAGTAAGGTTCCTGTGGCTATTCGAAGGTCCTCCCCATCTATTAGAGGAAAGCGAGATCCTACTGATTCGAGTGTCGAAGGAGGTGAGAGCATCAAGTTTCGCAAAATTGCTAATTCACGGACTTAATTTGAAGCAATCTATCTGTTTTTTGTCCTATAGTGAATAAATTCCTGTCAATAGCCGTGGCGACACACACAGTGGCTTCTCCATATCACACAAGTGTATCCCAGTCACATGAAGATATCTCACTGAACACAGACATATGAGAGACGGAAACCGTGAACAAGGATCGCAAAAAGATAGAAACAATCGTTTATTTCAACTTCGCTTATTTTAGCGTTTTAAGTCATCGATTGTTTGAGAACGAAGTGTTGTGTTTGTTTTTGCATCATATATGCAGAAGAATATATATATATTATATGAAATACTAAAAAAATACACTTTCATATCCACATTTGATCTTGACTACCAGGGTCGAGACACTGAAGATTCATCCACAGAACCTTCGGAGTGCACGGTCTATTCAAATAGAGACCGGAGTCATAAACTTCTCAGAATTGATTTCTGTCTCTGTGAATAAGCGATCAATTTAGATCAAATCTAAAATTAGTTTAGTTAGGAATGAATCGGGTTCTATACTGTTTGAAGTACATCGCGTGTGGAGGATTACACGATAGCTTTTATTTTTCGATTTCATTTACTGTCCACGTATTAGTAATCATACCAATGACGAGTGTAAGCATTTGGATTATATAAATATATTATGTTATAAAAAAATTTTGGGATTGCGCAAAATATGAAATTTTAATTACAGACAAGATGCGTACGCTAATCATGTAGATTGTATAGTAAGTTGAATTTAACAACATTTTAACGAATTCAGGGCTGTAATAAAATGTTAAAATAAATGGGTTCACGATAAAAAATATAATAAATCTTCGTTGTTTTTTAGATAAATTAGTATAGATGTACATAGATCTTTTTTCCTTAAAAAATAAAGACATTATTAGAGTACAAACTGTTACTTCAAATTAGCACTCTTTTGTTTCAAATTAAACGAATTCATTTATCTGATCGTGTTTAGTTTTTTAAATTTTAAACGATAAATATTTGCAACAAGAATTATCAATCTGATAAAAAAAATACCAGGTTTGTAAAGTGTTAAACTGGCCTCTCAAGCATCCCTGGCAACGCTGACAGGCTTGGGGCATCTAGGCTTCCGCCTACTTTGCCTTTGTAAATCTGGCGTAGACTAAATGTGATATGACCCAAAGATCTAGAATTAGTCTCCTCAATTGAATAAATATTTCTAATATATATACATATTGATACGGACAATTAAAATGTTCTACACTAACACAAATTTAAAATCAACACACATAGAATAAAAGTAAACATGCTATGAATATTGTTGGAGTCAGTCTCATTTGGTGACCGTACATTCGAACCCATGTGTATATCCGCGGGTTCAATCTATGTGCGAGTGCTAAAACCCATGGGTTGAGGTTAGTATGAGTTCAAATATCCGTAAAACAAAAAAAGTCCATATGTGCAATAGTATGCAGGTGCAATTGTCATGGGTTCGTGGATTCAAATGTAATGGAACCGTCTCATTTAATAATTAACAGTTCCATAGACAATGCTGTGAACCTAAAACTACATTATTTGATGCATTCAAATATTTACCAAATGCGAATAATTATCAATCCCTAATATTTTATGAGAAAATAATTTTTAAAAATTTGGATATGGAGTTCCAAATACTCTAAAATCAATGAAATTACGCCCAATTATGATAGCAACCTATTCTGGGAGCGTACAAAATGAGAAGAATATAGATTTTCCGAGACAATTTACAACGAAGATTACAAATGTTTAAATCAATGATTTTGCGACATATTTTCACAAATAATTCATCCCTTGAGAAAAAATACAACATAGCTACTGTACTGAGTGATTCAAGAGTCTTGCTGCACACTAACACAAATATATTTCCGTATATACGTTCCGTCTCACCAAGGTCAGACTTCTTCAGACATACATAGTTCACCTATGATCCTATAGCAAAAAATGCAGTTGCATGCATATTTAAACAATCAGTGGAAAAGTTTGGGAGTTACGCATTTCAAATAATCAATAAAATCAGCGAATTCTTAATTAATTAACAGCGGGGTGACTGAAATGAAAGGTCATTAATGAGATCTCTCTCTTTGTTTGGTTTGACCAATTCTCTTTGTTTTGTTTTGTCCAATTCTGTTAAACAGCAAAACAGGGATATAAGCTATCGAGTAAAGGATGAGTACGGGCCATTATATTTATTTCAATGGACACGTGCTTAAAAAATATTGCTTCGCGTTTCCGATATCGGCGCTATAGGTCCATATAGCAGGGTGCAGCATCCTTTCAACGGTCTTGTCGGGTGGAGGATAGTATAAGTTCATTTCGATTCCACAATCAGCATAATAGACGATAAAATAAATGTTTAAGACAAAATAAATAACACTGATTATAGCATAAGTATTACAATACTTCGCTACTTCGCCCATTCATATTATATGGTATCACCACTCAAGGGTGCTGCATTTACGCCAAAATTTTAATTTCATCGTTATGTATATTTGGTGTTGTGTTGTCCCTACGGTACTCCTGAAGTATGCGCACCAAGATGTCGCACAACCTGAACCATAACCTGGTACACAACCTGAGTTCAGGTTGTGCGCCATCTTGGTGCGCATACTTCAGGAGGTCCGTCCCTACTTATATATATTGCCCTGTCTTATAAACTCCCATGTATAAACAGTTTTGTATACTTCTCCCTGACCACTTTCACCACACCAACCCATTGCCCCACTTTCACAACTGTCTGTATAAGGGACCATATTATACTATTCAATCTAACGCCACACATTTGTGTTTTAGGCCAGTAGGTCTTGTGCATGCATCCCATCTCAAATATTATTAATTGTCAATTTATTTATACTTTTCACTATTACAAGACGAATAAACATACATACATTTCTCCAAATCATGCAAATAATCAGAATTATCTAACCTTGTGGATCTGTAATGATAAGCAGTATAATAGGACAAAGCTTGTGAAAATTTGGAAGTACTTGGCCTCAATCAGGGAAATATGCGCGATCTAACGTCAAAGTTGGGAATCGAACATGCAAGACTAGCCACGGGCAAATTGACAACAAATACTAACGACATCACTGGAATACTATTGGATGGTGACGTTTACGAGAGAAAATGTCACTTACTACGCATCACGTGATGAGTTCGAGCCAGTCATTATCCAAAACGAGTGGTCTAGCAATGGCGGCAGCGCTCGAAAGGTATTGCTAATAACTATCAACTCGATCATATACATGAAAGCGATGAAAAAATGAGATTGATATACGGTTGGACCTTGAATGGGTGAAAACTATATATATGAAATGTGACACTAATCGTTGATATCGAAATTGGTCAGATTGTATGTAACAATCGTGATCTATTAGAGCTGTCGAATATGCTTCTGCATTTGTCAGTTATGAACCGGCATTCAAAAATTCTAGATGCCGATGTATTGAGTCCAAGACAGGGAAGCTGAGTCTTGTTTTTCACAACCAAACTACTCTTGGAGTAAGTGTATAATTTAATTTTTTTCTTTCTGGACATTCATACAGTTGACCTATATTAGAAATTATTAAGCTCGGGTGCCAAATGTGGATAATCATGACATAAAGCGCGAAAAAAGGCTAAGCAAAGGCTACTTTAAACCACGTGATCGCGGAGGCATATCGCAGTGAAAAGACTGTCTAGAAACACCCCCGAGTTTTTTAACTCGTCAAAACATTCGGAGAGCGGAATCACTCTACGCGATGGCCAAATTACTACGCCTATCGACACGTGTATCTTCCCTACTTCTTCATCTCCTCTCTCATTGCAAACGAAAAAAGGTCTCTTCCCATACTTCATTTTATTCAAATCATAAGATAAAGCCACACATACTACGTTATTGAATTGCTATAAGAAAGAGTTGCAGTATGTACGATACAGCCAATCAATCATATGCAACGGTGATCTTCGTCCGTTTTTTCTTCACGTCGAACGAAGTACGTTTCAACCAATGATGCCGAGGCAATAGTTCAGACGTACGTAGGGTATGACTGGTGGGCTTTGCCTATTAGTTATGGAGTTGAAGATTGAAGCGTTTCATTCCTACATTTTGAGTCAGATGCAAAAAGTTAAACAAGAGAGGCGTTTCGCTAGTTACCGGCAGAGGTGAGTTTCGACTTCTGGGAGGACATTATTTTAAAATGTTACACAAATATCGTTTACGTGATATTGGTGAGCAATGTGAAGAAAGTCTACTTAATATATTTGAACTTATCTATTTGTTGAGGCTGGGCGGCTTTGATGAAAAATAATGATAGGCTGATTGTATTCCTCACCGGTGAATTAATCATGAAACAACGCACTCTGGTATTCCGAAAGGCGTTGTTAATTCCACGCATAGTAACGGCTACTCCGCCATAACATGCAAGTCGCCCTCATCACATTTCTCTGTGGATGGATTTATTTTTAGAACAGCTGCTACTGAACTCCTCGCTGCAGCGAAAATGTACGTCATAAATGAGAAACGGTCACGATTGGTTGCGACGCAAATACATATTCATCCGCTGGCTTACAACAATCGTGTTTACGCCTGTGTGTTTTCACCGTGAAATCAGCTGTTTTGTACTAACGAGGATTGAAGAAAAAGGTGTTTAACACAATAATGCATTTAATAACTTCGCAACGTCATATAATCTTTTTTCGCGAATTGACCAATTCTCTCCAGCGCAATTCTGATTCAGGACCCCCCCTCCCAAGGCCTGCACTTGAGAAAACCGTGGTTGCTCACACTCATTTCTGCATCCAAAACTTTTATATAATCTTTTGCAAGTTCAACTGTATTGCAACACTTCGGTTTACGCCCGTTGTCTGTCGCAAAGGCTTACTTTTTGTAACCATATCGCATACGGGGCCAGCTCACAATAAGGTATGAAAATGTTTCGATAACTTACATGAGGCTATGAAATAAATCAGCACGTTTCAAAAAAAATCCATGGAACGAACTGTCGTGAACCAGAAAAAAGCAGTTGATGGCGTAACCAATTTCTCTCGACGACTTCATCCTCACTTTGGATATGGAATTTGGGCCGTGAATCTGTTGTATGTGTCCGTTTTGGGAAGAGAAATTAAATCACCATACCTTGCACATGGGGTTCAAAGGAACATTTATGTCGCATTTTAGCAAAACTCATTATAAGGAAAATTTTAATACAGATTTAATAGCCTTTTTGCAACTTCACACCTCAAATGCACTGTCAAAAACCCTTGTCGTGCTGCCGCGCGTATTGCTCTACTTACAACGGCGGTTGTATGTTACGCTATGTGAAACGGCCGCGAAAAGGCGCTCGCCGCCATCTTGGATTTTTCGCTTTGGTCACCTTCCTCCATGATAAATACGAATTTGCTGAGAACTAATAATATAGCAAAAGTGATGGATTTAATGTGGAATATTGAGGTATTTGGTTTAAATGTTTTTATGCGTATATGTGAGCTAGTGTTGGTGTACATGACTAGGCTACATTAAAATCTTCGAGGGGCGTCTGTGTATTTGCCGTCACTTGAGTCTTTGTTTCCCGGTAGCGTAGATGATATTGCACATGGCGACGAACTGACGAAAAGAATATATTTTCAAATCAACACATTATATGCCGGAAACACAATACAGTGTAGTTCAGAATCGAATGTACCATTCATCTGCAAGTATTAGGCACTTCAGCAAGACTAGTTAGTTCATAATTGAACTGACTCAAACCTGCCAAACTAACCCATTAAAATTAAGACAAGGAAATGGCAGCACCAGCACTTTTGATTTAGGTTAGGATTATTCTGACAAGTCACGGCTTGTTGATTTCAGAATCATATCATACTTAAGTTAACCAATACCAGAATACGGCAATAGTTTTTTTTGCACCCTCTGCCTTTTGGCAATAATTGGAAATCAAGAATAAAAGGAGTGTGACACAATAATTTCAAGAAAATTATATTACTGCATTACCCTAGTCTGCGAGTTGGCATATGTAAATTCTATTTAGTTGTCTGTGTTATTAATAACTTTATAGCTTATTGAACATGTTAAATTATAGGGTCTCTGTGTAGTTTCTTACTTCTAACTGTCTAATGGGCGTAGCATAACGATTTTTGTACATGTCAATCGTAACCCCCACCTGACTACGCCATCCAAAAATTATGTCACAATGACATCACACACAATCACTCATAGAGCTTGCCAAAGTATACCTACGATCCACTAGAAATACTTGAGGTACGAAACTACACTAGACCCAAATTATAGGGTCTCTTGTAGTTTCGTACCTAACGTACTTCTAGTGGGCGTAGCATAACAATTTTTTGATATGTCAATCCTAACCCCATCTGACTACACCCTCCAAAAATTATGTCACTACGACATCACAATCACTTCATAGAGCTTGCCAAATATACGTATAATCGCCCGAAATGGCATTGGCGCCGACGATAAGGAACTGACTGACATTATCGATCTCTCTCCTATTGGAATCGTTGCGACGAAAAAACGAGAGACATAACTGTTCGATTTCGGGTGCTCGTTTGCGCGTCTTGGATGGCAGTTCGTATAGTTTGAAGGGCTCTATTACGTTACTGTGACGTCGTGTTGATGTAATTTTTGGATGGTGTAGTCAGGTGGGGGTTAGAATTGATACATGAAAAAATTGTCATGGTACACCCACTAGAAGTATGTTAGGTACGAAACTACAAGAGACCCAAATTATATGCCAGAGGATTGCAAGTTTGAAGGTTTTGCCATAAGAAGTGTCACTCACATAAAAGTATTAAATTAATTCACACACTCGCACACAACCACAGAGATATGATGAGGTAAAAGAAACCTAAGATAAGTTACAAAGGAAACAAAATTAAATAAATAAAAACCATGCTTGTCTCGATAATAATTTAAATCAGTCGCGATGTGCTTTGTCTGTCATGTAACCAAAATTGTGTTTTTTTTAAAAACTCGCGAATGCTACAGTAAAATTTTTTCCTTTGGTAAATCAGATCATTTTTTTTCTGGGGAATCCAATGGTGACGTTCTTAGATTGCGCTTCCTTTCAGTTTATTGCGTAGTGTCGGTTTGCCAATGGGAGGGCCCAGACTGTCTCGTAAAGGAGGGGCTTGCACTTACTGTTATAATTAATTTCTTTTAAATGGGTGCAATTCTTAGCTGTACTGAAGCTATAATATTTGTGGCTATCTGTTTTCTGTATAATTAATCTCAGTTGTTATTCATCTTTACTCTATTTCAGCTCAGTGATGGAAAAGATGATGGACTTCATATCTTTCTTTGAGGATTTTAATGAATTAATATCCTTGAAGGATTATTCTACATTCGAAGGAATAAAGTATTTATTCTGGTTGTGGAATATTTCTGTAAAGGTACATTTCATATGTATGAAGATCTTTTTATTTCATTCATACTGATCATCATGTCCTAGATTTTAGTGTGTGTTTGTTACTTTTGCTATTGTTAAATTGCGATTGTTTACTAGTCATCATTTGTTAGAGATCTATCAAAAAATCGTAGTCATTCAGTCCGATATCTGCTTGAATTTTCGTGTTATCTCAGGTTCATATTTATCAATAGGAAAGGTGTATCTGAATTTGACAAGTCAAGTTTAATGCGATGACACACGTACCGCCTCTGAAGTTTACTTTTAATGATTATTTTATATAATAACATTTAATATGGTATAATTTGCAGTTTATTGAGCCACAGTCTAGATTAGAATCACTTGTTTCACTAATTTTTAGCTCGAAAGTATTTATTTAGAAAAACAGAGTGTATATTCCTACATTTTTTTTTTAGTTTGACTACTATCTGCAGCGATGGACAATGAGGACAACTCACAGAGAGAACAAATTTCACTGTATGGGCTCTTTGGGGATTCTTCCACCACATTGCAAGGTCTGAATGATCATCTGTCCCCATCATTGTTGCAGCAGTCTCCACCATGTGGTAGCACAACCTTTTCTGTCTCTTCAACTTCTGGAAGATCGATTGTAACATCTCCATTGAAGGTTAGCATGAATTTTTTCTTATACGATGGAGTGCATGTATAAGCCAGGGCCATAAATATATATATTTTTAGGGTAAATATATGTCATGAAATATGTTTTATATTGATATATATTCAAGTATTAGTTACATAATTAGATCTCTAGTACTCTAGATCTCTACATAAGTTAAGATCTCTCTAGTTTGTTTTGCCTTGTAATATTTTGATGCAGTGAAAAAATTTGTGACTAATGAAAAATATTTTTAGTTACAGTCGAATGGAATTCAACAACAAGTATTTCTGTCCGACTTGGCAGATCGTTCTCCAAGTGCAGGTAGTGTTACTGTCGCATCCTTGTGCAGTCATGTGTCCTTTGACAATTTGCGCTGTACGAACTTGGTCAATATAAAAGGAAAAAGGTTAGTTTTCGTTTTGCAAAATTTACTCACATTTTCAGGATATCAGGATCAAAGTAAAATCCTGGATGTGCAATAAAGTACTATATTGCGTTTTAGTGCAACTATGTGTCTTCAATGTAGAATTCCTTTCACCGGATTAATATTCTCTTCAAATCTATTACCAAATGCTAGATAGAGAAGTTTCTCACTACTTTGACATTTTTTTTATGATAATAACCTGTATGGCATTCTGTTTTTTAGAAAGATAACTGCAAGTATTGTAATATTTATTTTTGTTTAAGGCTTTGCAGTCAACATTTTGGTGCTGAAATGACTGTAACAACAACTGGAATGAATAAACCTTCACTTGGTCAGCCGATACCTTCAAATTTGCTCAAACAAACAGTGACATTTGCATCACCGATTAATGTATCAAATGCGAAATGTGTTATGAAACCTTTGTCAATTTTAAAACCAGTTTCTGCAATTGTTCAGAAGGCTGGAGGAGTAGATGTTCCAGACAAGGCAGGTTTCGGTGGATCCAATATAACTTCCAAAGATAAAATATCCAAATACTGTGTTGTTAGGAAAGTTGGACAACAAATTACAGTTCCCAACAGAATGCCTGTCATGAAAATGTCTGAAGCAAACAAAATGAAAGCTTTCAAAACGGTTCCGGTATCTACAACCAATCTCACCCAGTTTGCTCAAACAAATGATCAGAAATCTCACACTGTTGTCAACTCTCAGCAACCTCTTCAGGCTGTTCGTCTGAATGTAGTGAAAAACTCAACATCAAGTAGTGTATTTCCGTATTACAAGAAAGTTGAATCAAGTGCGACGAAGGCACAGACACACAGAGTTAACTCTTTTCCAAAGAGCCCCACTCCTACAAGTATTGGAAGTAGCATTACTCAAACTCCAAATAAGGTGAGTAGGCTAGTGAGTAAAGGGTTAATTTTTATTTGTGATCCTCACTGTAATATGTGCCTCTCTCTACACTTCAATCTAAAAACCTGTACTGATGTAACTATGGGATTGCTTGTATATTTTCTGGTGTTTTTGTTTGTAGGTGTCAACTCAGTCTGTTGTTGTGGATGAAAGTACGTTGAAAAAACTTGTTGATGTGTTGAATTCTCGCAGTGACATGTCAACACAGCAACAAATATCATTACTTCGATCCATGGGTATAACGGTCGTCCAGGCTCCATCCCATACTAACAATATGACCATGATGTCTCAAAAGTATGCAATTTGACATTGTTTTTTTCAGTGATGTTTTTGTTTAATGCTCATCCACAGTACAGAGTGTTGTTTATATGTACTTGCCTCAGTATTAATTAGTTGAATAATTTGTATTGGTATTATTCACGCATATTTGTAATGCAGATATGGTTTTGTAATAGTGTATATTTGTGATATGCTATTGTCTAAGATATTTAATATTCTTCCAATTATGTGTACAGAAAACCATCACCTTCTATTAACATTCAAGCAAAGAAGGTTAATGTAAAGAAGAAGATTGTGCATCCTAATATGGGAGCATACGCCTCATCACTTCAAACTTCTACATTGAAAGGTAAATACTAATTGCACATAAAGGACAGTTATTAATAGTGGTTTTAACAACATAGAAAAGGCCAGTTTAAAACTATTAGGATGGATTTAGTATTTATCAAGCGTTTCTTATGTTTGGCTATTACTTGGATTTTGAGATCTGTCTTTGGTAATGTTTTTTTTTAATTATTGTTATCAGGGACAGGCAGCCCAATCTTGTTTAAAATGGGGAAAGTTGCTTCATCTGTCTCAGCTTCTAAAACAAACTTCATATCAAATATACAGACAATTGATGGAGGTTAGTCTAAATTTTTATCTAATTTTCAGTTGTTCATGGATTAAATCTATAAGTATAAATTCAAGCAATAGATATAAAAATTTGAACAAATTCCTCTACGGTCAAATTCATAATGAGGTACTTTATAAGGTTTGTCAGTTACTATGGAGCTCTGTGATAACATTAATGGTGTTGTTTTGCATTCCAGGATACACAGTTCAACAACCGAATTTAGAGAGAGCAAGCATTTCTGAGGAATTTAAGGTACGGTACTCTTCTAAATAATATAACAAGTCTGTATTTTTACGTCCGAGTTTTTGCACTACAGCTTATATATCGAAATTTCTAATGTCTACAAGATCTAGAATTAGGTAAACTTCGCATTTTAATCTCTATATTTGAAAAAGTTGAATGATTGAATATTATCTATATGATTTTTCCGCTCGGCATTAACTTTGTATTTGTTTTCTTCAGGAAAAGAAGACTGCTGGTAAAGTAGCTGTCAAAAGGAAACAGGTATTAATTTATAGAGCAATTGAAAGCAAATTAAAGTAAACAAAGCGTATACACATAGAATGTATATTTACTTTGGCAATCGTCTATCAGTGGATGACAAACGAAATCCAAAAATTGATATTCTGCTAAAAATTATTATTTTCAGAATAGTTTATTCAAGAAGTGATATAAAATAATTGGTATAATTAGCTTTTTATATTTATATAGCTTAACAAATCTGAAATCCATTTTTTAGTAAATGAAAATTATATTTTCAAGTTTATTAGATCATTAGTTTTGGTATATTAGAATCACCATGTGGAAATATATTAGTCAATTATCGATTGTTTATTAGTTTTCATAGTATCTATTAAGTATGCTTTCTTTGCCATTTAGAAGCCTTCCGACATGATTCAGTCAAAGAAAAGCAAACCTATGCCCGCTACAGCTGTGTTAAAGCAACTGAAACCAAACGATAAACAAATTACAAACTTGCAGAAAAAAGGAAAAAATGTTAAGTCACTGAAAAGCAAGAAACAGAAAACAATACCGGTGTGTATGTCATTGTTGATGTGATATTTTTACTTGGTTTTCTACGAGAAATAAACGAAAATTTATTTTTATTCATATATTTCAGACTTCTTCACAAGATGTTGCTTTACAAATGTTTCTGTCTTGTAATAAATCTATTGAACTACCGACTGTACCACATGGTGCTCCTCGTTCACTCTATAAGCTGGCCAAGTATATTAGTGGCTTGACGTTTTTAAAACATGACTTGTTTCTCACAAACTATGTAACGACTGAATCCGGTGTTGAAACAGGTATTATTGTGCGTTTTTATGTTACAATTCGAAACATAACCTAGTCTTAGTAGTTTGATATTTAAGGAAATCGGATGATTAATTTTGATTATGAATGCTCTGTGTCAAATTAGTATCAGAGTCCATGTTTCATGACAACAAAATGGCTGACTTTTGACCTCTCTGAGATCGATATAATAATTCTCATTCATATCTTGCCAGATTTGGCATATTTTGCTGGATTTCACTTTTTGAATTCTAGACATGAATCATATTTATTTTTGTGTGTCATGTAGATGTGGTAATATTTTTTGTATTTCACCAGTTTTTAATTCCACTTTCACTCCAATATTTGGACTTCATTTTATATTTTTAATCAGTATTTTTTGTTTCAATTTCATCAAATCTTCTCCTATTTTTACCAGATAAATCTAAGACCTTGAAACACAGACTATTGAAAAAGCATGTTATGAAACGGAAATTTGTAGCCTCAAGATCAAAACCAAAAGGTCATAAGAACGATTTAAAAAGTTTGCAAGATACAAATTTTCTCAAAGCTTATGCGACTTCACAAACAGTGTTGAATTCATACTCGCTCACAAAATGTACTTCAAGTTTGAAAGCCACTGTGCACCATGAGAAATTTTTAGAGGATTCCAAGAATGAGAAAGATTTCCAATCGGAATTAGAGGCACTATCACAAAATGTTGTTGAGAATTCCAACAAAGTTGGGGATCTGACTTGTGATCCAGATTTAGCAATGTAAGTGAAAAATCAATTCATTTTAGAGTTGCATTGACATATGTCTCAAAAAATTTGCTTTGTGGATGGTATGGTGAAGGCTCTGTTTACAACTATTTTTATTGGATTCCTTTTGTGATCTTTTATTGAGGTCGCACAAAACGATTCATTCTATGAAATATGAGGGGACAAGTACAATGCCTTAGTATTGTCTGTAATTTCTGTGCAGTTCGTTTTTTTTTTAATTTGGTTTCACATTAATAATATATGCTCCATATAGAAATTTCCAGTCTAAAGTAAACGCAATCAATTTTTAATGTTAACTTCATCATATTTATGAATTAGACTGAACTATGGAATCTCTTAACTATAGAATTTTCATGTAGCTCATTATTTGACATATAAAGAATGTTAATAACAACATCTCTAGCAATCGCTGCATAATTAGTTTCTGCCAAATATATATTAGAAGTATCAGTGTCTGTATGAAAGGGATTCAAGTTTATAGAGACTATCAGTAACAGGCATGATAATTAGAAACTGTTAAATCATATTCTATAGAAGCAAGTGAAGGGTTAATCCCTTGTTTCAAATGTAGCTATTCAATTTCACTAAGCCTTGTTTTCTTACATTTTTAGAATCAATCAACATTATTGCAAATTATATTTATTTATTAATAAACACAGGGATGAGGAAGAGAAGATTTGTTATACAATTCACACTCAACAATTGAGAGATATATATAAGAAATTAGAAGAACAGTTATGCAGAGATAAAAGAGAGCTTGAACTTGTGATGGATGCTTACAAAGATGATGAAAATATGACTGAAAGATACTTGAAGTCTACTCTGCAATCTGATGCTGCTAATTTGTATGCTTTTTTTCTGTAAAGTAGATATCTTAGAGTAATCTTGCAAATCATCATTACATATCCTTTGGTCGATTATCCGTTGACTTGTGATATGAAAAAAAAATTGCAAAATTATGCATTTATATTTTTTATTTCTCCATTTGTACAGAACACAATCTTCTGCAATCAAGAAAAGAAAACGATGCCATCTTTCTGTTAACAATGCACTGTGTTGTGATGCACCTGCTTTACCATATGCACTGTATTGCAAAGAGCACATATGGCATTGTCCGAGCCAATGTCTGTATAAATTAAATCAGAGCATGCAACCAACAGCTGATATTGTTCCTGAACCTTTGATATTGGTAAATTTATATTGTATTTTTGGCGCTTCAGAAGTATGTGTACCATAATGAGGGTAACTAATTTTGTTCGCCTTTTTTACGTCAAGTTGTGTAAAGGGACTGAAACCTATGGGCAGGGGGTATATTCACTTGGCCAACACAGACAGTCCCAAACTCGTAATAGAACTAAAATTGGAATGAAATTATCGTGGAACCCTAACCTGCTACACACACCACAGTAGTCCTTTATAGGTATATTGTTCATGGTTTTGGGTCTCTACCTGTATATCTGTGTTATATTTTTTTAATAAATCCAATGATGTCCTAAAGATATTACAAACTAACTATCCTGAAGTAGAACCTTTCAATGTAAAATTTTGCAGTCTGAGTGACAACAAGTGCTTTGATTCTAGATATTAAAATCCTGTGTCTGCTATGCAATGATAATTCTATTACAATGTAAAAGGATGCAAATACTATACCTATGTTTATCATTTTTGTAGCGTGTTATTAGTAACAGTTTGTATTTATATGCCAATTTCATTTCCGAAGGTTAAAAAAGTAAGAAAACGGACAAAATTGTTACCATTGACTAAGAAGCATAAAAAGAAGAAAAAGAGAAAAATTGAAGACAATGAAAGTCACGAGCTTGTTCAGGATCAAGCACAAAAGCAAATTTCCTCATCAAAGGAAATAAACCAGGTCTATAATCATTGTGTCAATATACCAATAGATGTATTTGAATTTCTTGCTTATTTTGTAGTTATTATTTATGTTTGTATATCGAAACTGAACAACGTATTATCTTTTTATCATAAGTCGTATTACAAAGTTAATGAAGTAAATGTTAACGAGCCTTCAAGCAACTGTTAAAACAAATTATTTAGAATCCTAAAATAAAAAAACATAATAAAGTATATATATCTACATAAGTTTTCAAATAGGCACAGAAATAAAAAAAATTGTTATTCGATAATTGTAATTGTTAAAAGTTTCTAAAAAGTATGTTGTTACCCTAATGAATTTTCAGAGATGAATTCTCCCGCTCACTGTAATGATGAATTATAAGAGACTATATATATATGGAGTTTTGTCAACCTTTGACCCCTGAATATGAGTAATAATATTGTAAATTGACCATATATTACAGACTGATTCTTCACCTTTGAAAGCATCATCAGCCATAGTAACAGACATGAGAATTGAAGCCTCAAAACTTTGCGATAAGGGATTACTCACTAACATTGATGTTTCGGATTTGGATGATACCAAACCATCCGACACAAGCGAAGAGGATTTGCATTATTTGACTGGTATGAATCGCTTATTAATTCGTTATTACTGAAGCAATGTTATGAAAATACGGTAGGCTGATCACTTTTATTAAATTATAGAGTATTTCACCTTGTCATTAAAATGATGGTACATTCTGAGTTAGTATAAAATATTGTCTAAATTTTGTTTTTGCAGGTCATGAAATAATGTTAAATGGAGTTTTCGATAAATTACCAGAAGATCCTCAAGATTTTGATTTTTTTACCACTGGTGAGTGTGATGTCGACTTGTGTCACGTATGATCAATGATCTTATTAACAATCTTTCTTTTCTATAAAATATCAATATCAATTTTTTGCTATCTTTTGATACTAGTAAATATGCATTTTCGATGGAATGCATACTTATTGAGCATGCATGCGTTCACTTATCTAAAAATCTGTATATAGACTAAATTAAATTTTAAAAACTGAGAGCTAGGATTGTGTTGTTTTATGTTATTACTTATCGATCTTTAAATCGATAAGTATGTTGATAGGCATTTGTCTGTCTGTTTGTCTGTTAGATGCACGCAATATCTCACGAAGGCTTGGTTGAATCTGCTCCAAATTTTGCATGTGCATTCATCATATCTCGGACCAGAAGCCTATTGATTTTGGATGAATTATGTCGTATAATTAGCGAGTTATTAATTAATTAGTGATAGGACACAAGGCGTCACTATGGAGTAAGAGCGCTGTTTTGGGGGATCCCCTAACTTTCGATCGATAAGTCTTCGGTCTCTGACCGATATTCTCGTTTCTGGTTTACAAATTGATTTTTATATATACACTAAAGTCTGGTTTAAATTTTTGTAACTCGCTATTAAATATTCTATTCTTCAATTTAGATAAGGGTGCTGAAGAATTAGAACGTGCTTTGCTTCTTGATGCAAGTTCCCCTACTCCCGATCACGAAGATAATAAGTTCGAAATACCAGTTGTGTCAGAATCTACACCAAAACCAACGTGGTCTCCTGTTTCCAAAAGTGGAAGCAATAATAACAAATTGGCGCAAGAAGATGTACCAGTGGTTGTATGTGTTGCACCACGATCTAACAATACCAACGAACAGCCTCCTCCCATTGAGGATTTCAACCAATCACAATGTGTACATTATACGTTTGGAAGTAGTTCAGTTGCAACTACTAATAAAAAGACAAACACAGGTATTTTCATTATTCTCATTTCTTCGTGATCAAGGTCTTTCAAATAAAAAGATTGTAGATAGTGGTTATATTTTCCTCAACATGATAGCTATTTTGCATCAAAAACAGTTCTTTAATTTTTTTTAATGATACAGACTGGTGACTGGTGAGTTATTTGTATTATACCAGCATTATTTATAGGATATATAGCAATTATCATTCTTTCATAGTTGCTATGTTGAGAACACCACTTGACTCCAGCAGAAAACTAACTTCAGGGACCAAAGGTCTTGAATATGTCTATGTATCGGTTGCAATCTCTTTTTTATATTCGCTTTATTGTATGCAGGTGACAATTTCACTACGGAGGAAGAGTTAACTTCTTCACTCATTTCTGCCGAGGAGTTGCAGGATATTGAAGGAGTACTGGAAAGCCTTCAAAAGGACGCAGAAGACATCAATTCTCCCAAACTACCGTCGTCTCCTGCCATTGATCAATACACAAGCATGCTTGCCAGACAGCTTTCTCAGGTTTATAACCCATAATACATTTTGTTAAAAGTTGCCAAAAGGCTATTACTTTTTCTTCCAAATTTTCTCAAGAGTCTTATAAGGTCCGACATTTCGCCCAAACTTTCGATTTCGTACTTTACTTCATATGAACATGGTTTTAATCCCAAGTCCTGTAGGCCATAGGTTCTCAAAGTGCTCCGTACGGAGCCCCAGGGCTCCGCGAGAGAAACCCAGGGGCTCCGCGGGCTATTCGATTACTCTTCAAAATACTGACTCAAAATTTTGTAACTGTTCAAAGAAGCAATAACAGCTTTGATAACATCTGACAACAATATAGCCTCGAAATATGGTAAAGGGCCGGAATTAAAAAATTACATTATTTATGAGCAGTAGCGCAGCCAGGATTCTTAAGAGGGAGGTGGTTCAAAATTGGAATCGGAAATTTCCGCGCAACATTTTTCGCGATTAAAAAAACGGATAACGAGATTTCTGTTGCGTAAAATATTCAATCCAAGACCGATGGAGCATTTGACGTGTCTCGTCGGTATAATGTAGTTGTGCTCATCGTTACTCACGTTTGATTCGAGATTACTATTAGGATTACTAAAATGAAAGAATACTATTCTAAAATAACATAAAATATGTGATAAACTGCCAACTATAAATAAATTGGTGTCGTATTTTTGCGATCTTGGTATTTGTCAAACTTGATTTGTTCTTTCGCACTTGAGATTATTTTTGAGCAAGATATCGCTGTTTAAAAAATCACAATGTCTGGGGAAAATACGAACAATTGAAAATTATTTTATTGCATTCAGCTCCATCGGTAGTTTCAGAATAAAAAAAGGTACATCGCGGATCGCGCGCACCATTGATTGCGTGCGGCTGCGTCGGTAGTTTCAGAATGAAAAAAATGGTAAATCGCGCGCACAATTGACTGTGTTTCGATTTCGCAGCTACTACGATGAAAACCTAACATAACACCAAATTTTGTGATTTACAATGTCTATAGAAGCGTTTTCAATCTGAGATGAGTCTGCTGAAACCAAAGTGTGATCTTCCATTTTAAGTTTCAGTTTAAATATTTTAGAATGCCGCTTTTCAATCAAGAAATTTGAGTTGTGGATTTACCTTTTTATTGATTATTATTTTTAGCATTTCGTCGCCGATGACTATAATATGGTAACATGTTTTTCACATTGAACTCATAATTCCCCACGAGAACAAAAAAGCAATTAACGTCGTCACTGTGTAACAATACATGTATATGCCGAGGGAAATTTTTGATTTAGGGAGAATAAACAGCGGCGTAAAGATGTTTAAAACACGCCATGCTGACGGAAAAAATCGGCGATTGTAACAAAATGAAATAGCGCACGTTACTAACGGCCTTTTAATTAAGTCTTCCAAAAATGTCAAAAAAGAAAAGATTCAGCATTTAGAATAAATAAAGTACTTTTAACTTGCTCGGGAATAATAATCTGAAAGTAACAATTTTAAAATTTATTTTGGGGCTCCGCGAATAATATTCAACCTTTCAAGGGCTCCGCAACACCAAAAGTTTGAGAACCCCTGCTGTAGGCAACCAGGCTTAGCCATCGACCCTTTTAATCGAGCATCTGTTTTCTTTGCTTTGAACTCTTTTTGTTAAGTGTAAAATTGTAAAAGTACATATATATTCTGACTTCTATCGAATTCGTTTACTGCCTCAATTTTTCCACTATGTTATGCATCTCATATTGAATACTAATTTATTTTTACACACTATATTACAGGAAGTGGAAACTGAATCTCTGAAGCAATTTTCATCTTCTCGACAGTCACCTTCACTTTTTAATGTTCCCAAAGATTCAAGTCCGTCCAGTTTGACAAGAACTTACAGCCTTCCTCTAACAAACAATAATAACAGACTTCAATCTGCAACTTTGAGTGGATCTATTGCGGATAAACAGACTTCTGTTCCCAAAACATCAACAACACGTTATATTAGTAACCTCAATTCGAATGGTTCGACTGATACTGGCGATCTGGTTAATGGTCAACCATCCGCTATCATTTCCACAGTATCCCTTGGACTAAAACCACAAAGTACTGCATCTGGGTCATCACAACGTTTCACACAAACTTCTTTACAAAATCTTAATATGTCGACTTCTAGTCTGCTTCCTTCACACATGCAATCAACTCCTTCAAAAGCTTCTGTTGGATCTAGACAAGCTGTGACTCAAGGTAAGTTTTACTTCACAGCTCGGCTCCATCTCTGGACATTTAAGGTTATTTGGTATGACCACTACCCTGCAACATCAGTGTAGTTTCACGGAATCAAAATTAAACTGTTAAATATAAAAATACAACATGAAGCTTTTAAATTATTATTAAAAATTAGAATTTAGAAAAAATCAAAAGTTGAAAAGGATTAAAAAGTTATAAATGTAGACAATTAACTACCGGTAGATGATTTGGAGCCTGAGCCACTGCTGGTAGCTCCAGACCCATCTATTTTGGTATGCTCGGCTCAAACTTCTTCAACAACAAGTCTTGTCTTCAGCTTGTTGAACCTGTTGAAATTGTTTCCAAATTATTAATAAGTGACATTTTTCTTATACAGTTCGTTTAGACATGACATCAAAATCATCTTTGAAGACCACTGCTAATAAGTTGACAAGCACTCCTGAAACTCCTCGTAAACTCGCAAAGAAAATTCCACGACAAGTAACTCAAACCGTTTTGAGTCCATCAGGTGGTGGTGTTTTATCGTCTAGTAAAAATCCTGCTCCGTCATCCACTATATTGACAAATCCTGTGTTGCCAGTTACTCTCATGCAGAGTGCGTCGCAGAATGGAAACGTCATCAAAGTCATTGTTCCACCTGGCACCATGGTAAACAACAGTGGAGGTCAACAGGTAAATGAGATGTAGGATGCTTTACTGCAATGCCAAAGTTGAAATAATGATTAGTCTCAATAGCAATTAGCCAATAGTACAACCTGAAACCTTGCATTTGGTATGATATATGTAAAATAACTTGCGAATCAATGCACCAGTTATTTGTTTAATGTTTACAGTTTACACACTTGCAGTCCAGGGATAATTGTTGTATTGAAGATCGGACAACAATATTATCTGTGCTGTAGTTTTGTTGTCCTTTCATTTTACTAAATTTCCTATTCCTACAAGCTGCGCTTGTGCCAGCATTAGCAATGTAGTAGGCACCTTTGCTGTATTTTTCTTAGGATTCATACCGAGGTATAATTTTTAAGTTGAATAAAACCTCTATAGGCTATTGAGATATTTCGTCACAAATAATTTCGTTGAAATAGTATTGAGTTTGAAATCACTCGATGTAATCAGTGGTGGAATTTTAGTATTTGAGCAAGTTCCGTTTTTGATTTCACTTCCATTTTGCAGAATATGCTACTTATACCAGTCAGTGCATTGATGAAATCTAATATAGTTTCTGGAAGTCAAAACATTCCAATCGCAAACAATAGTTTGTCAACGAGCCACAATCCACCAACCTCTGGGTCATCGGTGAAAACACAACTCTCAAGTTTACAGGTATTGAATATTTTTATTATTTATATGTTCTATAGTACGTAGATCTTATTTATTTATCCACAGTGTTAGGTACGGTTATTCTAAATACAAATTATCTGAATATTGAATATTAAACTATTTTAATGAAAGAAAAATACATACTGTACTTCCTGTTATTATTGGGAATATCAAATTTCGTCATAAAGTGTCAACAATACAGTCGATCCACCATTACTATTTACTTTGTTGAAATTTGAGTCATTGTGTTTTGGTTTTATCCAGGCGGGTCAGCAATTTTTTGTCGTCAACAATGCGTCGGCATCGTTGCAGTCACAGATTGCATTGGTACACAAAACAAACAATGCTTCACCAGTTGTAGGACAGCGGGGCTTAGTTCTGAAAACATCAAACACTGCTGGGGTTCAACAAAACATTCTAAGCATGATAGGTGAGCTATCTGGTTTTGTAAACGCAATCAATTTCACTCTGGCCTGGAAAGCATAGTCCTCATTCAGATGACCGTTTTTCTTATTACTCTAGCTGATTTTTTTAGAAAGCTTTAGTTAACTCAAACTTTAAGTTTACTCCATTTGAAGTTAAACAAAGAAATTATAGTTCAGTTAACTAAATTCACCTGAATATTTTCTAGATTTCGAGTATCTATATTGATTTGAACTTTCGTTTTGGTTTTTCAAATACCACATGTCTGAATATTACTTTTCAGGTCAGAAGGCTTCCCAAACTTTGTCAAAACCTGTCCCATGCAATATTAAACCTAATGTCAATGCTTTCATGAAGCAAAACAAGGGCAATCAATTTGGACAAAGTAAGTTCATTCGTAATATGTTTGGTTTATTGTGGTTTGTATTTGTATGCTTAATGAAACAAATACATTGCCACAGTAGAACCAAATTAACTTATGTTACATTATGAGGGTTCTGAAAAAATCACATTTTTGAAATTTTCATATCTGTACAGCCAAACCAAAAAATTGCCACAGGGCACTACTTAAAACCAAAACTAAGACAGATACAGATTTGCAACTGGATTATATAAGAACAAACCCTCTTGATTAATACTCGTGCGTGTAGGGTGTCCCTTGGTTAGGAAACCTTGCCATAGAACAATGCTTGAGTTGGTTTTTGTGTATTCATTTGCCTTGTCAAACTTATCGAAATCAATTTTACTCAGCAAACATTGGAATCCCTTCTGGTGTTACGATTGAAGCGAATCGACTCTGTACATCGTCAGGATCGTTGAAGGCCGTGCATCCAACCACGACACCCACAAGTAAATCTTCAACTTCTCTCCAAGCGAAAGTCGTCAATTCAACTTTTCTGAAACAAACTCCACCACGAATGCAGCATGTACGAAGGATTCGAAATACAGTAAAGAAAGTGGCCAAAGCCAAATTCGATCCTATCACTAAGAAATACGTACAAGGAACAGTGGCGACCACAGACTCGACACCTGTCTCTGCCACAACGACCGAAACATTATCGCAAAGCATGATGAAAGTGCAGCAAATTGATTCGGTTTTGTCTTCACTCAATTCGTTAAAATCAACCCCGAGAATCGCTCAGACAAATAATGTTGGAAATCGTTATGTAGATGGCAATGGGCACTGGTAAGATGTTTGTTTTTTGGTTTACAAATTGATAATTAAGGAATATAATTTTCCAGCTCAAGCATTTCATGTTAACAATTCAGTGCCTCATTCAAAATTCCCTGTGATATCAAAATTGCATATTGGAATTTGCTTGTTTAATATTTGCGACTGATTTTTGAGTGAACTTGAATGATCTTTTTTTCTAGGTTGACGAAGACTGTCGTTTTTCCCACCACGCAGATTTCTCAGAAATTTGTAGCCAGTTCATCAAAAGTCTCCCAATCGACATCTCAAAAACTTTCGGCAACCTTGGCCCAATCTTCTAAAAATGCTTTATTACTGGACAAAGCCAATAATAACTTGTCATCGGTGTCTTCCAAAGTCTTACAAGGGAATGCTGACAACTCAACGGTATTTCAAAATAGAGTAAAAAGTGTTATATTAGAGAGTGAAGCCAATACGTTGAGTGGCTCGATATCCAATGTTCCTAATGGTGCCAACACCAGCACGTCTGTCAGCAGCGGAACTGTTCATTGGAACCAAACTACCACTGCTGGCCCACAGATAGCTCAGACATTGACACTACCAGTATATATAACCGGTTCACTTAACGCTGGAAATTGGACATCAGGCCTGAATGCCATTAATGGATCAATTGCTGGAACAACTGTGCCGATATTGCTTCCTGCACAAAAAATTACCCCTGGTTGCCAGATCCCACAGAGAGTTTTCTTGGGGAACTTGGGATCTCTTGCCCTACCTGCTTCCAGAATTCACACAAACTCTTCGAATTCACAAGTTTCAAGAACTCAAAATCAATCTAATAGTAATTGCGGAAACCCGAGCATTATAAGTTCATTTACCTCAAATAACGTTGCAACTACTCTTGAATCTCTAAACAGAAATGATACTATAAAAACAAATTCAACAGCAACAAGTGTTACAGCTGTTGTCGGTACTACAATGTCTGCTAAACATTCTGTGGAAAACAGTTTGGAGCGTGGAAATGTAAAAAAAAATAACAATGGCTTTATAAGCATTTCAAACGCTAATTCTAAAATTTTTCAAGCTATTACGCAAACTGTAAAGTCGAGAATGGGGAATTCTATGGCGGTGTCAAAGTCTGAAAAAGATTCTTTGTCAACATCCACCGCTATCAGTTTTCAAATACCTGTAACTAATATGACAAGAACAGTTAATTTGTCCACTGCCTCCAAAATAGATTCCCCCTTGATTTTAAATGGTCAGCGATCCAAAACAACAGCTTCTGAAAATGGCAACGTCAAATTGATAAAATCAAAGGTGGAAGGTACCAAAGAGTCCATAATCCGAGAAGAATTACATATTAAAAAGAAAAGTGGCCGAAAAGCTAGCCATGACACAATACTCCATGATCCTTTAATGTTTGATCCCACCATTCTAGATGCTGATTCTGACTCTTCTGAAAATTGAAGTTTTCAAAATCATATTTCATGAGATGATGTAGAGCTCTTCTATCGTTGTTTTTTTACTATTCCTCTTCACATTGATGTTCATGTCTAGCGTGAATGAAACTGCAATGTTATTTTTTTCCCATAATTTTTAGTAAATCTACAGCTTTTTTGCTGGCTTATCCCTTGTGTGCATAAATTATCATGTTACTATATATAATATGCTAGTAAAATACATGAAGATAATGGCGCATTTTCTTCCGCTCTAAAACAAGTATGAAAATGTTAGTGTTTATGCCAGAGCCTGGAGAATAATGCAAATATTATGGTGCTACTCTCGTGCGACGTGATCCTATATTTTTTTAGTTACTATTTTGTTCTTAATGTCATTTCGTGTCATGGACTCAAATAGAAAACATCGCTCTTGAGTTTCTTTCCATGTCTGATATATTGATTATCATTATCATGAGAATAAATGCCGGTGCAATATTGGACATTTGTTCTATTGTGTCTCGAGAAAATATACCACGTAATTAGTCAACTTATTTAAGCTCGAACCTCCCTAACCAGGTGGGAATTCACGTGTGGATTATTAAATTGGTTTATTCAGGGAAGCCGCGATCTTCTCATTGGGTGTTTCGATATAACCACCTACAGTACGGTAGTGCTACATGCACATGACTCCAGTAGTAAAGAATCCATAAACGATTGAACAGATAAAGTATTTTTTATACGTAGTGCTGTAGTGAGAGAGGAATAGAGAGTTGCAAAATAGTCAAAGGGAGGAATGGAAAGGCTTTTGCCATTGCCAACTTGGCCGTTTCATGCTCCGAGAAGTCCACTTGGTGTACTGCCAGGTAAGACCGAGATTTAGTGGCAATTTCGACGAATCCAAACCATAACGTATTCTCCCACTATATTTCGATGGAATGATCGACTGCATAGAACTGACCGCTTACATGTCTGACTTTTCTGTGGGTTCGTAATTGCCAAATTGTTTTGAAAATGATGATTAATGCATCAGTATCTGTCTCCATCCACTACATGATAATAATTTCAAACTAATAATGTAACATACATATATATAAGAAAAGAAATACATCAGCTTTTGTCTCCATGAAAGGGGTATGCAAACTGCGGCCCGCTGGCCCGCCAGGAAGAATTGTGCGTCCCGCGGAGAAGTGCCTTGGTGTGCCCGCGAAACGAGTTTTTAGTTTATCTCGTTAAAATTTCTTGGCGTCGCAAAGCCTATACCAGTACGTGATTGCCACTGCCATATTAGTAAACACAGATAGCAAAATCCTGTTACAATATACACAATCTTATAAAAACGCGTAAACTCGGTGTAACAATAAATTTGAACAACCGTTTCCTTTAGAAATTCATGCGTTTTATTTCACCACTTCTACAAGGACCCCTAACAATGCCCCATGATCAATAACAAAAAATTTTTGTTTGTTTGTTTCGCTTCAATGCTTAAATAGACAACGGGGTGTGAAACCAACTTTCCTCACTGCCCGTTACCAACACTGCCACTTTTTTTAAATGTTGTATTATTATTAAAATTGATTTTTTCACGCAATACTTTTCATTTTCTGCCCAATGCCAATTTGTATTTAGTTTTCTATTTTGACTTTCTCAATGATATTGAATAGAAGTGGGAAATGATTTTTTACATGATCATTCGAAGCACTACCGAGAAGAATAAAGGGATTTGCCGTATTGTGAGCTTTCACACAATTCGTGTAATAAAGTTCTTAAATATACCGAAATATGCTGTAATGTTCTCCTTCATATCAGATTTTTTATGATATTATTTTTGGACCCGCCCAACAATCTTATATATTTTACGCGATATAATGACTTTAATCGAATCCTCCAGCGTAGAATGGAATGTAATTAAATTCATATACAAAATAGATATGATGTCAGGTTGTGATTATTGGTATTTGTATATAGATATATATATAAGTTTGTTTGCCAACGCGACACGAGAGAGTCTTGAATCTGAATCTTACGGAACTATTTTCTTGCTCCGTTCAGATGAGCTGAATATGTTTATTGCATTCACTCTGAAAAGTTCAAAGAACCTGGAAGTATTTCTTATCGTTTTCGGAAAATTAAGTCATAGGGTAAAAACTGTCCAATTATATTAAATTAGTATGTTTAGTTTCTGAACTTAAAGAGGAGGATTTTCCAAATATATGTAAACAAATTCATTTATTCGACCGTTTTTGGTTTTTACCCTTTTTAAAGAAAAAAAGATATAAATGAATAAACAAACGCCAGTTTTATAAAATGTTATACAGATTAAATTTTGAAACAAAAACGACTTTGATTGAATAATAGGTAAAATTGTAGGTGCGGGGTTTTACTGATTGTCTGATTGTTACGAACGGGAAGTAACTTCATTTCCATCAGCAAAACAGTTATTATTCAAATCGGAAGTCAACAAAGAACAGATTTCTAAGTTTACTATTGCATTACGTAAGGCATGCGGATGTCACTAAAGCGCTAAAATGTTGCATCATAACGTTTGCCCATTGTTAGATATCGATTACCTTGCTCTCCTCTGTGACACATTCCCCAACCACAGGTATATGACCACCACTGCAATTTTAGCTGTGGCATCATAACAGACAACACCCATTGGAACAAATATACAATTTATGCAGTGTAGAGTATCATAAATGCAATTCATAATAGGAAGTCATCCTAAGTCAGTTATTTCCAACCGGGGGTCCATCCTAGGGATCCGAATATAAACTTTTGGGGGTCCATGAGCTTTGCACGCTGAAAAGGTGGCGAATCAATGTCCCTAGTCAACCCATCAAACACTATATCGTACTTGTCGATTTTATTAGTCATTTGTTCGTGGTAACAAACAGTATCGGAAAAAAAGAAAATCTCGAAACTGTTCCTTTTCTTTTCCTGTCAAAACAGTCTCACTTAGATTTATTGATAAATTTTCTACTTTCACCTTCACGATTCTTCACTTGAAACATCATATTATACTATGAAACGAGTATCCGATGACAACAACCACTTTAAACGCTTAGAAATACAGGAACGAGTGACGGCATGTTAGAGATAAAAAAGAATTCATTTCGTAAGATTTAAATGTCAATTCCACATTGACATATTCAACCATGCATCCAACCATACCTCTTACACGGATGATGTTTAGCATAATGATAATTCACTGAATGCATTTCCACGTAAACAATGGATGAATCCATGGTTAGACCAATGAGTTTGTGAAACAATATCATGTAAAGTACGTTCTAGCGATAAAGCTATTGCTTAAGAGTAATATTGTGAAATTACATGCAGTTGAAGCAAGTGCATTATCCCACAAATTGACGTCCGTAGCAAAACGCGTGTAAAGATCACCAATATACCGTAATTGGCTACTCATTGGCTGGTTGGTATACTCGGTTCATTGTAGCCTCAGAGATGAACTGGTAGGGACAACAAGATCAAAACTAAATATCAAATGTGCAAAATGTTATTAGAAGTAAAATTTGGTGAAAGTTTGTTCCGAAAATGGCGATGACGTGTTTCTTAACATAAGAATATAATGGAAGTAATGACATACTAAAAAAATAAAATGAATTGCCAAAAAATATCTTTTCAATAATTTAACGTTTTTGTTCCTGCTTGTAATTTGTCAATTGCAATCAAACCTCAGAAACTATGCAGCTAATATCATACCACTGTGATGAAATTCAAAAAATTCGATATCACCCACGTCATACTAGGTATGAGCGCAACTAAACTGAATAACTACCGAATGCCGGAAAAAATTTAAAAAAAAAACGTATTAGAAATAAGATATTTGGAAAATCGTGATTTTGAGACAATCAAATATACAAATGTAATTTCAATTCACTCTAATTAGGATAAGCATCTCTAACGGCACTCGTGGTAAGTAAAAAGCAGATACGTTGCCTGCGGCTATCGTTTGATGGCAATAAGAAATCTAGTAGATGTTGCGTCAGGTTTACCAAACGAGTTCGACGACGTTTTGAGTGGTTAAAGTCGATATCGGTTTACGATGCTTTAGCGTACAAGAAAATATGATACCATGTAGGCATGTTATCTAGGGTTGTGATTTACGAGCGGTTAAACTGGGTTAAAACTTATGGAAGAACGTGAGACGGTTTCGTATTTAGTTTTCAGGACGGTCAGTGTGAATTGGTAATGATAAAATGTGGATTATATGCTCGACATGTGTGTAGGTATCATCGGCATGTACCGCATTTTGTTAACTTGCTTCTTGTCTGAGTTATACATATAAAATGACATAATACCTTGAGAAACAAAAATTTATTTTAAACGTTATTTCAACTTGTGTAATCTTTTGAAACGGACAACGACCGTACAATAGTCAATTGATCACAATCACAGTATATCAGTTTTGGCCGTATATATATATATATATGTGGAAATAAACATTTGAGCCGATTCGGGTATTTATTTCGAAGTGTGGAAACAAATGATATGTATGTTGTTCACTCTTCTGCTGGTTGTGATAATTCATTCTGGTGATTGTATATAATATATTATGTTATATAATATATATTATATAAACATATTATGTTTCTTAAACAGACATTATCAATTAAATACTTTAAATACTGTTATCGGGAAACGATCCCGAAAAATATATATATGCCTGGATTCAAACCTTTTGAAGCAGAAGAAATCAAAGAACAACAACCAGAAATAACAATCAAAGAAAAAATAGAAAAAGAAGAAGTAGAAAAATACACATTAGAGTCCTTGGAATATAGAATAAACAACATGAGTCTCCTGGCAAATGATGATTATTTAGCTTCAGGTCAGACCATAACATATAATTATCGAGACTGCGAAATAGAATTGCCAAATGCCGAGACAACCTTATTCAACCTCATGATCTTAAGTAGGGATATGCGATGAGAAAGTTTTTGCAAAAACGTTATTTTGAGGAAAGATTGATAATTGTCTTTAGCAATAAATATTTCCATATATATATATATAACCTTTGTCTTGTATGCCGTTGATGCACTGGAAGACAAATTATTCTGTTTGGCCGAAAACGAGATTTATAACGTTTATTTAAAGGTATTGTACATATGCCTATATGCTTTCAAATATTTTAAAATTTGATGAGTAAACGTACCAACAAAATGCTATGAATTTTGTTGATCATTGGATTCATTTTACATTGCAGTTGTTGAATCTAGAGTCGTGGATCTTCCTCCAGAAACGTCACCAAACCTACCGAGTATTCCTCCCGAACTACTATGTCCACAATGTTTGGAATTGTACGACAAGCCGTTATTTCTACCCTGTTCTCATACTTTCTGTAAAAACTGTACTGAAATGTTGATTACAACGTCTGATTTAGTTTTACAGGTTTGTAGATAGTAGTTTCTAAACCAGGGGTGGGCAATTACTTTTTTGAGTAGGCCAGTTACTTACTAGGCTGGAGGCTCAAAACTCTATTCACAAAAACTAGTCCAACAGCTGGGCTAACATTTATATAATAATGAGAAGTACAAAGTAACAATCGGAATTTTATGACGTTATTTTCATCGGTATTTTCAACGGAAATTAATATTCATAAAATCTACAGTCATAATTTCAGCAGGCATGAGTGGCCCGGATGAAAACCCGCCCGCGGGACGTAATTTGCCCACCCCTGTTCTGAATTATTCACCGATACAATAAAGTAATAGAATATGAAGAGTCCCGGTATAACCATTCAAATTTTCCGAATATATGGATTTAGTCGGCCAAATTTTGCCGAGATATTGCTGCCATGTATGACCTTTCGAATATTTTAGACAAAAACAAAATTTCCACAAGTACATTCTCGGGCAACAAATTTTGAGTAGTTGGGGAAGCTCGGGCTTGTATATATAACACTGGATATGGAAGTGAATAAATTCTTGTGAATTCGAGACTGATCAAATGTTCTATTGATTAACTTTATAAAAATGGTTATGTTTTTCAGAAAAGAAGCAGGTTTATATGTCCGACATGTCGAAATATAATTAAATACGGACCAGAAGGGGTTGATTGCTTACCCAGGAACGTTAATTTAGAACAAGTAAGTAGAAGCATATGTATAATATTGAATATTATTGGCAGTTTCAATGAAGCGAAATAATAAGAGGATAGATATATTAATTTATTCAATCGCATATTGACATTTAAAACTAGTCAATGTCACAAACATTCTATAAAAAGTGTGTCGAATAAACAATTCAATCATCTTTAAATTGACTGTAGATATTTAGACCAATACCGTGTTATATTTACTTTAAATTCCCGTATTATTGTAAACCTGCTCCAAATATATCACGGTAAGAAGTCGTAACTGCCATGATTAAAACGAAATGAATTCACGACGCCGATAATCAATGATAGTTAAATACATAAATACAGGACAGCGTGATAGTAAATCAAGTATATAAATCCGTTTGCAATAAATCCACATATACCGGAATAACTGCTAGAATCTTGTATTTTGACTCAAAATACAAGATTCTAGCAGTGATTCCGGTTGAGAGACATCTCCCCTTCATTAATTATGACTCCAGAAGAAGGAGAATGTGCAATTTACCCAGACTTGACAGATAAAATCAGTTTAGTAAGTTGTACATCATCTGATTTAGTGAATATGTTAAATTTCAGGCAGTTGTGAGATTCAAAGTTGAAAGTAAGACTCGATATCCAGAGTGTAGTCGTCATCGACAATTTCACATGGAACTGTTGATGTGGTGCGAAACATGTGCTTGCAATTTATGTCCACTTTGTGCGTTGGAAGACAGTCATAAAGACCATAAGGTAAATCAATACTTAAATGTTACAAAATTTGTTATTGATCGTGCGGATAAGTGGGATTTAAAACAACATCTAAAACATAGAGAACGTGGTGAGTTTTATACACAAATAGGTCGATATTATGTATAGCATGGTCTAAAGATATATTAGACCAGTGGATTAGCGGGGGATGCCAGTCTACCGACGACTGTACCAAATTTCTAACAAAAAAATGCACAAAGTTATTGAGTATATTTAGAATTAAACATCTAATTAAAACGAACGACGAAATTACGACAAACACACGGAATTGATACATCTGGTTGCCGAGGAAATGAAAAATTCTCAGTTGTTAGCGAATTGTGCCGTAAACCATTATAATTAAAACAACACTCGAATAGCAAAGAGTAATTTTAATTACTACTGTGTAAATATATAAGTTTTGACATCTAACCAAGGTTCCAAGGGCAAACGTGCTGAAAGAAGTCCACGTTCGATAGCTTTGCATATACCACAAAATATCTTAAAATATCCTCGTTTAGATCGCACCGCTGAAAGTTCTACAAAAATTCAAAGAGATTCGCCGGCGGTTGAAGCAATCAACAAAAGTTTTAACAAGCAAGATCGAAACGCTAGGTGGCAATATTTTGGAATCTCAAAGTGTTGTGTCAAGTATAGAAATGAAAGGAGAAGATCTAAAAAAGAGGGTACATTGTGTAATTCTAGTTAAACATAACATATGTAACTTTATATATCAAACAATGATGGTGAGACATATTATTTTCCAGGTCGATGCTGAGTGTGATGAAATGGCGAGACAAGTTGAAAAAAGAAGACAAAACATGTACAAAGACATAGAGAAGGCGATGCATAAAAAACAATGGAAAAGACAGCAAGAAATTAAGCAGTTACGAGTTGAATATAAGCAGGTATGCAGCAGCAAAGCAATAAAATGTGTAAAACAAAACTGCAATATTACGAGATTTGAAAAAAATACTGAATTGAATATACTGCCTTTTCTGCCAAATGTTAACTGTGTGTTCATTTCTTTGCTAAGGTCTAGCTCCAGGGTGGGCAAGGTTTTGGGGCCAGGGGCCAAAAATTTTGCCCACCTAGACTGGCGGGCCATGTAAGCGTGACGTTAAATGTTACATTTTATGAACAAAATTTTATTCACAGTGTTACAAAAGCAAAAGTGGAAAACAATGAGCCTCGTGCCAAAACTAAATTTAATCGCAATTTCAACAAATTTCTTGAGCTATTTATTAACTGAAACATCAACATTTGGTTTCAGTTTAGTTGTGGCAGCATCAGTCGGGTCAGATTAAATTAGTCAACGGGCCGGATTTGGCCCGCGGGCCGTAGTTTGCCCATGTCAGGTCACTCTATCTCATAGCTGAATGCTTTGGGTATAGCATGTTCTAACATAGTTACTTTGACATTATGAATGCACTCAATTTTCGTTTTTTTGAAAATTGAGACTAGCACGGTATGGGGAATAAATACAAATTTATATTACTACAGACCAAGGAACTCCTGGAAAAAATTTCAAATGTTCTTGACAAAGACGGACCAACAGATTTTATGAAAGAACTAGAAGCAAGTGGATTAGCCAACAAAGTTGATCGATTAGCTAGCTTAACATCATGATATCAGAACATCATTTTCATTCATAATATCCATGAAAATTTATTAGTAAACTATGTTATCACTCGTTACCGAGTCGTGCATGTCAAACGCAAAAGCTAGCCCCTTCAAGTGCTTTGCATGTATTTTGCATATGGCGATTCTCAGATTGTGCCTTATAACGGGATACTGAAAACTGTGTCATTGAACAAATAAGCAATCAGTAAAGTGCTTTATTTGGCCCCCAATAAAGGGTTAACTGTGCAGAACATTTATATATATATATATATATTTCACCATTTGCAAGATTCCTACAGCTAATTTTGTGTGTTTTCCGTATGTGAGCAGCTGGTTAACTTTTGGATGTTCCGTCACATTTAACTTATTGCTGCCTAGACACTGTTATGGAACATGGCCGTCGGAGCCTAGAAGAAATAGACGTTGCATGCATTGTAAATTACGCCCATGACTTTAAAGTGAACAACCTGCGCAATTTTCTTTGTACTGTATGCATTTACACTTTTCCAATGATTTTGCCAACTTACTGATTACGGTTTAATCGCCACGTCTCGAGCAATCGATCGCGTCTGATGTTGAAAGAATTTTCTTGAAATACCCCCAAAAATTGCCTCGAACCAGTTGTGTGTTTTGCAACAGGAAGAATACAGTACTTCACATGCGCAAAATACAATATACACATACAGTATTTGAGTCTGGGCAAGCCCGATAAAGCATATTATCACACAACAAATGCAAATTTTTCCGCTGCCAAGGTTTAAAAATGAAGTGCCGAATATCGCGTGGTTAGACTGACAAACAATCATACAATAACTTCTGCAGTATACGAAAGTTATTGTTTCACTCCAAGAGTAGTGTGATAAATTTTATTCGCAATGGTAGCAGTGGCATCAAAATGCCCAATATGTTCTAATTCTGAGCAAGCGAGAAATCGTGTTTGGAGGAAATTGTAGATTAGATACTGAAGTTGGAGCAGTCATGTAACATTCATGGTTTGAGAATATTTATTTTCGCTGTTTGGATAATACTTGGCAAGGTTCATTGAGGAATTTCCAACATTTACGACTAAAATGCGTGTGTGCAGTTATCTGCACATTCAGTGCCCATTCGTTTTTGTGTAGGACCTTGTTATCGATCTGTCGATCGCGATCTATTTTGAAGATTTTAGTCGATCGCGGTCGAAAGCAGGTTGGTCACCCCTGATTTATACCACATTGTAAGAAATATCACATTTTAAAATGTACAAATCAGGTTATAGTAGGAGCCTAATATTTACATTTACTGACTTGAGTGACCATTTATTATAGTAATATGATTACAGGCAAAAACCTTTATATGATGCTTTAACTGAATTCGAGAATTGATATGATTTCGATCGCAGTTTAACGGATTAATGATCGGGAAAAAGGGTTTTCACTGAGTATTATAACGTAATATGTTGATGTTCTTATGAAATTCGTTTGCACTCAGTCGCAAATCTAAGAAATAATCCAGGCTCGCATTTCATTTTTACACTGATCAATTACTAGTCTTCTAAAAGTCAAATTAATTAGTCAGATCAAATTACTATAGCATGAAATGTATTGAATGAGAAAACTTAATTTTATACTGTAAATGCCAATTTTTCCATTCTACAATTTGACCTTCTTAGCCTCAGACTGGGTGAATCTCATTGTAAACAAATTCTTACCTTCCGAATTCCCAGAACGTTATTAACACTTGAATAGTACACAAGCATCGCTGTGGTAATTACAATCTCAATAGAATAGTTATTGAGAACAATTACGCAGTGAATGCTTTATAGTGCGTACTCTTCATTCTTGAACCCAAATTTATAGAACGAAAATGCATAGTTTCGAAGAATAGGCTTCTTTCAATGAAACCTCATCCTTACTGTGGTTTAGGCAGCTCCTCATATTCTCACATAACGACACAAGAGAATAACAGACAGTATCCAATCTTGCAACTTTATATGCGACATATATCAATATTATGATAAGCTTTAGTGTGCAGTTACATAATTGCAAGATATATTTGAGAACAGTTACCGTTACAACTTTCGTATTTCGTTCACCATTTCCATATTAGCATGTAACACATATCTGTAAACTAAGGTTTTTAAGAACACTAAAGAAAATTCTCGTTTATAGGTTCGCCACTCACTATGCTTACCTTTATATTACTAATTTTTTCATTTGCGAGTGCCGTTTCCACAGGTGAGTTAGCTATTCAGACTGTGTATTTTCGCCTTTATTTGTATTACTGTTCCAAAACATGATTCTTTTTGGAGTATGAATTGACTGAAATGACTTTCGAACGACGTATATAGCAAAATAGTTAGTTACTAATAAGGCAGTTTGTTGAGCGCTCTCAGGCGACAATTTTGAAATATAGGTATTTTAGTCATATCACTGACTTCTGATGATATCCTTTCTGTTATTTGAGAATTCCAGGTATACCAACTTTTGAACAATTGCGTACATTACATTGTGCATATTTTAAAAATCATGCATTTTATTTCGGTATTTTAAAGTTTACTTCCATGCTGAATGGTAAAATATATTGGTTGTTTCTCTTGGATTAATATTATTTAATCAAACCATTGGACAAAATTTTCGATCTTAAATATTGACTCAACGAATATAAATAGAAAATAAGACTAAAATGTGATAGATATTAATTTCCAAATTTTTTCGAGATATATTATATTTTGTATTATATACAGATAAGTCATGTCCAGAAGGAAGTATTTATACTGACTGTGAACCATGCGGTGGAACATGCGACAATCCAAACCTGGAATTTTATGATATTGCAGAAGATGGTATGAGTATTTGTTTCTCTCCATGCGGTGTGGGTGATTTCTGCACTTGCAAATATGGTTATATACCTAGAAGTTTGACAGACAAGACTTGCGTGAGAGAAGAACCTTGTGTGGAAGCAGCAAGAGCAAAAAATGGTACATTGGAAATTGTTTCGTGTACCCCAAGTAATTAATATTAGTTAAGCATTACACATACAAATAATGCAGCTCATTTGTCAACTATATAATTTACTTGGCCGGGACCACCTTCCACTTACTTCCTACATCTCGCCAGCACGATAACATTTGACTAATAGCTAAAGGCGCGATTAGCTTTGTTCCCGTGTCTACAACTATCCGTGTTCGCGTTGTAGTTTAGATTTGTGCATATTCATTAGATTAATGGAATATGCATGAATGATAAATGAGATTTGTAATATAAGAGAAATTAAATATTTCAATACTTTGTGGCACACTGCATTTGATCTGTAAATGATGATTTCCTCTCCTTTACAGAGTTACAGTAATAACAAGAATAAAAAGAAGCTGATGGCTATCAAGATGATGCTTATGAAAATATCGGATCAAGCTTATTTCAAATAAAAGTTATATCAACTAATATACCTAAATTTTGTGATTATTTTGTGAAAGTCAGTTCATTTCTAGTGATACATAGCAACAAATGAAGTTGCAAAAACAAGAATTTATACGTCAAAGCTGAAAGAGACTTCGACAAAAAGGATGGTAAATAGAAGAAATATAAATTCAGGTAGCCATGGACCATGGTAACGACACTCAAGAAAATATTGGAATTTTGAAGAAGAAAAATACTGACAGTAAGATTTTGTTCCGTAGTCATCAAATGTATTTTAGGTATTGAGTGAACATGGCAAAATTATCAGAGAAACAGAGACCATATTATTATTACATATAAGTAAACTAGTATAAATAAGAAATCATGCCAAGATAAAAATCAATTATTACCGAATCACGGAGACAAATCGATGCGTTAGATGTAGGCTATATTCGTTAAGTTGAGAAATATAAAGTAGAAATACAATAAACTGCATTTCTAGAAATTGAAGCTTGTTATATCCAACGTGAAAAAAAAGCGCTTTGCCAAACACGAATTGGGCCAATATACCGTTCTGTTAAATTAGTGTTGGGGAAATCCGCAAGCATTGGGCCAATCCATTTTCTGTATCCCTATGTTTGAACATTGCTCTCATGTTTTTTTTCTAGTTTATTAAAGGTGATGATCTTTCATGACTGGGCAGGTGCGGAGTGAATATATCAAAATGCAATAATTACCACTGAAACATATTCCATGTATGTGTTACTAACTAACTCGCGCACCACCATATCGTCACGCTAATAACCGAATTGCGTAAGTCATTTTTTAGCAGTTTTGAGAAAAACGTAAAAAACTTCCTAATGATTTTGTTATGCAATTGAGAGTCAATAATTTGCCATGGTTCAATTTTTTGATCGTAGCCGGATTTAAGTTAATTTGTATGACGCAGTTAAGTGACGTCATAATGGCGCACTGTGACTTAGACAGAAATGTGTCTATGACTTGGGGACATACGCAATTTTGCAACTTCACTATATGCACCAGTCCTGAAAACTAAACATTCCAAAAACGAATGTAATTCTCAGTATCTACAATGTCTAATCCCCAAAATAGCTAATCAGTTTCAATTACATTATTTTTTATGTTTAAAAATATATATTTCATCAATATAACACGTTCTGCACACCCACCGAAATAAGACTAAGATTAAATATAAAGAATAAAACAGCAATGCACCCAATATAGAAGCCAACCAAGGTAAATTGGACTCGGACAGTGAATATCACAAGTGCACGTCTTCCTATACTGTAGTAAAAATTCAAATTAATACGCGCTAAGCTAGAATCCGAGATGCAAAAACTCAAAAATACGTCGCCGAGGTTATTTTGCCTTTGTGACGTCACAATAGTCCCGCGGTAACCATGATAATTCATTATGACGAAACAATTACACAAATGTGCATGTCATACTAAATCTCCATTTTTATGGGTTTCGGAATCCCTAAAATAAAATCTGAGTTAACAGACAGGAGCGCAGCATTACATAAATACCTATTTTATAAAAAACTCAAAATCGCCAAAAATGACTTACGCAATTCCGTTATTAGCGTGACGATATTTACATAGGCCTACTTACTCGAAGCGTCCTCTAGTGGCTGAAACAAGACATCAGCCTTGTTTCGAAGATCCCATAATCGCAAAAAGAAATAATGTTTTAATAAACTTATTAGTTACATGCATTAACAACGACAACTTTGCTCCCAGTAGCTATGAATCTCTTGTAATTATTATTAATATCATGATCTTTTTGGGTGTTGGAAATGGGACTACGTTATAAAAGACATTTGTGGATGGAATTTGTACTTTGCACTTACTTTGGGTATGTCGGGCATACTAATTTGCCAAGCGTAGCAATAGCGTCGATGAACAGTAACAGAAGGTCGAAGACGCTTCTAGGAATACACTTCTCAAACAACCTCGTATTTTACTCTGTGTTTGCAGTGAACCTGTCCCCTAAAACGTGGTTTAATATATGGCATAATTACAAATTTTATGTCAAAGGATTGTTGACACAGCAAACGTTTACTTTTGTAATTGTAAGAACGAGACGGCCTAGGTAAGTTTGTTCGCTAAGCTATTGTAGTAGACAGTGCTTTCATTCCATTGAAACAACCACCCATTCGGCAGGCCATCATTCATTTGATACCACGTAATTGACGAATGAATGGCTCACTCCCAGAACGATCCTAGTAGGTTCGCCGCGTTGCCAAGGTAACATGATTAGCTAGGCTTGCAAATAATACTACGAGTGCCGTATTAAATAGAATTCGCGGGGTTTTCATATGAGCGAGCCTGTAACAATTACCAATCGAACAAGACTGCTGAGCCGATTTAGGCAATTCAAAATATCTCTTAAATTGCTTACCAATCGTTGTAGTTGTACAAGAAGTATTAATAATAACAGTATGTTGTAAATTCTGGCAACATGAAAATATAAAAAATTACGACTGTTGGCTTAAACCACCGAAAAAAAAAACAATAGCTGACAGTTTCATGGGCCAGCAATCCGCTCAATTTCAATATGAAGACATTGGCTATTATTCCATTTTAATCGAAAAGCACGCCATAATAAAAGAATGTTGACGTTTAAGTTTAAAATAGATAACTTACCAAATTTTCTACTTTTAATATGGTCGATCGCATTGAAAAGAATTTCATTGTATTACAACGGGGCGAGTTTGAAGTGTACACGCATCGACGGATTTATTATACAGCTGAGCTTATTATACGCGGCTCTTTATTTGTCTATGGGTGTTGTTTTTACTTTATACCGTCGAATCGCTCATAAAAGTCGAATAAAGCTTTTTGAATTTCTATAGTCTAAGTTCTTCGAAAGCCGAGCGTAGGACGAGTCCAGCACTATAATACGAAACGATAAATATGCGACACAAACTGAAGTAACCTACCAGTTTACATACTTTCTCGTCAATTCAAAGTATGTAATATCATATTGTGGGCTTATTTTATAGTTGAGGTTCGGTTGAGACAAGATAGCTTTATAGTGAAAATTTATAATATTCTTAGATGATAAAAAAATGATAGCCAATTTGTAACTTTAGTCGTGACAATCGAAATGCATTCATGTTTGGATTAAGTAGCAGCAAATACCAATCTAGTGCTCCTAAAGTGCAATGCCTCACGCATAAGTTATACATAATAGGAAAGCGTATCGAACAGATGGTTGATCATGTAATGTCATGCTCATATCGAGCAGAATGGAAAACTGACAACCTCGATGTAGTTATTTTTTTCATTTGATTGGGGCTTTCATTTTAAATTAATTGAATCGCCAAACCGCGTTGGTTCGTGTTAGTTTATTGTCAGAAAACAATATCTCGTCAGGCCTGGTTTACGTTGCGAAGACAACACAACGAAGACATATTTATTACAGGTCTCATTGTTTTTAGAATATTGGTCCCGATACATAGTTAACCCTTTATACACTGTGGCATGGGATGATATGTACATTGAAGAAGCGGTTTCTTAAATGAAAGGGTACTGCGTAAAAACAGAACAATAAACAAAAGGCAATTTAGAGTGTAGTCAGCCTCCAATTATAGTTTTGTTGACAACCAACTCATTGTCTTTCGCCATGAATTCGGAGGAGATCAGACCGAGTCTTTCTAGCAGTTCCAGTGATGAGGACGAAGAATTTCGGGTTGTACACTCGAATACCCCCAACAAATACTTGTCGTCGTCAAATTCGTCATCTTCATATAGAAGTGAACGGGAAGTTGTAAAATCGTTATCACATTCGGATTCGGGTAAATAATTATTATTTTGATTGAATTTTTACTTTCTTAATATATTCCACAGCAGGCCTCAGAGCTGGAGTATACGGGTAGGAGTTTAACATGTTTTTCATTGCTGTAGGGGTATAAGGTGCTGAGCATAAGATTTGAGCTGACGACACCAATATGTGGCAAAGTGACAATGTGGTCATATGGTAGAGCACATATTCTGATGGAAATATTATGCGATGTATTGAAAAAAATACTGTGCAATATATTGACTCATATTCATATTGTAGTAAAATAAACGGTTATTTCAATGGAGAGCTTGAAATATTATCATACATCGGCACGTTCTTCGCGATTTATTCTTATTTAGAATTTTGATTCCGCCGAAAATTAGTAATTCCGTTATTGAATTAATTTATAACCTCTGAATTTTCCTGACAGACGATCAGCTGCTGTCTTCTTCAGAATCCTCGTCTTTGAGGTCCAGCTCAACAATAAAAGACACAGAAAACACTCCAGATATATTGAGAAATCTTGATCCCAATAATAAAGGTGAGAAAAATACAAGGACAACTATCACAATATCGTTGGTGTATTTGAGGGATCAAATCTTAATTTAAATGGAGGGTGTCAATAGTTACGTTTCGAAATCGCAACTAAAAATTCAGTCCTATTAACTGCGTAAAACTTTGTAAGGCATTCTGGGATGGTATCAAAATAGCGAAATAGCGGGGAGTATTTTAGGGATTGATTTGTATCGGCCCATTTCCACTCACAAGCTAAGTTCTAACCCACGTTTCTTCAACACAGAAACGTCATCCAAATCGTCAACTACATCAACCTACACAAGCGAAATCAAAGTAAACGGGGATCAACAGGAGGTATTAAAAGATACCAAAGGGAATTCGTCATATTCGGGTAAACATTGCAGCATAGATTTGTTTTAATTTAATTATTGAATTCAATTCATCAAAACAAGAAAGTGGCATCGTATTCTTGTAGGAAAAGTAATTAATTAATTCCAAACATAGCAATCGCCATATAACTTATTATGGCTTACGTATTATTTTTATTAAATATCACTATACGCTTACAAATACAACTTTTGTTATCGTTTGGTTAAACATCTGACTCTATATATAGCAGTGTTCTTGTTGTTGCATAAATTTGTTGCATTAGAGTGTTCAAAAAAATGGAATATTGTTAATCAAAATAGGCCTAATTATATTACCAAGATCAGTCATATTTCACGATTCCGTAAACCTCTTTCGAGCTCTTGGCTCAGTTTACTATAATGTCTTTGCCTACTTTCCGACAAACACGACGAATCAATAAGTGCAAGATTTGCCTTCAAGATCTATGTCGTCATAAACAACCTGAAATGTTGACGAGCAGTACAGTCCATTCTATAGTCCGAAATATTTTTTTTCTGTAGGATCATCTCATTCAAAGCAGTCTTATAATGAAGATTCTTCCATAACAACTGAATCAGAGCAAGGATTATTGCAAAGCATCCTGAGCGATTCATCGAGTGAAAAAATCACGACAGACTTAGAGGTTGCTTCCCCAAAAGACGGCAAATTTTCATCGTCGACAGACGACGAATTACTGCGAAAATTTCGTGAACAACAAGCGAATAGACGATTTCGACCAAGAAGTGCGAAATTGCGCAGAGACTTTGAACCAGAACCAGAAAACGTTGAAAGGGTTTTGTCAAAGCCCAACAATAGAAGTGGTAGTGATAATACCTCAAGTTCGGACGAAGAAAACAAAAAAAGGAAACCGCAGCACAAAAGACTGCGAAAGGGATCATCTAGTTCTACCAGTAAAAGCAGCGTTGTCTCTGTTAAAAACGAATCTCCAGAAGTTTTAATCGCACGTTCAGAACAATCCAATTTATACGAGTTAAATAGAACTCAAAACGAATCAAAACCAGAGCAGGTCACTAAAATTCAACGAACTATCACTTCGACTGGAAGCGAAACCCGCGATACATTGACTACATCTGCATCGAGTCCATCATCAGATACAGAATCGGCAGCTGAAGACAGGCCCCCAAGCAGGCAGGGAAAACGACCAACTTCGGCATATCCCAGGCAACGACAACACTCTAAACATAAAAAAGGTAGGTGGCACATTTTACTGTTTATTTTATAGATAGTTTTAAATTTTTTTTCGGTTATTTTTAAAAATGACCTCAGTAATACTTATTTTATGAATTGAATACATTCTCAGAAGAAAAACCGAAATCAGTTCAAAGATTACTGACCGAAAAATCTTCGCCATTACCAGTACAAAATCCATACATCAAGGGACCAATAGAGCAAGGATTTCCATGGCCATATACCGAAGATATTAGAGGAGGTACGTTGATTTACTTCTAGGAGAGTAGGATAACTCCCCAAGTAGAATTCTAGAACTTGCTATTAAAAATGTTCATTCGAGCTTGAAACAACTCTGGTGATAACTGATTTCTTCTGTGTACATGTTGTAAATCGTCTTCTCAATTTTACTAACCTATTTATACACTGAGCTTAAAAAGTATTACAATAGATCCATGGTTTTCAACTTTTTGGTGGAACGGAACCCCAAAGATATTTCAGAGGCTCGAGGAACCTCTGTACAATAGTTTATTTGCCTCATACAAACCCTCTAATTTTGTATTTATCTTTCGTTTTTTCAAAAATATATTTCCTAATGATCCATTGTTGTAAGGCCGTAAGAAGAATTGCGAACTATAAACATATATATTTATATATATAAACTAATACCAGTAAAACAAAATGATCTTAAGGTGTAGCAAATTTGATAATAACAAACCTAAAAAGTATTTGATTAAATTTAAACAATGTAGCCTGCATATAATAATAATAATAATACACACACGCGGATGTGAATGTAAATTCGCGAAACGCCTGGACAATACTATCGAAATACTGGTCGAAACCACTGCAATATAGGTAATCGATTTTGTTTGATCAGTCATGTTCAATACATTGCATTTTTGTTGTTGTAGGAGAAAAATCATTACGTCGCCTGATAGATCATCACAAAAAGAAGCTTAACAGTCTTCTTGCCCAAGAGTATTTGCAAAAACACCTTGAAGTAGAACTACGAAAAGCAGGTGCGCAATTCAGAGAATACGAAAGAGAACCAAGACCTTTGTCACCAAAGCAAATCAAGAAATTTAGAGAAAAGAACGTCACTTGGGTAAGTAACTGATCTCAATGTTGAAATTAAATTTTTGACATCTTCAATACCTATAGAACGTACGGTAAGTAGTAATATAAAATTTACAAAGTGACTGTATAATTTTCTGAGGTACATTTTATTACTATTCCAAAAGTCTTCGGAAAGAGTTAGAGCTTTTTAAGTAATGTTTTACTGAACATCCACGAACTTTAACTTAAAAATAATTTTACAGGTTTATTTAGACGGTAGACTCCATAACTTGTCACGAGAAATGGGCGGTTTGAATACAACAGCACGTCGCGGAAGAGAGAGAAACAAAGTGAATCCCAAGAAAGATAACAAAAAACGTTCCGTTTCTTTCGAAAAGGGAGTGGGTAGATCTTCGTCAAAATCCGGTGAGAAGACAAGTTTAGCCGATCTGCTACGTGGTCGAAGTGGAAAGAAAACCAAAAATGCACGAAGACGCCGAAGTAGCTCTGCTGATACTGGATCCAGAAAAAGTTCACTTTCGAGTCGAAGTAGCACTAGATCGCCCTCTAGAAGTACGAGCAGAACATCTCGTGCCAGCAGCACAGAAAAGAAACAACCTAAAAAGTCATCGTCGAGAAATTCCAGTAAAGCCTCTCGTTCGCGAAGTCGTAGCTCATCTAAAAGTTCCTCACATAGTTCAAAATTCCATTCTATATTTAAAAAAGATAATTCCCGAAAAGAACGCCCCACAACTGCTAAAAAATCACAAAGAGCACGAAGTGCTTCTTCCGCAAGTGTGTCATCAAATAAAAGTAGTAGTGACAATAAAAAATCTAAGAAGAAAAAAGATAAAAAGTCTCGTTCAAAATCATCATCCACGAGCAGTAAAGACAGAGAAAAACACTATTTCATGGAAGAAAAACCAAAACTGGAAAGAGTTCTCTTCACAGAAGACATGGAAAAGAAAATCGACAGAAAGAAGAAAAAAGATAAGTCTGTGCGGATCGCGATTGCTCCTGGATTATACAACACAAAACATCCTTCTTTAGTTAATGACAACAACTCGTTTTTAGGTAGGCGTGGAGACAGGCCACAAAGCGAGAGACATACAAAACAATCACGAGATGACTACAACTTCTACAAAGACCATAATATACCTGGACATGCGTTTCCCTACTACTATCTATCCTATTTGCTGGCGATGGATGGCAGAAAAAGAAATCGATCTGAAGATTATTCGCAGACTAATAGAGTCATTCTTACCCACGCACCAGTCCATCGTGCCCCAGCTTGGAGTACACCCCCCAAAAGTACGAGAAGAATTCATGCTCGTTTGCCATCTGAAAGAAGGAGTCTAGGTTCGTCACCAAAGTTGACTAAAAAGAAAAAGAAAACAAAGAGTGTCATAAATGATCGAAGAGATGAAAGCATGGGAAGATCGTCATCGAGGGAGAGCGCGTCGTCCTCCTTGAATAAAACGTCCAATTCAAGCAATTCGTATCCTAGAATTCGACCAGGATCAGGACCAATAAAATGTTCATGGAATTCTGAACCATCAACAGATAAACCAAAATATCCAGTAAGTTGGCACTTTAAAATACCCTGAATCAAAGTGACATTTGTTGAATAGACGAGGTGAATTTCTGGTTGCCAGTAAGGTAGAATATAAATATACTTAATTGATATAATGTCACATAATATACTTAGAAGGCGCTATTTGTTTTGTCGTCATGTATAATGTCATATGAACATATTTTATTCACTCGCCATGTACACAGAAAAGTCCAAAATTTCGATGTCCCTGTTAGTTAGTAGACATACTTGAAGTAGACATACTATGACTTGCATATTGTTTCAAAATGACTATACTCAATTTCTACCGAATCTATCAGTGAGGTTCATATAATTCTCTTTCAAATGGCGTCAATAATTTTTCAGGGTTCAGATCATCAATTGAAGAACACGGACAACCCTGCGATTCAGGCCTGGCTGAGACGAAAAGATGCTCAACTTCGCGCTAGGAAGCAAAACGAACTAAGGAAACAACGTAAGAAAACATCTCGACTCATTGACGAGCAAAATGATATTGAAGAAAAGCATGAAAGAGCCCTTAAGCAATACGAAGTGTGGAAGAAAGCCAAAGACAGGCAAGCGGCAAGAGTTCATCGCTACATTGAAATGTTGTGATGCTCAACGCCGTCTATATCGTTTATGGCGTTGATTTATGCGTGTGATAAAATATGATTAGAAGGTCCACATGAATTCTTAAACACAATTACTTGACACTAATGAGTTTTACAAAATGTCGTCTTAGATTCTCAATAGTAATCTCTTTTTTGCCAACGTTAGGTTTCAAAGTGTCAAATAAAACAAACATTAACATCATAAAATTGAATCCGCGGCTCTGGTGCAGTTCGGGACCTACTTTACATTTACTTACATTGTGTAATTGTATGCCCACAACATAAAATGCAAAATTTAATTGAAATCTCTTGATTTAGGGAAATTTTACTTCGGCGAAGAAAAGAAACCACGGAAGCGAATTCAGCCGCATTTGTCAAAAAACACGCTGAACTAAAAGTTAAGAAACGAAAAGAACGACCGAGAACCGGTAAATGGAGACGTTTGTATACGTACAAGTAGACCTATTCAGTAGTTGGCACATAAACACAAAAATTTTATTGTGTCTTTCAGCACCAGCCATGGAACAAAAGCAATCGATCGGATCAACATTTTCTGAGTTACGTAGCTCATCGGCAAGTCCAGACGTTGTGGAAAAATCAAAACCTCGCAAACCTCGACCAAAATCGGCCAACACAATAACGGTGTCTTTCAGCAATCCTGTGTTTGAATCAAATACCCGCCCGAGATCAGCGACTCCGCCAAGAAAAAACGTCGATGAGAAGCCTCCGCATTCACAAGGATTTTTTGAAAAAACGGGGAGCTTGTTTAAGAGCTTCCTTGGGGTGGGAGAAAGTAGCAAATCCAAAAACAAGGAACAAAATTCCCAAAAAGGTATTCAAGAAGGCCAAAGATCTGTTGTAACTGATGACCGTGTCGCCTATGATAAATGGGTTCGCTCAACGACGCCTGTGACAAATGGTTCCTCAAAGAAAAACGGTAAAAAGTCGAAAAAATCACGTAAAAATAACCAGCCAAGACTACCGCCTCACAACCATTCAGATAATGACTTAATTTCGAATTTGGCCAAAAGAAGGATAGAGAGCATTCTGGCAAGCCGAAAAAAAGTTGACACAGGATTGAAGAGGCGTCCGAAATCTGGCGCAAATGGGCTGAGAAATCCAAGTCCTCCAACAGGGAATCGTACAGATCCCACAACCAGAAAATGGAGATTAAGAGATGACGACATTATTAGACCTCAAATAAAATCCAGTTCGCAAAACTCACTTGGTACTCACAGCAACGCTAGTAGTAGCAGCAGCAATGGTGGAGACAGAAGACCGAAGTTTACATTCTCGCCTAAAACAAAATCAAGATCAACAAGACATTATAGAAATCCCGTGATACGAGAAGCAATGGATAGACATTAGCATAACAAAACAAAAGGCAGTGAAATTTTAACCAGATGGAAATATTTACGGAACGTCTTGCGCTATTGATCACAGGAATTTTAAGACTTTGTTACCCCTAACAACATTACCAATGCCGTCATTGTCAAGAAGCATATGTTTTGTCATAAACAGGAGTGTAACACATCATTAAATACTTTCAATGCGCATACTTTTCAAATGAATCAGTTACATGTTTTTTGGGGTGTTTGCACTTAATAACGTGTATTGTCTGCTAAAGCCTTTTTTTCAGATTATTCACTGTATGTAAAGCAGCACTTATTATTCATTAAAACTTTGTTTTTGCACCTTTTTATCAATTTATATATTTCACAGAATATTTTATATATTTTTATAATTTAATATATTATGAGTTTTATTGTAAAAGATATCGTCATTTGCATGAATAATATACAGTATTTGCAACAATGTTTGAAATTAACAGAAGTCTCTTTTGCAATTGTTAGAATAAATAAAAATGACGCGTCATCCTTCAGCTCAAAACTATTGTAACACAGTCAATAGTGGCCATTCATCTACTATTTTGCTGATGTATATTTTTTGTCATATCCAAGACTTTCTTGTAATGGAGCCATAAAAACATGAATTCATAGTTAACGATATCAAAAAACCAAATTGTGACTTTGAACGACCAACAGAATTCAAGTTCATCAGAAGACTCGAAATCTGACTAAATGCAGGGCCACATATAAATCTTATTGATAATTGGCCACTTCGAAAAAAAAAACATTCTGTTTATAATGTAAACTGCTATGGCTCATGCTAGGCAAAGTATAACGACATATGGGCCATGCATTGCATTATTCTCCAAATTACCAGTCCAATTTGACACATCAATCGTATGTCAGACATTCATTGTTATGTTTGCATTCTGTTGGATCCTGTTCACTGAATAAAAAATCTGCTAAAAAGCACTTTTAGACCGGAAATGGATGAATGGGACATTTACAACCAAAAAGACACGGCCATATGCAACTCAATATCAAATTCGTTTGAGCATTCTGATTTTCGTGATAAAGGCCAAATTCGGTAATTGGAACCAGAAATGCACGGCACGAATGATTGTCCAAAATTTCAAAGCATCTACTTGAAATTTGTTTCCATTCGACACCTTACCTAAGCATGATTAATGAAATGACAAAATAAAGAAAGGATTGTTTTCGCACGTGCTAGCGGCTCAGTGTCACTTGAAAACATCAGTAATTAGTAAGATACCAATGATTCACGGTCGTAGAAAAATAGCATTCTTCGGGTACAGATGGATATGTTTTTCAAAGGGTGTTGTGAATTGCGTTAGACGAGAGTATATATATTAGTTGTGAATATTCGTAAAAATAACCATATAGATACATATTTTATTGACATATTCAGGATGGGCATCATGATATACAGGTGTTGGTAAAGTTGGACCAAATAAAATGTTTTGTCACCATAGGCTATTATTTACAAACAGTCATAGTCATCGAATATGTTGAATTATTTGCATTCTTACAAAGATATAATCGCAGAAAACTGGCAAAACGCAGGCTCGCGCTTACCGAGTAAGCACTCAGATTCACGTCGTTGTTTTCATTTAAATTTTCAATAATGGACGGACTTGTGAAGGTTTCAGATCGTTGTCCTATGCACACTACCAGGGTGTAATAATTTGTTACCTCAATGCCGAAAAGAATAAATAATGTTCCTTCCAAAAATAAGTAGCTGCTTTACCAGGATGGTTGAAATACCCCTAACTAACTATTTATATTAATAAATTAAATAAAAAAAAGTAATTTTCCAACATCTATACCTTAACTTAGCCAAACCAAGACTAAAAATACCTAATGAGTACTAAAATCAAATGTAGGCCTACACGGGAAATTGAGAAGGAAATGTAAAATGTCTCCCCCATGAACAAACGAATTTTAGCAAGGTGGCGTAAGTCTACGATAGAGACGAATCGTCTAGATAGGAAGTATTTCATTCTCAATATCACGTTATCATGATTTCATATTTAAATGAAACATATTTAAATTAGACGAATGGATATGACATATAAATAGAATATAAAGCACTGTAGGCCTATATGTGGTCGTCATAATAATTAGGTATTCGAGTCCTCGCCCAGTTTTTCATCAGACAATCCCATGGGAAGATAATAACTGCATGGTGTGTCCATTTTTTACAGGACATTTTCCCCAGTCAGATGTTTTGGAAGGCGCATTTGAATTTCTTTATTCAAAAAAGATGTATATATTTATAATTCAAAAGATAAAATCCTAACCGATGTCGTTGATCGAAATATTGTTATATATACGACTTGGACCTTATTGGTGACTACTAAATAAAAAGTATTTGTTTGTCGAAGACCACATAGAAGTGCTTCAAATTATTATGAGGTTTTCAGCCACATCTAAATTTAAACTAGTAGTAACTATGGTTTGTAGGAGGTAAAATTGTTTATAGCAATCCATCAGATGGTGGTTGTAGATCAAATTCCAGGAAGCATTCCAATGCCTGACACTGACTTTTCAGACTGGCAATTTCAACATGAACAATAGATGCTTGAAAAGCCATTATTGAAAGTTCATCTAATATTTCATGTCGAAGAATCCACTTAAGAATATCTTCAAACTCGACAACGACCAAATCATATATATAAATAAAGTACACACCAAATAACACGTATTGGAAGTTTCGGCAGATAAAGTTCAGAGGCGATAATTGAAAATTTGGTTTGCAGAAATGAATTTAGATATAAACATTAATTTATTTATGTTGAAAATGAAAATATGAAGCTTGGTAACGGTGGCAAATTTTGCATGGAATAATAGGGGTTGGGCTTGATTCTACATTTTAGAAGCTAGTTCAAGGTCAATTGAATGCAATATTAAAAAATTGTTTGTAAAAGCCTAATTGAAAAAAGAATGCGTTTAAATCGATCCTTTATTAACAGCAACAGTTTTACGTTTTAATGTCTATACTGCTTTATTAATGCATGAAAGATGAATGCCATCCACATGGTTGTATGTTTACTCATAACATTGCATCAGCAACTTCGTTGTGAAGCTGTGAAGCCAAGACCATGGTTAGATGGGAATGAAGTAGACATGTCGGAGACCATCGACAGGCAAAAAGTGGTACTAGTAGAACCAGTTCCTATTATATATATATATAATTAGTATCAGTATAATTAGTATTAAGGTCAGTTTGATACTTCATATATAATCAAAAGATATCGAAATATAAAAAAACAAAGCAGGATAGCCCTCTCAAAAGGCTTTGATAATTTTGTTGAGTATACATTTACTATTATTTCATCGAATAAATATTCAATTATATTAGACATTTTGGATGGTATATTAGTATTCTGATAACCAAAAAATTCCACTTGAAATCATCAAAGTCGAATTTTGTCTTTATTTTTCACTCAATGTATTCTCAGAGAAATGAACCGAGGAAACTAGGAAGATCGGCAAACAGCTTTTACCAAGCCTTACAAAGAGCTAGAAAAAGGCAAATTCATAACACCGGCATATCGTCAAATCAAATGAATACTGAGGTAATATGAAACGAATAGGACTGGACATACAAAAATACTAATATAATTAGCAATAGGTTAAGTGATGAATTCTAGTATTCCGATATATATATATAGTTTTGGCCTGTGATTTTTTTAAACTTTTATTTAGACATCACTGAAGCGAGAACTGACCAAATTGAAGCGACGACCGCGTTGGGCAAAATGTTACTCGTGTTCATCAAGTACATCGTATTCGTCTTTCCCTCCATACTATGTAAGACTAACACTTCTCAAAAACACTTCTGTTTGACTGTATAAAACTTCTCTACATTTATATTCTGTTATGTTATGTTGGACATTGATTTCTTTACTATTTTGTTATAGACATCAAATACAGATGTATCCAATTACGCGGCCAGTCAAGTACATTATCTACAGAGGACAGTTGGTAAAATGACAGCAACAATTCGAAAAATGACAGTAAAAATGAGTAATTTTGAAAAATGGAAATCGAAGTCTGAAGATAGAATGGCATCGTTGGAAAGATTAGTGCAGGACCTCAAGTTACAGACTCGTGAGCCAATCACGAGTTCCACCATAAGTGAGTTTAATTTCTAGCATTTAAATTATAGCATCACAAAACCCATTAGGATCGGAGCATGAATCTTAGTACAGACACGAAAATTTTTCAATTAGATAACTCGATAAATGTATCTAGTTTTCCAGGCACGAAAATGTTCAATTCATAAAACGATGCAAAATATTACAGAGAGAGTTGACGGCATTACACGGCAAGATGGTAACATGTTGAAAGTAAGTAAAAACTTGGAAAAGCATACGATTGAAGAAGAAACGCAGACATCTTCACCAACGAAAGAGGAATTTAGATTTCTTGTCCAACAGACTCGTACAAACGGTGAGAACATAAAAAATAAGCTGTGAATTATTTGAACAAAGTACCAGTTAAAAAAAGAGAGCGATGCTCAAATATATGGGTACGAAAGCCAAAATGAAGTAGTATCCACGACTTCACCTGACCACTAACGCGAAAGCGGCATCGCCACAAGGTGAGCAATTTTCAGATTTGATGTTGTCATCGCACACAGAAAACGAATCATATAGAGCCCACATCCCACATAACGATCAATTTGTACATTTCGTGTCCAATAATGTGACATTCGTGGTGATATGTTGCAGCCGAACTAATATCAAATATCACAAAACATCTGAAAATTAGAAGCGTTACAATAAAGAGGCAGGTTGGACCAAATGGACGAGAGCGGACACATGAAAATGACGATACAGAACATAGAACTGAGTCAACGCATTCTTCTTGGCAGGTAGAGATATTGAAGTTTTAAATTTCTAAACAAATATCTAAAACAATCATCCCCAATACGCCATCACACGGACTTCATTTTTTAGAATATTCGAGAGACAGGAGATTTGTCGACCATTAAAAAAGCTGTTGATACAATGAATGAAACCTTGATCAAGCAAGATAGAATAGTAAACACTCTTTACACAAGGGTCGGTAGATTGCAACGTTGCTGTGGGATGAACAAGTTATTAGGAAAAAGAATTGGTATACATGAAAAGAGAATAAAAGAGGCAAGTAGGCTCGTGTAGTATGTTGAACTGTATGCATAAACGCCAATCTGAACTTTTAAAGAATCACTTTTCGGAAATGGGGAAATCAAATGAAGATTAGAATATCAAAAAACATCAAAAATTAGTAAATTGCAAACTTTTCCAGGTTCAAAGTAAAGCTAATATCGCTTTGAATTCTGCGAGACTAGAAAATAGAAGAGTAGACACAATGAATGCAAAATTGGAAAATCAACGACGAAGTATCAGGATATTACAAAATGAAATGCAGAAATTCGATACAATTGCAACACAATCAAATCAAAGAATGGTTGGTGAGTCAATTTCATATAGTATACATTTTTGTTTGAAAGTGTTTGCGACTTGTGCACTAAAACCGATGCGCCTATTCAAAGTTACTCAGAAATGCATTCAGCTTTTTTGATATCATTATCGGCAAAATTACACGGGCGTGCAGCAATGTGGTGAAATTAAAAATTAAATGCAGGATACACGTTTGTTGAATATTATTTCCGATATCGTGTTATATATCGAATACACTGTCCATTTCATTGACATTCGTCCCAATTCTAATTCTGAATAAATTAATTAAAATACTTTATTTGACGTCATGCAGATAGGTTGGAAACCAATCTAAGGGGTATGAACGATTCTATAAATCAGTTGTACAAAGGTGGATCACCAAGCAAACTTGCTGATATTGAAGATCATTTGGCACAAAATGATGACACAATAAGTTCGTTCGGAATTCTGTTGAGTCAACAAATGGATAAAATTGTATCTTGTCAAACCAGAATAGATGGAATCGAAATGATACAAGAAGATCGTTTCGACAGTTTGAAATCAAATATAACTGATGTTCGCAGAAGGTGGGTTTAAAACTTAAAAAGTTTTATTGGCAGGAAATGGAAATGCATATCGTTATAATGTAGTAACCGAGAAAAACAGTTTTAATTTTATGGTAATTCATCTAGTCAAGTTACAATTGATTAACTGGCAAATTGCCAGTTAGAAGCATAACCTATAGTCAATCTGGTGTTTCTGAAGAAAATCTATACTTGGTAAAATCATGCACAAAACTGCCCATATATTTATACATAAACAGCTTTACCACTGACTAGCCATAAACTGCATTGTTCTGAAGAGCTGTGGTAATAATATATATATTCTATATAAAGAATTCAATATTTACTATAATTCAATTCAGCATAATTGAAAAAGATGACAAAACAAATCAGCTAATGAATGAACTCAATGACATCCGTGCTAGTATAAAAACAAAAGAAGCAGACTTTGAAGAATCTAACAAGAATCTAAAATTAAGGTAGTGCGACAATACATGGATACATATTATTTCATTATATTTTCACTACAACACTAGAGTTAAACTGAAAATATATATTTCCATTGCAGCATGGATCGTACATTAGAGCAGGTGGTGGAGAATATTTACGATAACATAACCGAAATCAAGATAACATCGCTTGATCACGACGGGAGGATTGAAAAATTAAGTTTGGGTGTCGGAAACATTCAAACTTTAAACCAAAGGACTGATGATAAACTGCAGGTTGGAAGAGTATAATCATTCAGAATTTTAGATGGAGGTCAGTGTTTTTACTGATATCAATAGATAATTACCGTGTCTTCTATTTAAGTTAATAGATGGAAGAATAAATCACCATGATTCACTTTTTGGCACAACTGTATCTGAATGTCGTAGCGAAATCACAGAGAAAATAAACGAGTCAAAGGAGGAGATGACTTCAAATTACAACAATATTTTGGATATTGTAGCCTATACCAATGCTACAATTGAAATATTACGAACTAAACAAAACGCTCTTACTACGAGGAGCAATCGCGGAGAACATAAATTTATGGAAATTGACCAAAAACTTAGTGGATTGGAATCTTTACAGGTATTCGAATTTGATTCGCCTGGAATTTTTAAATAAGGAATAGTTTTATCTGTATGTATTTCATCTTAAATTGTCGCAGTGATTTATAAAGTTATCTTCAATACATATATATATATTAAAGATTGTACATTTTAACACATCGTCGAATAGCTCTCGGAGATGATTTCGTAATTAATGACGCCATGTTTCGTAATAATGTAGATATTTATGAAAACGCCAAATAGGCTACATTTATTTTTGTTATAATGAAGTATATTGATACGTATGATCATAAGTTGTTACGTTATCGTTTGGCACATATTTTTTCAAAGAAGATGTAATTTGATAAGAAAAAGATTTGTCGCATGAATTGAAAAATAGGATGACTGGATGGGTCGAATATATGGAAAATATAAATACCTTTTTTATCTTTTATTCTTTACAGACCCGGCTGTCAAGCTCATTACAAATACTTGACGATACATTAGCGACCAAGAATTCAGAACTCAAAACAATCATTGACGAAAATACTGAAGATATAGAGAGATTCAAAAGTCATATCCATTCAAATATTACAAATAGGTATGAACAATGCCATTTATTGAATATATAAATATGCTGCTCGAAGCTGTTAATAAGATATCAACACAAATCACTATTCCTAACAGACCAAAGGTAAAGTAATTTACAAAGCATTATGTATATTTCCAGAATCAATAAGCTTGAAAACGAAGACACAGATCATCTAGATTTATTCAAAAATATTGAAAAGCGACTCTCGCAATCCAACAAAAAATTGACAAGCTTGAATGAATCGTTGATGACAACAAAAACAATCGAAATGATGGAAATCAAGACAAAGTATTTATAATGAAACTACAACATGCGCATGTTTGCAAGAAGCCATTTATAAAGAATAATAATTGATGCATAAAATTATCATAGTTTAAATTAAACAATAACGATTTGTGCGTATGTGTATATGTACATACATATGTGCCGAATTCGACACAAAATAACCTTTTAACCCTTTCTAGAGTCGGCCAATTGAACGGAATTACATATACATTGGGTGGAAAAATGAAACTACAGCACACTGAAATAGAGGCCTCCAAGTTGTCTATAGCCTCAAATAAAATCAGTAAGTCTCAGATAATAGCAGTATAGCCTGCCCTAGACTAGGGTATGATATAGATTGATGTCTAAATATAAACCAATTTCCTGTATAAAACTAAGAAGAAGGCAATAGCATTTGTAAAAAAATCTGCAATGCTATAATTTATAAAACACGACGACGTAAACCACAGGTCTGAGAGAACTATTCAACACAACAAAACGCGTCTCAACCACTTTGCAAAACTCAATTAGATCACAAAACAACCGACAAGATGGTATTTCTGACAAAATGGCCAGAATTCAGGAAGGTCTAACAAAAAAGGTATCTTTTTTCAGAAATATATGATGACAATAAAATCCAAACGATAATCCAAAAAGATAGCGTATGATTTTCTATATGTCAATACATATATATGCATTTATACTTACTAGTTCTACTCAATTTCAAATATGTTTGAAAGTATATATGTCAAACCTGTTACAAAAATACTTATATAAATACTTATTCAATATTCATACGAACACACTTAAACACAACATATGAAGCAAAATTATTTTCAAGTTTCAATGGAAAGAGTTTCAAGAAATCCGCACAGAATTAAATAGGTTCCAGGTTGAAAATGAGGTTCTGACAGAACATACTTCGGGATTTGTAACTTAACACAACTCCACTTTGAATAAGATAATAATAAATGAATATGGTAATTCTATTATATCCATTGGTAAGGCTGAAGATATTGAGAGGCAAATGCAAGACAGAATTAGCGAAACGGAACTCCGCGTTGCCGCAATGGAAAGTATGAACATGACCCTGCATAATAAGGTGGAAACATGTACGCAAGAAATGCAAGCAGTTAAAGGTAATAATGAAACTACTCATATTAATTTAAAGTAAAGTAGTAATTTATAGTCGTTGAACAAGCTTGGATATGATAATGAACATTTATTTTAACTCATTTTATTCTTCAAGTGATTCAGTGATTTGCAAAACCTCTTGCATTTTTCGTCATGACATGGATGCTGCAATTAATTTTGTTTTATTTCATCGCACAGGAGGTATGCGGTCCTTACAAGAAACAGAAGATGCTGTTTCTGCTGCAATAAACTCATACCAAAACACATTGTCAAAGCAAGATTATGTTGAACGAAACTTAACAATTCTTTCTCAAAAGGTAAAGTTGGTTATTTGAAAAAAGGTTCTTATCGATAGATTATTATGAAAGCGTGACACCCTTTCGTAGCGTGGACATGTTTACTGCCATTTTTGACATATCAAAATTGTATGTTTACAGTCAACTTTTGGATGGTTGTAAGGTTAAATATATAGAGAGTTATGATAATGTTGGTACTGATTAGTTTAATTTAAAGCAATACTAATATACAAGAATGTCATTCGGCTGTTTTGCAGTATATTCATGTATAACAGGTGCGACAAACCTTACAAGGGCAAGGAATCGCTCTGAAGTCGATACAACAAATCATGTATAAATTAAATGAAAGTTTGGTAGAAAGTCAACAAAATATTCAACAATCTTACACCGAACAACTGCAAAATCAAGATCAAGATATTCGTTCAATGAGAGGATTAATGCAAAATTTTTCGTCTCTTCTCACCGAAGTGTTGAATGATCAACTTTCACATGTAATATCGTTTCATATCCACCCTTTTCTTCATAATTATGATTGAATTTATTATTTTGAGTTTAATCTTTTTTGACATATACAAATTTGAAAGCATTTCTTCAATAATCTCAAAGAGCCATTCCGTTTTACATTAATAGTGGCTTTTACTAATAGCTTGAAAACCTGTGTCCCATATGTTTTAATATTTTATGCTCGTTGCAATATGCACTCGTCTGAGTGAGTATTGCAGTATTCTGTTTAATTCAAATATTAATTTGGTCAACCTTCATAATATTATATAGGACATAAATCAAGCAACGCTTTCTACGCGACAAAAATCGTTGGCCCAAAAGTTTGATTCTCAATCGACGGTGATCAAAGAATTATTTTCAACTAGTAAAAGAGCAAATATGGCAATGGAAACGGTTAAATCATCACTGGCGGTGAATACTGAAAGACTAGAAACAACTCTACTTGAGATCCAAGAGTAAGTTTGTTAGTTAGTATTCGTTTGCGTTCATTTATTTGCGAATATCAGTAACAGAAATAGCGAAATGTTTTTTCAATTATAGTCATAAGAGGCAAATTCGATCAGTGGATTTGAGAATAGAAGATTTGTTTGAGACTTGTCAGAATATAAATTCAACTCATACCAAATCAAATTTGGGTTTAAAAGCTACGATCCAACAAATGAAGAGCGGATTTTCTGATCTAATAGAACAAGTGGAAGAAATTGAAAAGGTAATATTTTTTCATAATTCTCCCTCTAAAAAAATAATTCTAGTGAGATTATTTACCTTTAATTACTTCAAGCACATATGCACGTCCTAAAATATGCCCCCAACCCATAACAACCATGGGGAATAAATTGTTTAACAACATGAATTCAGTAAACTAATGTTATGACAGCGATACATATATGGTATGAAATTTTTTTTTCAGGAAGAAGAGCTTAATCAGAGAACACAATCAGGCAAATTGAATCGTATTAACGCAAAACTCCAAACACTGGGGAACGAGGTTGAAGCAAATGGAAATTCTATAAGACAGGTTTTGCTTGTTATTCGAGAATTCTGCATAATCTTTGCATTTCTGATTTTAACCTATCAAGTATTGCTGAAAGGGTTAACAATTATTCAGTAATACCAGCCACAAAAAAAACTCAAAAGGATCATGATCACATCACCATGCAGCCGACACTATGACATATACTAGGCTCTATCAAAAAAAAAATCAATACAATTGTTATTTCAAATGTATGGTGATACAATTAAATTGTGGTATTTTAGAACTCAGCGATGAAAATGGATATCGTTTCGCTCATGGCGTCCCAGAAACTTACAACTTCGCTTCTCCAACGGACAGAACAATTAGAAAATAATGCAGTGATAACTGAGTTTACTTTGACGACCATTCAAGATGAAATAGAAAGACAAATTCTTAAAATGTCAAAAGAACTTTCGAAGGATTTGAATGCCACCGCTCACAATTTTTCGAAAATGGTAAGAGGTTTACGTTTTTGATATAATAATAATAATGCAGAAATTTTTAAAATTAAATGTTAATGTATAAAACATTTTTTTATGGAAAAGGGGATATATGCTAATCCTATTCTACATAAAATGAGTTTTTATGTTAAAAGACCAAATATTGTTGTGTTGGTCAAACTAAACTGAAAAAATTGAATAAAAATATTTGGACCTCCAGAAATATGCGCACCAAGATGGCGCACAAACTGAACATAGCATGTGTGTACCGGTTAGGATTCAGGTTGTGTGACATCTTGGTGCGCATACTTCTGGAGCACCAAATATTTATATATATTATACATATACATGTGTACTACCAATTTCTACATGCACTACCTCACTGTTCAGTACCAGCTCAGGTGTGAGCCGTGTACAATTTATAATTCACACTGAGATAAAAATGAAAATATATCGTCACGCTAATAACCGAATTGCGTAAGTCATTTTTGGCGATTTTGAGCTTTTTTTTATAAAATAGGTATTTATGTAATGCTGCGCACCTGTCTGTTACCTCAGATTTTATTTTAAGAATTCTGAAACTCATAAAAATGGAGATTTAGTATGACATGCACATTTGTGCAATTGTTTCGTCATAATGAATTATCATTGTTACCGCGGGACTATTGTGACGTCACAAAGGCAAAATAACCTCTGCTAAGTATTTTTGAGTTTTTGCATCTCGGATTCTAGCTTAGTGAGTATTAATTTGAATTTATACTACAGTATAGGGGGACGTGCACTTGTGATATTTACTGTCCGAGTCCAATTCACCTTGGTTGGCTTTTATATTGGGTGCATTGCTGTTTTATTCTTTATATTTAATCTTAGTCTCATTTCGGTGGGTGTGCAGAACGTGTTATATTGATGAAATATATATTTTTAAACATAAAAAATAATGTAATTGAAACTGATTAGCTATTTTGGGCATTAGACATTGTAGATAATGAGAATTACATTCGTTTTTGGAATGTTTAGTTTTCAGGACTGGTGCATATAGTAAAGTTGCAAAATTGCGTATGTCCCCAAGTCATAGACACATTCCTGCCTAAGTCACAGTGTGCCATTATGACGTCACTTAACTGCGTCATACGAATTAACTTAAATCCGGCTACGATCAAAAAATTGAACCATGGTAAATTATTGACTCCCAATGGCATAACAATAGCATTAGGAAGTTTTTTACGTTTTTCTCAAAACTGCTAAAAATGACTTACGCAATTCGGTTATTAGCGTGACGATATATAATCGAAGGAATTCCCTCTATATTTGTGTTGATTTAATATTTTAATCAGGGCCACAGGATGAGTAGATTGTCAAACAAATTAGTCAATTTACAAGATCATCATGAAACAACAGATGTGAATTTGCAACATGCATCCAGCATACTGCAAGATCTTACACAATGGAAGAACCAGGCGAATGAAGCCATAGGAAAAGTAAGCTGTGTGATGAGCCAGAGGGGTATTATCAGTCATTACTCAATAACTTAATTAAAAGTATCTTAACAGTGATTATGTTTGCTAATCATGGCTGAAAGATGAAGTTATTTGAAGGGTTATATAAACCTGAATATAGTTTTAACAACACACATATTTCATGATTATACACGTCACACACAAAGGATTCTTGTTCTGAAAGTTTTTTTTTTCATATTTTTGACATTATAGGTCCAAGAGCAAGATCCAATAATACAATTTTTGAATGAAACCCTATTAAAGAATACAAAAAAGTTGGAAGAACATAACAAGAAAATACAAGCACATACAGACACTATAATATTGATAAAGAAAAACAGCTCAAACCTTACTTCGTTCATACAGACTATACCGGACCAAATTGAGCAATACGGTAGCAGGTATGCACACAGTCAACAACCCAATATATTTGGATGTAGCAAAAATATGTAGGGTATTGTCTAGTCTCACTAAATAAATAAGATATCGAAAGTTTACAACTTTTTCTATCAACGAAGCCCGAGTTAACATATATTGATGATGTCAGTCATCAAATTCCCAATTGTCATCAAAATGACATGATATCAATTGGTATTGATAACACATTATTTGATATCTTTCAAACAACTTTGCTCTGGTATTTCTTACCCTAATATGCGATATTGTTACCAAATCGGGAATTCCGAGGGATTATTCATTTTTGATTTGGCTGCATCCATACGTCGATATAATGTGTTGGGTTATATTAGCCCATGAATAAATGAAAAAAATTGATTGTAGAAATTTCAATCTTTTAATATATCAAAAAACCTGGAAACCAATATACTGACTATTCATCGTATATATAGCATATTAGCAACAACACAGCTTTTAGGAGAAATCAAGGGCGGTCTTATAAGTGTTGAATCGTCGCAGAAAGTTGACAAAATACTGATGGATGAAATGTCAATGAAGATATCAGGAATAGGTAAGGATCTTTTTAATATAGAAAATATATTCAAAATCGTTGAAATATCAATCAAAACCGAAGTACAGAATAGAACTAACCGAGAGGACATTACTTTACGTATATTTTTCAGAGAAAAACATAACAACGATCGGAGATGAAATCTGGTATCTCACAAGCGATGTTGATTTGAACTATAACTCAACACAGCAAATATTCGACCAGTTATACAAGTACGATGAACAGTTAAGCACCATCAATACGGAGGTAAAAATTAATGAACGATGCACAATTTTGATTTGAGTTCATCGATCTTAATGTTGCAAAGCATATAGTGGACAGATAAAATTTGGGCCACCAAGCGCATGAACACCTGGGTATGTTATGTTTAGAATGCAATGTTGAATATTGAATCGGTTTGTAGCATTCGTTATCTCCTGGGATGATTTAGTAACGAGTCTATTATATTTATCTCAATCAAGAAAAAAATAATTCGGATTCGTCATATTATGTTATCTATTAATACACATATATATATTTCTGAACTATATATTAACCATGCAGTTATTGAACTGTTTACGACTTATACGTGAAGCACTGATTTGAGATGAGCTTACACAATGTTTTTGTTAGTTTTTGAGGCTTTCACAAAACTTGAATTCCGAGTGTGTTTTCTAAGTTTACCGTCTTTGGCCACCAAAAGAAAATAGTTGAAGTTTTACTGAATTTCTTTATAAAATGTGGTTCCTGGTAAATCATTACATTTCATACTTCTCCACAGTCAACTGCGTTTCTTTCGAGCCTAACATCATCGGTAGCAAGTTTGGAATTTTCTTTACAAGAAATAAACGGAACCTTCTCATACGACTTGAACGATTTAAAAATATTGGTCGATGACTTCCAGGTAAGCTAGAGGAAATTTCGGCAATCGTTGAGAATTCGTATTCCATATTGTGTCAGCAAGTAGCCTATATATATTATACTCTTGTATCTCATCCTATAATCAGCTATTCTTTTTTGATTAAAATTTGATTGTAGGATTTATAAATTGAAGGTATATAGAAGGTGTTGTGCTTTGAATATGGGACTAATCCAATAATTTAAATCAAACGAATTAAAATCGAAAAAAGTAATGACGTTTTTTTTTTCAAAAAAAAAAAATCCACTAAGAGGTATTGTTATTTTACATAGCGCCCTTGTCGCACCGAGACGATTTTAGAATGCGTTACCAACTAACCATGTAATGCATATACCGACACCTCTGATTCAATTGTATAATTCCAGGATGCATTTGATACGTCCAATCGTCAATTAGCGAGACATGGAGACGCAGTTCGTATAATGAAAGCAAATACATCGAATCAATTCAACCACTTTTCAACAAGCATCGATTACCTGACTCAGGTGAACTTAAAATAGCCTCAGAATGAGTAATGAAACAATTATTCCAGTTGAAACTCAATTGATCTACATTTCATTCGTATAATTTCTCCTGGAACGCATTGTTTTGTTATTAAGGCGCGGCGGTGTGGCTCAACGGGCTAAGCGTTAGGAATACGCTCGCCACCGCACCTCTAATTACTCTGCGTGGGTTCGCAGGTTCGAATCCCATGCAGGGATGGTTATGTGCGAAAGGATTGCTGGACTCCTCGCCGTCGTTGGATGGTTCACGTAACCGCTGGTCGGTTACGGCTACCTCCACCACCAAGTCCATGCTTCCGAAAACAAACAATATAACTAATCCCATACCCGACTTGGAATGGTAACCGGACGAGAGGCCGTGGTTCGCCATATGGATAAGCCGTCTTATCGGCTTTCCTCTCCCCCGGGATAAATATGCAAATCCTATCCTATCCTATCCTAATTGAGTAACAAAATAAAGAGCAACTGCATTAGTTATACCCATGATATGACTGCTCTGCAACATTGAATAATGACTGCATTGACCTTCTAAAGAACACATATAATAACCATGAAATAAAACTAAAACGTTAGCAAAGCAAAACGTTGAATAAAACCAGAAATTTTAGAAAAGTTTTTATTCAGATTGTACGAGAAAGCAATGAAGCTGTCGATGAAAACCGAGATCGACTGGAAGCTTTGAATGAAACAATGCTTTTCCTCAGACTGTCTATTCCAGCTTTGCTGGCGACGGGAGTAGACGAAGGTTAGTTGGGTATCCGAAATAAATGAAGTCAACCCAATAGGTGACAAGCAACGTAGTTTGTAACCGCAACTTATTTGATTGTTTTAGGACTGTTCCAAATTCGAAATACCACTAACGAAGGAACGCTGTTTTCGCTGAATGACTTAGCTACTAGATCGTTAAAAGGAAATATACCCAGACGTGGAGGAGAAGAAGACGAATTTATAGCGCAAGGTAGTTCGATTCATTTTGTAGCAGTTTTTGTTGTAAGACCTTGAAGGTGAATTTTATTTGGTATCATTTAGGTCTAAATGATAGGTATAAAAAACCTATGCATTCGCTATATTGTTGAAAACAATCTCGTGATTAAAATATAAATTTGAAGGAGGTTTCCATCGGATGTGCGAGTGTTCAGCTGCTATTCTGTATACATATAACGGTTTACATTCCTATAAACTGTGTTGCAGCATCAGAAGGACGGGATCGAAAAAGAAGTGGGCTCAATTTGGAAGCAGTATTAAATGGAGATGCCGATGAAATGAGAGTGAACAGTAGAGTGGAAGCTTGGATGGCAGGAGGATCGGATGGTTTCGGCGATGATGATAATGATGACAGTTACTTGAACGAATTTGATTTTGAAACGTTGGAACGAAGAAAAAGGTATTCACTGAATCAAAAGCATTAAATATGTAGCATACCATAATTAAATTTGGACAATTTAGAAAATGCCGAAGATATTTAAATACCAGCAAAAATAATAACTAGAATTCGGTTGGAAACCGAAAACTTACCGATCGGAGGTTAGGGGATCCCCCAAAACAGTGATTTTACTCCATAGTGACACCGTGTGTCCCATCACTAATTAATTAATAACTCGCTAATTATACGAAATAATCCATCCAAAATCAATAGGCTCCTGTTCCGAACTATGATGAATGCACATGCAATTTGGAGCAGGTTCAACCTTGCTTTCGTGAGATATCGCGTGTATCTAACAGACAAACAAACAAACAAACAGACAAATACCTATCAACATACTTACCGATATTAAGATCGATAAGTAATAATCACGAATGAGAGAACAACATTGTTAGATCTGAAATTAAATCTAATTATTATTTGAAGTGTGTTTTGTCAATAAAACAGAATTTTTTTTATCATATAATGCACTCAATGAACTAAATGCAGAGGAAGAAACGCTATAAAAAAAAAAACATATGCGGTCTGTGGTCAGACTAGTCTTCATTATTTAGCGAATAGGACGGTCCTCCCATGATAGCTTCAGTATGGCTTTTTGTTGATATTATCGTACATATTGAAAAGTCATTTTATTCTATTGATGATATTGTATTATATGCCATTCTCAAATTAGTCCTTCAGACTTAGTCCCGATAAATGAAGAAGGTCACTAGGGCGAAGTTGCCTCTTGCACGGACCCCTTGTTCCGCGTGAATAAGTCAAAAAATTATCAAAATTCACTGGGTCTTTTTTTCAGAGTTGCAAACCGAGAGGACAAGCGAATGTTGAAGTTATTGAGAAGGATGGGCCCTTTGCAAGCTAATTTTCATGGTGAAGAAAGAAAAAATAACAATCAAAAAATGCCACTTCAATCGACTACATCGGCCGGATTTGTCGGAAAGGTAACCCACCTTGTAATCTCCGACTTTTCATTTATTGGAGTATTTCAAAATTCGAAGATAATTTTAATTTTCAATGCTTAGAAATATTTTCAGCATACCCGTTCGAACGATAGAGCGCCGAATGACTATTTTTTACAATTTGTCGGGTGTGTTATTCAGTGAAATATAACTCAATAAGAAGTTGATTCAAATTTGAAAAGTTAAGTTCCGCGTCTAGGCCAATATTCGAAAAACTATTTTGATTTTATACACTTATGCATTTAGTATTGGTGGATTTTCCTACTGAAGATTGTCTACCAGCCTGAAACGATACGATAAATAATGATATATATATATTTGAACTGTTGTCGTTGCACAGATCGCATTCAGTGCTGGATTGACGAAAACACATTATTGCTGCGGAGTCGTCAAGTTCAATCACGAATTTGCAAATTACGGTTCAACATACAATTTCATCACAGGAAAATTCACAGCACCTGAAAATGCTCATTATGTATTCTTTGTCACAGTGATGGACGGAAACAGGTGATCGCGTGATTTTCTGATATTATGAATAGGTTGTAAAATTCCCGCTGGTGATATTCATATTCAAACACTTTTAGATATAAGGATATTGAATGAAACTTAATATTTCATTAAACTCACTAAGGAAATGGTACTAAGTGGAAATATTGATAACTCAGACTTCTTCCCTACATTTCGAGTCGTATCTGGGCAAATCTAACTTTAGTCACGTACATAACTAAAATATAATCTAACGGTAACGCTGTTAAATATTATTTATATAATTGCTTGTCCTTGATAATATTTTTATGACTTTGAATTTTGGCAATTAATTATGATGAATAGATGCCGTATTTCCACAATAGGTTTATTTGATCATCGAATATCCTATAAACAAATATAATAAACTTGTTACCCTATAAATAAAATAAAAATTAACCCATTTTGCAAGGTATACGCGCTGCCTTAAAATTATATTTTGATCGGTAACAAAGTTGAGAAGATATTCTTTTCAATGAGACTATAAGTTAAATACTTATATTAAATATTTATTAATTTCAGCTATCTCAACGCTGCCATAGTTATGAACGGAACCCCACAGATTTCATTACAAATAAACAACAGTGCAAAAGATTCTGAAGAAAGTCAGTCGACAAATACTGTCATATTACCTCTATCAAAAGGTGATGAAGTCTGGGTGGAAATACTTTCAGGATCACTTCTCGGTTACCAATATCCTGCTGTGACATTCTCAGGATTTTCACTTGGTTGATGAAAGTCTCGAACATTTCTGAGAAATCTTGTTACTGATTCTCCGGTGGTTTAGAAGAATCGAATACCATGGTAGAGTTTTTGTTTAATAAATGCGCATGTTTACCTCAAATACGAAAAAAATATTGTTGAAACAGATTTCCAGCATCCGGCAACCATATACTGCCAATCAAGATAGATTGATCGACGATGGACGCACTATCTACTTAATAAATAACAATTGTTATTTGTTACTTAATTGGTTCTAAACTTCGGACACATATGTGATATATATACATATATACATATTTTGTGTGATATACATATATGGTTTTTATATAATGAGTGTTATCTATATGAAACAATCAATTACTCGTAATATACCTAATGATTTTATAACTATAGTATAATAACGTAATATACGACAAATAAAAACAATTAAATCGTGTGACGAATTGCCGACTCCCATCCGATTATAGGTCCTTGGGAAAAGTTTGCCAGTTATTTCATGCAGACTGAACGAAGGATGGTGCTACGTGCCCGCATTTCACTACCACGACAATGAATCTAACAATTTTATCGGAGGCAGTTCTTTTTGCGAACCCCGTAGGTAATCGTGGGACAATGGCTAGTGAGTTTCTCAGTGAGGTAGGCCAAGCGTTAAGCCCAGTCGTTCCCAAATTAAAAAAAAAATTCCATGGCGGACCCTTGCAATTTTTTTAATGATTCCCGGCCTTGTGCACATTGAACAAAATATACGACATAGTTTAATGAGATGGGTGCACTTGTTTCATTGTAAAACAGCATTTAGAAGCGTACTGGCATAGCTTAATTAACTGCCTACTGTAACTCCGTCCTATACCAACAAACCTGCAAAAGGCAGCGCCAGCTACACCTCTGCAGTTAATTAACTTGTAATGGCAGCAATTGAACTATATCTGTAATATCACAGGCCCACAGCTCTGTGACATCACAGTGAGGCAGCGTGATAAAAACAAAGAGAAAAATCAGTGTCTCCAGCAGTGATTGCAAACAAATATGTATTTGCAAATTTAAGCACTTAATTTTTGTTTCATCAAGCTATGAGCCATATAACAGATTCCTTTCGCTAACCCCGGATAGATTTGCTGGAAAATAAATACATTTTAATTCGTTTTGTGGCCTAAATAAACCATTGGATTGAAACCTCTGGTTTTGACTTGAACCTAAGTTTATTTGTTTGGACTAGTCACTAGAAATTAGAATACGCCATTTATTTAGAACCACTTGGTAATAACATTGTTGATGTGAATATTCTGGAAATAAATTGAAGTATATATATATTTATATTAAAACTTCAGTTTAAAGACCTTTAAAAACGCTTATTTTAACTCGGTCATTCGAACAAATGGGATTCAATAAATACTTCGATGCTCAGCCCAGAAGAAGAGCAAAAAAATAAATAAAAATGAGTGTTTGTGACGTAACATAGCTAAATGAAACACATTTAATAGCGTATTTAATCATTCATTTCGATTTTAACTGATAATGCGACAAAATGCAGAGATATCCTCACACATACTCAAGACGAGATCCAAGGCGACCAAAGTCAAGCTTTCTTGCTTTGAACTTATCGGAATCTCTTTTCACTGTTGATACTGTTATAGGATCAGTACAGAGCAGTAAGACATTAAGAATTTATTATTAAATTACATAAATCTATGCTAAAATAGATCACAGCACCCTAGCAGAAAAATAAAAACAATTGCCAGGTCAGAACATATTCGTACAACTGTAGATATATATTAATATATGTATATATGAAAGCTTGTCTTCTCTACTTATACTAAATAACATGGAATATGTATAAGTAATATTGTACGCTCCAAGCAAATAATTTTTGAATTGATAGCTTTGGTCATTTTTGCTGAGATCTGCATATAAATGGAAGCTATACTTCCAGGTTATATTTGGAAAAATTTTAGTTAGCCGAATGTTCCGCAAGAATCGACTAACAAAAAGAAAAGAGAGATATTTGTGTACCAAATTCAATTATCCTATTTGTCAACAAATCGCAGAACATTATACACGCTGAACAGAAAAGTAGCTTTTACATCTCAGCGCTTTTTACTTCCGCGTTTAAATAGAATCGACATACATAAGTGAAGATTATGGAGACAACGTTTCATCAGATATTGACGCTGGGAGTGCACGACTTGCCTTCAAGAGAAAAGATGAAAACCGAGGTTCCTAAGTTGTGTTTTATTGCGTCAGCGTTACAACAATAGTTACTGGTATTTTCGACTTAATCCTGCATTACTTTTTTTGCGTAATTATGACTACTATTTTTATTATTCCGGTAATTGTCGTGTGATAATTTTGGATATCGCGCACACAATACAAAATAACGGAGCTGGTGGTTGATCAGGTGCGACTGTGCGCGAGAGGGTTGTCAGATTTCTTTTTGTAAAGTGAATACACATTTTTTTGTAAAATTTACAGTGAAGTAGTAGCTTTTATACAGTGACGTTATTCAAACGCGATTGAATTAACAGGACATGATAGCGAGGACTATTAGGTTTCATTCAAATGTCCGCGTTGCGGCGCGTTAAAATTTTGTTACTGTTATCCAGAAAGCGGCCCATCCTCTCCAACAGGAAGTCCACAACAAAGAGAATGCGAATCGGAAGTTTCAGGTATTTTACATTTATCTTTTCAAGCCCAGTATTGTAATAGGGTGTTAAAAGTAATTCATTCAGTCAAACAATTTCAATGACACATCGATATTTTTCTCACAAAGGTACTAATTATGCTGATCCCCCATAGTCCTGAAGATCTATTGCAAAATTTCAAAACGGTCGAGTACGGTTCCATTTTATTATTATTTTAACAGCATGTTCACAAGTCTATTTAATTCAAGACCTCGGTCAGACGAAACGTTACAGAAATATATTTGTGTAAGTGTGCAGCAAGACTCTTGAATTAAATAGAATAGTCATTTCCACACTTGCTACAGCATCCTTGCGTTATATGCATATATATGATTCCACCTGCGCAAAGGCATAGAGCAAGGAAAGGTAGTTAGTTTTCACGTAACCCCAACTGCTGGGTATGTTCACAAGTGTTATTGATTGCTATATATATATGTATGTCATTTATATTTTGGGTGATGTTTATTGTGAAAAAAAATGTCTAAAATGCCAATTTATGGTCTTTATTTCAGCTGGTCGATCTTTGATTGAACCGTCTGTCGACTGGACCGTTTTTAAATCAGCTGATGCAAATTTGACGTTTGTAACGAAAACCTGGCGTCAACTTCATCCACAAAAAAGTTACATTTCCCTCTCTATAAAATGTTAGAAATTAGAATTCGGGTAAGTTGAATATTCTACGGTGTCTACTCAACAAATTGGTTTCAATCAAATCATTATCGAGAGCAGATTTAAAACATGTTCGTTTAAACAGCGTGATAATGGAATTATGAAATAAAAGTGAAAACAACAATTTCTTTTGTTATCATCCTACCGTTATTGTATACTTTGGTAATAATACTGGGATGCTGATATTAAAACTGTAGGCGGCTGTTGGCAAAACCTTCCATCTTATATTATGTACGTTTTAATTCTTATCCAAGGTTTTGTTTGCTCTCCTGATTTCATAATCAGTTTTTATTTATATGTTTTTGTCAATCACTTTATTGTTATGCTGATTATGGAGTCGAAATAAACTTATATACAGTAGTAACCTGGCGTTACGGGTTTTAGTTTGTGATGATCAATTGGAAACCGTTTTTGTGACTTTTTTGTCGCAATACTACTGAAAGATGGGGAGAAATGAAGATCACTTTAATAATTACCAACATATGCTGTATATTACAATCTGTATATTGCTGCTGTATCAGTGTACTAAGATTGAAAATTTTCCATACTTTCAAGACATTCAAAATAAAGCATATACTCTACTATAGCCTATCAGATTGAATGGTTTATTATTAGATTAAGTGTTTTAAAAGTACAACAGCCCGAAAGTTCAATACATTTTCGTATTTTTCGTTTGTTTATTTCATTCGTTTAACTAAGTTTGTGTTTTTTGTGAAAAAAAATTTGTGTGTGCTGGTGAGCGAGCACATAATATATTTCTCATGTTTAAAACTTTTTAAAGGTTTTGCTCGCTCTCCAAAATTCTCCATTTATAACTTGTGTGTTTTATGGAGTCTACAATATAAACTATCTATCTTTATAAGTTTGGTTGGAGAATATGTAGCCTACTTAATCGTAGCCACCCCATCATGTTTTCATTATGAAATGCTATCACACGTAGGGAGTGGGTACATCGCGCTGGGATTTTGTCATGCTAGATTTAATCTGGCATAATGTTGGCATAAAATTAACTCAAATTCTTTAAATTACATTTCTAGGTGATGCAAAGTGAGACATTGCATAAAACGTGTCGACGTGACAAATTTGAAACAACGACATTTCGAAATCTACCACCATGTACTCTCAGTATTTCAAATTAAATGAAATATATCAATCAGTATAGCTTCTTATAGATTGACATAAATATACGACTAAGCTGTATTAACGACTTTCTCTAATACGGACATATGTGAATTACCGATACGAACATGAACAACAGTTCTGCATTTTGGTTGGATGAGATTGTCCGAAAAGGTCGAATCTATGAAAAATTCGCCTTCGGTATCTTCTGATTCCTAAAGCTTTCGGATTTGTTGAGTTTTGAATGCTTCACATGACGTGTTACATGAAACGTTTTGAGAAAAAATTGAAAATACCCTTATAAAATCAGTTTTCGAACACAAAACCTACGTTGTCGGCAGGATTCGAACCTGCGCGGGCAGAGCCCAACAGATTTCTAGTCTGTCGCCTTAACCACTCGGCCACGACAACCACCGAGAGAAAGATTTCAAATAGTAAATATATAGATAGTACTCTCGTTTTATCATCGTTTCTTTTTACATAGTTTAATCAGCGTGTATAATTCAACAATTAACGACCCTGATTGCAAAATTAAAGCATATTAGTCGCAGTGCATTTTTACATTGTCCTATAAAATAACACTTTAAAATGGTTTCCTGTTTTATATGCATAATTTGACTTGTACTCTGCTAAGTTAGTTCAAGTTGTGAGAAGAGCTTGTTATATTTACGTCTGGCTATTATATCTAAGTTAAATTTCTCGCAAGTGAATTACTATGAAATTTAATATTACTTAAATAATTTTAATTTAATACAATGCCATCAGTTCAGTAAAACACAAAGTATTTTTCTGGCACAACATTTTTATTTAATGTATAATACACATAATGACCAGACATAGAATCTGAAATTGTTTCCTACCTTGTCAAACACAATTTATCAGAGATTCCATCCTTATTTCTTTGTCGTGTGTTGACTGTTAAAAACAACCATCGGAAATGTTGACATTATGACTATATACAACTGAATGATAATTATCAGTTCTACACAAAACAAACTCTTGGCGTAATGGTGAATAAATTATTCATAAAAAACGCACTATAAGGAGGTTGATCAGACGTAGATCGGTGGTTCTGTCAATGAAGACAGCGACAGCTTAGGGCCGAAGGGTGCAAGGTGTACCGGAAGATGAGCATGTGATAAAATAAATATTGAAGGAATATTAGTAGTGAATGCAGTGTTAAAACGAACGTCGAATATTGAAGTGTTGGCTGGTGTTTCGGGCATATTGTACTATTGTCAGAATTTAGCTTTGTAATACATATACTATCATATGAATATACCTTTTACGACAAATTCAGCCCTAGATATATATGTGGGTGAATATTTGCAAGAACGACGTTTTAGAAGAGCGAATTTGTAGTAACATGCTGTTAAATGATACCAGATGATTGATACCGAAATGAAAAATGGCGAATTATTCATTAACGTCATACCACAACAGTCTCACTTCCAAGTAAGCCTGCTAATACTTGCTTTGCAAATTTTAGATTTTTAAAAGCATATTCCTTCTCGCAAGTTGGCTGCTCTCGACTTGGGGAGGAGTGCCCAAGTAATTTCGGATTCCAGCCAATGAAAAACAATATTTAAAACGGGATTTTGAGAAACCATTTAATAACTGCAGAAATTGGGCAATATAACCTCGAATGACAGACCTCTTCATAATTTTGCGATAGATTTTCCTCAAGCGCCCCGTGTGGTAATCTAAAAGCAAGTGACTGACTAACACTAACTGATCCCCAAAAATGAAATGCGACCTACTTGTAGTTGGAACGCTGAGGGTGAAATCGATTGATATGGGTCTTCAAATATTTCAAGTCGGCGCGAGCAGGGCACTGGTCCACTGATGTCATTTGATCGTCATACGAATAATCAGCGGGTTCTTATTAGCCTGCATAGGTCGAGTTCGCGTTTTGGGGAAAACATCCTGCGAGAACCCGACTTACGAGTATGATGGTGTATGTTCCCGACGAGTATGTCGGGAAATATTATAATTTCTCGTCAAGGCATAAGTAGAAATCGCGAATGATATCTCAGTAGTAGCATTCCAGTTTCGGCGACTTTTGAAAACATTCAGAGCAATTTACAATTACAATTCATGATCATTCAGTCGTCTACATAATACGAAAACTGGCATTCACAGTAAAACAATCGTATCCAAACAAGAAGAGATTATGTGCGATATGTTACTCGGTACCACAGATTATTCACGGCCCGCACTCGTCAGAATATCCACTTTCCGATTGATGTGACAATTTTATTTACATAAAGTAAGAAAATAAAGCATATGAAGCGGGCACTAAAACTTCACGACTGAAAAGAATTAAATAGACTCGTTTAAATTCCTTCAAGGCACTCCTAAAATATATGGTTCTCGTGTTTGTTCGAACAGGATAAGCTTCTAGACTGAAAAGGGATTCCGCCAACGACAAGTTTGTTTGCCTGCAGTGATAAGACATATATATACGAGGGCAACAATGTAGTTCAAAGAATATGGTTCACAATGAAGAAAGTGTAAACTTAGGTGTTTCGTAACGAATCGTAAAAGAGACAAATAAATACAAGTATACCAAATATTATTTTTCGCTCTTCAGTCTCGTTTTCTTCTTGTGTGATTCGCAACAAATCACAAACGGGATAAACCATATACAACCAGGATCAGACAGGCGAGTCTGTCAGGCGAGGAATAGTTCAAACTTGGTACATGGACGAATTCACTCATCTAGAAAGTAGAAAGAATTTTCACAGCTCAATCGTTTCATAATTGTAGTTACAAATAAAATTTTATATCGCTATTTATAGTTGTAACGATGAAATCACTGACTCAAAACAAAACTGCATAACTTATGCAGGAATACTTTGCTATAATACTTTCAGAATATTTTTATTTCGAATCTAGTTACGATATTTGAATTTTACTCACATAAAGGAAAAGCTTTTGCAATACCAGACAAACCTCTCATCGCGACAGTTATTGACGACCTTTTTACAAGTAAACTGATGTACTCGACTTCAGAGTGCTAAATCTTTTGCGGAATTTAGCTCATATTTTTCACATTCTGTGATTCTCTATTTGTGGGAATACAAAAAGCGCAATATAAGTCCATTTGAAAATAGGCTACGATTGTAGGAATGAAAGTATAAGTATCCATAATCGTAGTCACAATCGTCATATTTCATAGGCATGCGTTCCACTTTACTTAATCGGGTTCGTCCTTGTTTAGATTTATAAAATTTACTTCATATTTAAGCAAAACAATTTGACAACGCAACGCGAATACGTTGTCAACAGTCTGGAATTGTATAATATGTCTAATTGTTCACGAAAGCACAATAAAATTGTATGCATAAACGCCTATAGAAAATACCCTTAACCAGCTCTTAAACCCATTGAATTTTGAATGCAGAATGTACAAGATTGACGACAATATTGAGAGAATGTCGTCAGCATCGTCGTCTATCACGTATCGAACAAACGACGAAAATCACAGAACAGTTCCAATCCGTGATTTTCAAAAATTGTCCACTCGGAACGGCCGCCACAGACAAACAAGCGAGGAAGCCTACGCCGCCGAAATACATACAGCCTCAAGCGCTAAAAAGACAGACGACGACTATCTGCTGGATAGTTTACTTAGTCGTGAAAGTCGAAATATTGATGCACCTGGTTCGGATTCAGCAATTAAGCACAGAAATAAAAGATACGGACATTCGGAAAAGGAATATTTTTCAGCAAACAGTGAAAGTGATAAGAGACCGCAACGAGATACGTATGAAAGTGGTTTCGTTTCTGATGAATACAAAGACACAAACGAAAGTATTGAACGGGGTCTTCAGAATGAGTTGCTTAGAGTAGACGTGGAAGATCGCTTCTCGTTATCTTCTGTTAGCACCGTTGCATCACGGTCTCATCGATCTGACAGAACAAGCACATACAGAAACTACAATCGGGAAGTTAATCGGAAAAAAACCGCACAAGATCACGATAGCGAAAGTATATCAGAAATTCGTTCAGAAAGCGGTTTGGAAGAAGAACGATTCCCTACCTATTTATCCGCGAACTTCAATGTTGCAGTAGATCAAAGTGACACCCAGAGCTGGTATTCTGAAATAACTTCAAGTAGTCTTCCTAAATCTGCAAAATACCACCAAGTACAAAATTCCAATAGAAATTTTGGCGGCAAAATTCCTACTTTTTCTGCTGTATCAGCGCCCACACTTGCATTAGGAGAGTTAGAAAGCGAAAGCAGCATTCATTCAGAAGCTGAAAACCGGCCACAAATACCTCATAGACACCAAGAAATAGATATGCGAAGCGTCAGACGTGTCAGCAGTAGATCTAGAATAAAACAAGCTCAATCACCTCTAAATGTAGAGGAATCTCCTATTGACAGCAGAGTAAACAATAATTACACAAAACAGAGGCATTCTTATGAGCAGGACAGAAGACATGCTTACCATAAATCACAAAACTCACAGCGTCGGAGTTTACCGGAAAGCCAGCAGCCCAGATTTCATCATACCACCTCTACACGATCCAGTTCTCTATCTGAAAAAGCATATTATCCAAATTCCCACTCATCCACCAGAAATACTTCTGAATCAGAAGATAGTTTCAACCAACGTAAAAAATCCAATCACTCTGACAGATCAATGCAAGAAGATATATTGAGATTGGGAATTGTTGATGAAAACAAACCTATGACAACACCAGAATCTCTTGAAAATGCACCAATCACGAAATCACCCAGACCTTCAATTCATTCACGAAAATCATCTGGTCATGGATCTCAGACCTCAAGAGCAGGATCTCGCTTGTCAATTCAAAAAATTGATATGGGAGACACAGACTCTATTGGTTCAGCTACCAGTGTTATTCTTCGAGCAGAATCTCGAGGAAGCAAATCAAGTGGAACACACTCTGTTAACATGGTAGATCCCGATGAGGAAATATGTGAGTAGAAACTTAATAATGATAATGAAAAACTTTAAATATACACCAAATCTCATCTATTCCTTTCACAAATGTAGGCGGTTTGATTTTTGACCCACTGTTAATTCAAATGTACATAGATAGTATAGCTAGAAATAGAAAAATACAACTTATCGTTGTAAGTATTTATGAGATTCCTGTTTGGGTGGCAAGTAAGGAAGGATTGAAAATGAATCAGAGTACTGAAGTATGTGAAAGGGTAATGTCATTTGTACTCCTCATTCTGGGAATGAAGTGTGTTTGATTGGAATATTCCCATTTTTGTGATTTAATATTGCTATTTCATGCCACTTTGATAACTGGCTGGGATGATTAATATGCAAAATGACGCACAACCTAATTTATTTGAAACTAACTTGTGACCTCAATTGTTAAATTATATATTCTATTTCAGTGGTGGGAGATGAAAAAGATCTGCATTCAGCGGCAAGACGAGGAGATTCAGAAACAGTAGATGAATTACTGGAGCTTGGAACTGACATCAACTGTCGAAATGAGGTAATAAATATACAGTCAACAACATCATTAATTTTTAACATTTTATTAGTTGACTGATTTTTAGTATTTCAATAGTATTCAATCTCTAACTCTGAGTGACATATCTTAGGTATTGAGGTATTCTTTTAATTAATTCACAGTATTTTTGGAAAATTTCTTCTCATTTGTGTTATTCATTGTTTCAGACGGACCGCACACCAATACATTGGGCTGCTGGGAATGGACACGTTTCTGTGCTAAAAATATTACTTGAAAGAGATGCCAACATAGAAGCTGCCGATAAGGTAATTTCTTAAATCAAGTAGTGAATCACTTTCCTGATAACTATTCACATTCTTTAGATATCACTGACGATCTGCTGTACCACTGCCTTGTTCGCAGCGAATAGTGTAGATGAAAAATAAATAATAATTCTTATAAAATTAATTTCTAAAATCACCTTTTTTGCTAGATAATTTTTTTATAACAAGGTGTTTTATAAATACTGAAATATAATTCACTACTGCAACAGCTTTGTTCAAAGTCAAGATGTGAAAACAACTCATAAAAAATCTAAAAAACATAATCATTTGTTACTTAATAACCAGATTTTTTTGCAATAGGCTCAAAAAGCACTATTTTCGCTTGATTTTGACTGTGGGAAGTTAGTAATGAGAGGGATTTAAGAAACAATGAATATTGGAAAATATCTGTACATTCCTTCAGTTGAAGTATACATACACATACAAACAATTGGGCAAAAAAATCAACTTTTTTTTTGAACAAGTAATCAACATTTTTCTCAAACCCAAAGCAAATTATTTGATATCGCGGTAGTGTGTGTAACAGGTTATGATTAGGCCATAATTTTATACCAATTTTCCTTATTTTCTTACTATTACGAGTTTGGGGACTGTCTGTGTTAGCCATGATATCCCTCCTGCCCATAGGTTTCAGTCCCTTTACACAACTTGATGCAAAGGAGGCAAACGAAATTAGTTACATCCATATTCGCTCACACACTTCTGGAGCGTTGATTTTGCAACATTTTGTTGTAGGTTTCTCCCCAGCTATTTTGTGTTGTTTTTTTGTCTATGATGAATTGTATTTGAATAATTGAATTAATTTTTTCCTTACCTTACCAGTTTGGAATGAATGCACTTCTATGGGCATCATGGTTCGGTCACAAAGTATGCGTCGAAATGCTTCTTCGAGCTGGTGCAAAATCCACTGCCAAAAACAAAAATGGATTTAGTTTTCTACATTGTGCAGCACAGAATAATCACATTATGGTGGAACATATATTAACAGAAGATCTTCAAGAATTTGATAGAAATATTACAGATGATGTGAGATCTTATATGTGATATATTATATACAGATATTTAATATATACAAAATGTTAATATACTACATATATGCCCTACATATAAGAATTTTTTATTTTTTCCATTCATTCATTTTTTTAAACTGAATTCAGTTTAAATCATACCACAGACACAACTTACCGTAATAATTAAGAATAATTTTGAATATGATAAATCAGCTTAACAAATACTAATATTAACATGTTTATGAATTGAGTATTCTTATAGATTTTCAAATATACATGGCAATCATTTATTCACATTGTATCAGTCGATGTAGTTAACAGAGTGGAATATGGAACTTAGTGGTGCAAGCTAAAGAATATTCTGAACCACCTTGAAAAATACTTGCTCAGTTTATTTGCTTCCCATATCCACCTACTCTGTAAACACAGTACCGCCTTCTAATGTCAACAGAGATTGTGTTTACTTACCGTAAATATCAATTGTGTGAATAGACGCAATTGCCAACAATAAAGGCTAACTTAGATGACATTTTTTGACCTTAATGAAAATAAGCTTCAGAATTTTGTTTTCCTCAAAATAAATTCTTCATGAATATGACATCATTTTGATAGATAATAGTAAATTTTGAATATATAAAATGTAATTTTTGAATTCATTAAGTATTGAATTAGAGAAACAAGCTATATGATGTAATGTTACGTAAGCATTAATTCTGAGAATTGTTTATTCGTAAGTCTGGAAGCTGATATATTAGAACCTTGTTATGCACAAAGCATGAAATATTCATTAAAATTATTTTTCATCTCATTCAAGTTCATATTTTGATGCAGGCGGGAAGAACATGTTTACATGTTTTAGCTAAACATGGAAGAAAAGAAATGCTTGAGACGTTTATTGCACTTCAGTGTGACGTAAACGCCAAAGACAAGGTGAATGGACAAAACTCAATAAAAAAAAAGTTGAATAATAACAATAATTACCATTTACCATATGACAATTTAGGCATTGTGTTTCGGCATCTAATCTATCTGTATTTAAATAAATGCTCTGTAGATACCCATACTCATTCTTTTTTAAAAAATACATAAATACAATATTTGAATAAAATTTGTTGTTTGTTATCGGCAGTATCTTATCATTACAAATTTCCATCCTATTTCAGGCAGAGAACACACCTTTGCATCTCGCAGCTAAAAATGGATTCCCTGAACTACTTTCAATTTTAGTGAATGCTGGAACGAATATAGAAGAAAAAAATGCTGTAAGTACCCATTGATCATGCCCTTATGCTTTCTGTATTTTTTCTTAATTAGTTCTATTCACACACCTGTCTTATATTCCTAGGATAATAAAACATCACTGCATCTTGCGGCTGAAGAAGGCAAGACTGAAGCTATTGAAGAGCTGATAAGACTTGGTGCAGATGTCAATGCAGAAACTGAAGTAGGGTCACTTTCATTCATGTTGAATGTGAAAAAAATTTGAAATTGGACAGAAATACTCATTTCCGTATAGCAAGAATTTTGCTGGTTTATAACATGCACATATTTGTTTTTAGCATTTTTTATGTTTTTTAACTTCATAAAAATGCATACTGGAGAAATTATATACTTAATTTTTAATTTTGAGGTGTGACATCATACTTCACTTCTCAACTTTTATATACCAATCGTATTTGAATATCCATAAAGTGGTGTTGATTCACTGGTGTATATACCAGTGTAGATGGTCAGTCGAATACATTTTTATAAGTTACAAATGATTTTATCGCTACCCCTGAATTTGGTAAAATCCCCCAAAAATGAAAATTTTGTACCCCCCCTGAACATGTTAGAGACCTTCATTTGTCAATAACACTCATATTGCTAATACCATCGCATATGCATTTTGATAAAACTAATAATATTTTTCAAGGACGAAGTTTGCCCGCTGCATCTAGCTGTATCAGGAAGGCACGAAGAGGCCACTATTGCTCTCATAAATGGTGGCGCTGATGTTGATGCCGGAAACAAGCATAATCAAACACCATTCCATTATGCTGTTATAGGTAAGAACGGAGCATAAGACATTTACACGCATACAAGAATATAGTTTGACTGAGGTGAAAGTGACTGAAAAAGATTATGTTCAAGTTGATTTATATGTTTTGATGTAGATTGCACTGGGTGTGCGTCATTATAAACATTCATGAATAATAAAAACATGGCTAGACAAAAGCTCACTAATGGCATAGTGCGGCATGACATCAACAGGAATGAGATAAGGTATCAATGAAAAGACCGGATGAAATGCCATCGACAGAAAACATAAAATTGGGTTTGAGTCAACACAAGAAGCAATTGTTTTCTGAAATGAGGTGACATATTTTCATAGGAATGAAATTATGTAGTACTTTTATTATTAATGCCATGCCTTTACAATAATTAAAAGGTAAGGCCATATTTTATGGCCTGATTATTTCAAAATACACATGACACAAAGTTAGTACCTTTTTTTCTGTGATTTTATTAATGGAAAATCCAAAGATTTCGAAAAATTGTAAATCACAAGTGGTGTTTCACTATTCTGGATTAAATAATTAAACTAAATACTAAATTTGCGCCAAATGGTTAGAGTAGGCATATGAATTGGGATTCTTCTGATTGAGACAAGTGCGGTACAGTTTTTTTTTTGTGGACAACTCATCATAATTAAGTGAGTGAGATGCCTTGCCTGTTCATTTCTTTTCAGAAATTCTGGCTCTGTACTTAACTTCTTTCAATAATCATTACTATTCGAATTTTTTTTATGCTATGTTAGGCCTAATCATGGGTGTCGCTGCTCGATAACTAGTATTGGTTCATCACCCCTCCTTCCACCCTGGTATTCACAAAGTGTATTTCATGCACGGGGGAAAAAAACTATTGAATACCACTGACTGTAATACTCAAACTAAAATATTTTTTTGAATGTAAATTACAAATAGAAATTTGGCATATCTATCGTTTATTTGTCTGCGACATATATAATCGTAGAGATCACTCCACTCAGATTTGCGTCTCCGACTCTCCTTTATTAAAGACTCGAGTTGTTTGAGTGACATGAATTGACTCAAACCTAGCAAATCATCAGAGATAATCCACTAATTCTTGTAGAGAAAGCTTAAAACCAGCAGTGTTGAATCTTAATAATTGTTGACAGTTTTGCTAATACCTGATTAATTCCCTGTTTGGTTTTCAGGATAATCTTGTTTAAAGTCATTGGTGTCAATATGAGTTTCCTCCATGCATTTAATTTGAAACTCAAGATTTAGAAATTTCTAGGAATTGCATAGTTGATGACTCATGTCGCGATGTTTAGCATTGAAGATAATAAGCAAAATCCTAAAAACTATTACAGAGTTGTGACCTCAAAATCTAAAATTAATTTTATGATCTGATGCATGAAATGTGACTTTATGAATTTTTACATAGTTGCTGTAGGCTAACAATAAGGTGATATCTGTATGTCTTGAAACGATTAAAAAAATATGACTTCAATTATAAGAAATTGGCCTTTTCATAATTAGGCACATCATAAATCATTTTTTTCATGCAATGAGCCTGCTGTTATTATGTGTATCTTTTTTATCCCAATTTAGTCATTTATAGGAAATGAGTTTTTCGTTTGTATTGATCGCTAAAAAAAGTAAGCATGTTGTTATTACTAAAACCAGAAAGTGTTATACTAAGCTGGAAATCAGGAGTTTAATTAGGATAGCCCGAAGGTGATTACTTTTGCATGTTGATGTTTATTAAGAACGGATGTGGGTGTTTAAGAAGAAATATTGGAGATTAAAACTGTAATATTGACTTCTTTGCCTCTGGCTGGCAATATCGGTTAAGCATTGGTGTTATAAACATTTCTTGGATTTTATCACCTGTAACAAATTCAGTTTGTAGCCATCTTCTGACAGAGTAAATATATAATCGTAAGACGTAGTACAATTGTGAACTAATGAGCAAACAGCTAAAAAATAAATCAAGGATGTTATGAATGTTTTCATTAACACTGTGCTATTTTTGTACTTATTGGAATGCCACAATGAATATTATTTCCATTTTCTCACTGTTACTTCACTTCATCATTTTATATTGTTTTTTTTTACAGCAAACAAGACATCTATTGTACAAATACTGGCCATGCACAATGCTGACGCTAATGTTCAAGATGCAAGAAGAGAAACTCCATTGCATTTAGCAACGGAGAATGGATATTATGAAATTACCGAAATTTTACTCCACTGTAATATAAACCTTTCATTAACAGATCAGGTAAATATAAAAATAATTAATTCCCTAGTAGAACGTGACAACAGTGAATGACATTTTTTACTAACAGTGAGAAAGTTGTTTGGGTGGTCTGTTATAAATATGGCAGCATTGCCCATTCAATATATTCAATTCAACATCATTTTTAAAGACTATATAACTCTTTTTTTGAAAAAAATTCCGGCATTACGTCGTTACGCTGGAGTGCCTCATGTTAAGGTCACCGTTATATATCATCTAATTATATCTTAGATTAGGCACGAGTTAGTACCTTTTACTCTGAAATAGGACAAAAAGGATTAAGAAAGATTAAGAAGGATTTTAATTCAATAGGCATGACGGTCATTTTCTAAGTCTGTTCTGTGACAAGGTTTCAATTCAAACATCACAGACAGTGGCATGCGTTAGATTTCACGATGTCATATTTTGTATATATATTGCTTATTTTGTATTAGTTACTATGATGTCATATTGAATTTTCGATGTAATACCTTGAAAGCAATTAATCAGTGGCTACTTTTATCTGGCCTTGTTCGGAGCAAAAGGCAAATACGACTTTATACAAAAAAATATTTGTCCCTCCCCCCTAATTCTCAGCTGGCTACGCTCTTGGCACCAGGTCCACCTTGGTATGCTAAAGAAATATATGTACCACATGTATAAATTGGAGCCAAATAGAAACCCTAAATATACATTTCTGTTGATATTGTAATTAAACTTACTAAACCAATGTTTATATGCGCATTATGATTGATTGATTGGTTCTCTTCACAGAGAGGCAAGACCCCACTAGATGTAGCTGCGAGAGGGAGTTATATTACAATTGTTGACATGATATTGAAGGCTGAACGACATCATTTGTATCTAAAGGTGAGAGATTTCCTTGTCCTTAATTGATTTATATATATTTGAATGTTAAACTATATAACTCTTGAACCATATTGAGTCAACATCGAAAGAGTCTTCTAGATTTATATGTTTTGTAACCGGCATTTTGATTTTTACTTACGGTAGCCTACATTGTCAATCGACCTGATGTTTGTTTTTGTCTGCAACTCTTTTAAACATTCAGATAATTTAGACACTTGTGTTTCAGTCACCACATAATCAACTGAACAACGGTCATCCACTTGACAATAATGATTTTATGGATGATGTACTTGATGGACTACCACGAGATGTTTCATTCAAACCAGATAATTCCGCAGAAACACAACATATACGAACAATTTTATATAAACTTGCCACAAAATATTTGAAAAAGGACGAGTGGAGGAAACTAGCGTTCCAGTGGGGATTCACCGATTCTCAGGTATAATTCTATATCAGATATTTGGGGCCATGTTCACAACACAATGTAGGTAAGTACTTCTAGTTGGCGTGGCACAAGCATTTTTGCATATGTTATTCCTAACCCCCACCTGAATATGCCATTCAAAAATTATGTCACTACGACGTCACAGTAACGTAATAAAGCCCTCCAAACTATACTGATTGTCATCCAAGACGCGCAGACGATCACCCAAAATCGAGCAACGATGATCCCGATATGAGAGAGATCGCTGGCTTTAGTTAGTTCGTTGGCGAAGGTGTCATTTCGGGCGATCGTAGCTATACTTTGGCAAGCTCTGTGACGTGATCGTGAGGTCGGAGTGACGTAATCATTGGATGACGGAACCAGGTGGGGGTTAGGAATAACATATACAAAAATGGTTGTTCCACGCTAAATAGAAGTACTTACGTCGCTTAGTGAACATGCACTGATATTTGAGATGACGCAAGCAACTTAGAAGAGAAATCGCTGCTTTCAGAGAAAGTATTGAAATCCAACAAATTTTCAAAGCAATTGTATTATTCAGGTACAGGCCATTGAAGAACAATATACTGGTGAACGAAGCTATAAAGAGCATGGATACAGAATGTTACTCATATGGTTAAATGGTTGCATACTCAGACAAGAAAACCCTGTACGTTCATTATTTGAAGGTCTTGTAGCAATTCAAAGGAGAGATGTGGCAGGTAACTGAATATCTTGATTATTATTCTCAGCGACACCTCACACTGCAGGTTGGAAAATTCTCCAACCGGTCTAGCACTTGTTTGTCACTGCATCCCCCAACTTCTAAATCTGCCCCATAGCCAGTCCACCAAAATTAGTGGACAAACAAGAAGAGACACACTTCCTCCCAAGGCATAAACACCATTTTTTATTGTTTTTTATTAAACCCAAATACAATTACTCAGAAAACTGCCCACTTCAGAGTGAGAGTTATAATTATTAACAACATGTATTTGTCTTACAGAGACAATCAGATCAAAGGCAAACTCACTTCAACCAGAAAAGGCATGCGTTATATCGTGACAGGGCAACCAAAAACACGACATCCAAATACCTTTGTCGGTTGTGCAAATCTTTTCACTTCATATACTCATCCACAGTATACTAACTAGACACAGGATGTTTAATAATCCTAAAGTCAACTTTCTCACTTATTTCTCCGTCTTATTGTGTGTATATAAATTAAGTTCTTCCAAAAATCTTGCTAACTTATATATTTTCAATTGCATGGATATCTTATTTATTACGCTGGAAGATAAACGAGGTCAGCACAGTGAAAACTCACCAGCGATAAAGATAAAATAGAAGAGCAGATTATTCAAAAGGCAATAAATAGAGTAGGTACCTTACCAACTAAGTCAACTTTTCCCAACCAAGAAGAATTTTGTTTTGTTATTGCTGTAGTTTTTTAACAAAACCATAATGCCTCTTTATGCAAACATTTTAAACTGTACAAGAGACAGTGCAACTGGTAGCTAAGGATCCATTAAAGATTGAACAAACAAAGTCGTTTTTATTATGGTGAGGGAGAAGTTTGATGGAAAATGTTCGAAACCACTGATTAGGCAATTTGGGAATAATGTTCTGACTGCAAAATAATGTGTGAACTTGTAGAAAAGATAAAACAAGGTGTATGTTATAGCGCTCGTCAACAATACATTGGCACAATACCGTTGAAGAGATGAAGCAATTCAAAAAAAAAATCAGAATGTATGAATCAGGGCTAAGGGGATTGCTAGCCACTTCATCATATCCATGAATTTCAGCCACTGGCTTTGAAAATCTACATTCTATCAACACTGTAAATTTTACAGTTTATACGCTCATGCTTTTGAAATGGAACTATTCGGAAAACATACAGGCTTCAATTGCTAATTAGTAAGAGATGTCAGAAGTGTGCCTGATTTGACTTGTTGTTGTCTTGAATTTTTTTAATTTGAACAAATTCGGCTTGAAATATTATTATATAGAAAATTTCTATTTAATGGTAACTAAATTTTTCCCTGCATATAATGAATAGAGTCAAGTGAGCATGGTGGCAAGTGGAGCCTACCAGTTAAAATGATAAACTAACTGTGTTAGCATCTCGGGTTCAAATCCTTGGTGTAATAACTTGGGGGGAAATGCCAATTCTTCTGGCCGTTTTAAAAAATGACAGCTCCTTACATATTGTTAGATATAAGTGGCTTTTGCACAGGGCCCTGTTCAGAACAAAATGCGTGAATAAGCGTCACATAGAGAAAGGTCCGCAAGTAAACCAGTAACAACTCATAATGGTCAATGCATTTCGATAAAATTTTCTAATGTTTTCGGTACTTGACCTATATACGGTATATCATGTTTTCTGATGACACGAGCTGCAAAACATGCCAAAGACCAGTTTGATTCCTTTTTTAATATAATTTCCGCTACACCAGTTGTTGCTAAGTCCTGTGCAGATTGACGTTTTTTATTCCTTATGTCTGGATGTGCTCCAGCTTCTAGTAAATCAATAATTGCGGTGTGCAACGTCATGAAGTCACTGATGGGCTTGGCATACTGAAAATATAGAATTATAATAGTAAAGTATAATATTCTAAAAACACCAGTGTTCTTATAGGGTATAATTGTTTTAATTAAATTTTTTGAAAGAAATTACATAACATGGTATATATAGAAAAGAATTTTCATTTTTATCCCTGATAGAATAAAAACCGCTGAGACAAATGGAAAACCAAGGCCTATTTTCCAGTTACCAGTCCAAAACCAATTGATTAACAAGATAATTCACCATGAATTCATGAAATATTATTTTTTAGTTAATAATAGGTTTGTTAAATTATTTGGCTTCAAATAACCCAAAACCAAAAAATTGTCAAATATTGAAATACCTGTACTATTAAATGAAGTGGAGTATTTCCTTTGTCACAAGTAGCATTTGGATCTGCACCACAAGATAACAGTAACCTTGCAACTTCAGAGTTGGGAAACGAACATACATCTCTGTCAAATAAAATGTGCTTGCTACACTTCACTTTAGTATTAAGACTCCATATAACATGGTAATGGGCAAAATTGAACTTTTGAGTGATATTTTTCTTGTGAATTTATCGCTCCTTCACTATGAATAAGGAAGGATTACCTCGTTAGATGAAAGTACTTTTAATGGAACTAGCCGTTTTCGTTTTCACTGTGAGTGTGAATCCAGTGAGAAAAACTAGTTATTATAATTGACGGCGTTGAGATGTTAAAGATAAATAAAGATGTGAATCCGCAACTCAGATTTCTTAGATTGAAAAGCGGCAATATAAAATACAAAACTTCTGTTTTTGGAGGCCCACGATAGATTAAAATGCTTATTCGGACATCGTAAATTGCATAGTAAATTCACTTATTGTCAAGTACATGTTCTAATCACCCTAGCAACTATGTCATTGCAAACTGAAGCAATAATAATGCATTTATAACATACAGATACCCACTTGACATGAAAATCATCAACCGGAGTGGATTCATCTAAGACAAGGTGCAATGGAGTGCGATTATGTTGGTCTCTGAAATCCAGCATAACAAATCTAAATAATTGGGAGGTTTTAGTTGAAAGAGAATAGATACATGACTTCATTTATAAATGAAAATGAATGGTTGCAACTTAGAAAGAAAACATTTCAAATTATTAACATGGCGTATTCAATGTTGTTACATTACATATAAATGTCATTTATAACCGTTATCATTAATATTATTGTATGCCCTCACAAAGAATAAGTTGAATAAAACATATTGAAAATGCAGATAGATATACACTATTGAAGTGCCGCAGTTTGACACCTGCATATACGTATTTTATTTAATAACTAAAACAATATTTTGCTATAACTTACTGATATGTTACTTTTCCACATTTATATGAATCTCCTCTTGATTTAGCTGATTTAGTGACAACAAGTAATAAATAAAGCATAACGTGCATATTTCCTTTTAATTGCGTCTGCAATGTATCGACTTTTTCTTCATCAGAAATAACATGAACCGATTTGAAAGACTTTTTGGACGAATGAGGTTTTGGGTTAGAATTTGGTAAATTTGGAATTTTTTTCTGCAAAAGATTAAACACTGTTCAAAACATTGTAAATTTACACAAATTTCAAATTGCTAATGATAAATTTTTTCATGCAAAATAGTTGGTGAGCAATGAGCATGACAGTACCTTTGCTTCTATTAGTTTTGTTCTAGTTCTTATAAGTTCAGTCAGACATGATTCCAGCACAGCAGCCAGAGCCTCCACATCTATCTCTTCCCTCAATAAAACCATTTGTGAAAATATCTGCAAAGAAGGAAAGTAAAAGCTCAATGTATATATATTATATACTATAATGAAGAAATATAAATAAGATTAATAAAAATAGTGTTTGACAGTACCCCAGAGCAAAATTTCATTATGACTTCAGAGTTCAGACTTATATAACCCTTCAGCCATCACAGGTTAAACGATCTCCTGGTGGGTAGGGAATGAAAAATCGGAATGGTTATAGTTATTCTTAAAATAAGAGGTTCGTTCCAGTTGTGTTGTATTTTTGAATTAATTGACCCTTCTCCGATGCGCTCACTATTATAACCTTTTAAAATCTGATTTTTTTTTACATAACAGTGCATCATTGTGATATCCGATTAATTGTAATTTTAGTATATATTAGTTCCAAATAAATACTAATCCAATCGAATCAACACTTCTACAATTTTTCCGATTTGATGAAAATTTGTAATTGCAACAAACTATGTAAGTAGTGGTGGTAAAACGGTTAAAAGTGTTAGAAAGGATTATAACATAGGATTTTTCAATACTCAAAATAGTGGCAACAGTAAGTCCTTTAAAGTGGGTAATTCCACTAAATGCCCAGTATCTGTAATAAATTGCCTCACTAAACTACTGATTATAATCATAGATCTCTTTGTGATAGAACTTTCTAGGCCCTCACTAACTCTTCTCAACTGATATACTATAAAATATTTATTGATAGGACAATATTGTTTTATTATACTGTGGTACCTAGATGATAAGAAAGAGCATGAAAGATAACAAACCTCTGCAAAACGAAGTAAATCTGCATGCGCCTCTTTTTTATTCTTTTGCTTTAAGTCCAGTGCACGTTGCCACAAACTGATGCTTCTGCATTAGAATATAAACTCTGAAACTAATATACCCAACAACATGAAATGGTAACAGCATGCACAAACCAATCAATTTTAATGAAGGAAAATAATTCGAGCCCTGCACAAAAAGTTTCACCAAGTCTGATAAGACATTATGCATGAGGCATGTCATCACTGTTGTTGATAGGATGTGAAAAATATAATCCATTTTATCTTTTTTTGATATAAATATAGCCAAGAGCACAAGTGATGAAGTACAAAATAATGGACAGATGAATCAATGTATACTAACCTAGCAAACTGTAGACGGTCTGCATATACCGCTCCTCTGTATATGATGGGGTGAGGTACTTCAGGATTGTCAATGCCCAGAATTCTTTCCCTTACAATGAGAGACTCAATATGTAGGGCATCCTGTAGAAAATATTAGTTTCAAACAAAGATATGCTTAAAAACTCTACTGTAATAGTAACCCTTCCTGTGCAGTTAACTCACAGCACATATTTCAATGGTTAATGAGGTAACTGCGTCGATAATACTAGAATCGATATCAGATCTTGTTTCTAATGACAATTTCGAGAAATCAGCGTAGAAAATAGGAGCATTTTTGGGAAGGTCTGGGTTAAGGCTTTACTAGTTTGACATATGTTTTATTAATTATAATGATAGTTCAAAAATTTTTATGGTCTCATTATGAAGGATCATCATAAATGATCAGAAATTTAATTTTGTACCCACCAAGTCATTTGCTATTTCCTGAAGTTCTTCCTTCGTTTGACATTCTTTTCTGTTCAAATAGGCTGGCACAGGAGGAAGAATTTCTTTAGGAATGTTTTCTGTAAAATTCCATCCATATAATAAGAAGGTAGCTGAAAGCTTACAGATCCATCAGAAAAATAGTATGAAAGAGCGCGTGAAATCGAAATAGAAAAGAAGTATTTCAAGATTTCTGGTAACTGCTGAGACTTCAAGCAGGGGTGTGAAGTCATATTTCTGCATGTTTGCACTGGATTCAGGGCTGCAGTTTTTCAAATTTTCAAGCTGCCTATAGGCAAAGAATCAAAATTTTGAATTCACTGGAGTCGAAATACATACTTTCAATAATCTCAAAAGGCATGAAGTTCATTAAACGGTTTAGGGTCTATTAAAGGAGATTTTCATACATCAATGTTTTTGCTATCGAAATTTGATTTTACTTCGAGCTTGGAGCTGGAAACAAAAAAATCAAATTTGAAGTTAATTGAAAATTTCCACAACACCACAGCCCGGCCTTCAAGTATTGTGTAATAAACACCACAATATACATCACAATTACTTAGAAAAGAAAACTTAAAGAATCAAAACTATTGGAAACATTCAAACTAAATTAACCAGACTATAGAACAGGGGTTCTCAACATTTTTCTGTTAAGTACCCCTCGAGTCACGAAACAATCAATGCGAACCCCCGGTAATCAGACACCAAACAAAATTGTGATATATTGACTAACAATTTATTGCAACACCAATTCATTGACCATATCTAACTAAATTAAATCGTCTTGTTGATATTACTGCCCTTATCGTCTGTCTAACTAATGAAATCTCAAAATCTCTCCCAAGTTTCAATAAGCGTAATCACTTTTCCAATGCTCGCAGCACGCTGTCTTTAGAGATTTCACAGTTTGTACGTAAAGCCTTGAATTTTACATTGTTGCGTCACAATCACAACAACGCAAGATCAGGGAAAATCTATGTTTCAATTGGCGTCTAGTTTCAATGGGCACGCATTTTCCTCTGGTAGTAATAAAGGATATTAACAAAACAGCAACATACAAAAACTCGACTGTCATCCAAGTACCCCTGGGAATCTTCTCGTGAACCCCTGCTATAGAATATCAAGCTATTTCAATATAGATTGTTCAGCCTCTTGTTAAAAAATCAACAAATAAATGAAGGTTTCCCCAATCCAGCCTCCGGCCTAGTTCACGATGTGATTCTCAGAGCACTATGAGTAAAAGTCCTTTACTCCGCACCATTCATGATGATTAGATTAATTTAAAGTAAATTGACTGTGATTTGTTTTAATTCATTGACTGTTATAAATTTATTCAATTGATTTAATTTGTCCAACTTTCTATTATTGAACATGATGCAAAAAATAACTGATGAAAACCCCAGCAAAATCTAGTATTTTCATAGAAGAGAAAAAAGCAACAAGTTTTTGAAGAAGGTACGGGTTTGGAGAGGGTATGTATTTTAACAGTTTGGGAGCCAATGGGACTAAACAAAAAAATGTACTATAGTATACATCAATATTTGGGAATATTTAAATGAACAAGCAACTAATGTTTAGAGAACATATAAGATTTGATATATATATATGCAATTAAATACTTTTAAAAATAGAAACGATGCATTATTGGATAGAATAATATTGATATATAAACAAACCTTGACTTCTCAATAGCATTGCCAAATAAAAATAATGAAACGTTTTATCAACATCATAATGATCTTTATCGTTAGCAAAAGATGCTCCTAGAAGTTCCAACAACATTATCTGAAAGAGAACAACAAGGCGATGAATGAGGATTTGTGACAAATGTAGAAATAATAATTTATGCTCTAGAATTGTGTGTACAAATATGGAGTTAACTAATTTAGTTCGCCTATTTTACATCAAATTGTGTAAAGGACTGTGAAACCTATGGGCAGGGGATATATTCATCTGGCTAACACAGACAGTCCCCGAACTCTTAATAGAACTAAAATGAGGAAAATCGAAATAAAATTATGGACCAATCCTAACCTAGTACACAAACTTCGGGAGTACCCAACATTTTTCATTCTGTTTTCAATACAGTATTTTTTCTATGTCTTTCACTCCAAACAAGGCAGACACTGTTAAATATGGTTTGGGAGGGCCCGCTACTTCCTGGTTCGGCCATGTCTACTCAAATTATTATACTCCACATCAGGTGGGTGACCATGAGATTTGAACCAGAGTTTTTAATCAGCATTGCCAACGTAGTTAAGTCTAACACTTCAGCCAACAGGCCACTGCATCCCAATGTTGAAGAAAGATAAAGCTTAACAAATACTAACTTTCTCCTGTATGGTGACTTGAATAAGATTTGAAAAAAATTCTACCATCTCAGGATTGCAACTATCAGCAGCAGACATTGGTGCAGTCATTCTGTTTTCATTTCTAATATGTATATCACAACCTGCATTCGAAAAACAAAATTTTGAGTGGTATTGACGGGTAGAATATTCGGTAAACTTCCAAATGTATATCTGTAGACTGTACGGTACGGGTACAGCATTATTTCGCATCTGTACGGTGGTTCACATAACCATTAGTCAGTTAAGACTTCCTCCACCATCAAGACCATGCATCTGAAACAAATAACTAGCTAACTAATCTCACACCGAGATAAACTGGTAACCGGACGAAAGGCCGTGGTTTGCTATATCATTAAGCCGTCTTATCGGTTTTCCTCTCCCCCGGGATAAATATGTAAATCCTATCCTAAACTCAATCTTAATTTTTGTTGAGTAGTGAGAAAACTTTATAGTTTCTTGATTATAAAAAGATGAAAATTTTTATTCTGTTAAAATAATCACCTTTTTGTACTAATTCTCTAGCTACATCGAGTTGCGATCCATCAACAGAAAAATGCAATGCAGTTGCTTTACAATCATCCTGAAATGAAATTATTAAAGATATTATACACATGATGCCTAGTTGGCTAAACCGTATGTGATAAAGCCAGGATTAACCAATCATTCGAGGACCCCATAGAACAGGGGTCGGCAAACTTTTGTCGCTCGCAGGCCAAAATTAAGGGATGCAAGTCATTGGCGGGTCACACATATTTTCAGAAAGTTGAAAACCGAACGGATGATACTTTTTATAACAAAAATCAAGCAGTGATACATGTCTCGAATAGAATATAAGATTAATTCCTTATTGCATTGCATCTCAAAAAGTTTCATTTGAATATTTTCGGCACCATTGAAACCTTTGCACTTAGCATCAACTTTTCTGCGTTTTGTTGCCATTTGTCTAATTATAATTAAATTATAGGCTCATTAAACGAGTAATTGTGAATTTTGTACTTGTTAGATTATAATATAATTCAGTCTACACGTGTCTCACAATAAATTGTGTTACGTAAAGAAAATAATCGTCAGAGCAGCTGTTTTGTTACAATTATTCAGTGAAGCGTCGCGGGCCGGATTATATCACTCCGCAGGCCAAAGTTTGCCATAGACCTAGCAGCAGTTTACTTAACATGCAAATTTCCATTGTGACGAGAAATGGAATACCATTATTCAATTTCAAATACCGGTACATCATAAAATCCAGCAAAAAATTGAAAATGTTTTTTTAAACTAAAAACCATTTTTGCGAGCCTAGCCAAAAACGCATTAATATGTAAATAATTATTTATATAGCTAACTTCAACATTTTTGATACAGCCTTTCACATTATGATCTGAAAGCATGATTTACCTGAACATTGGGATTTGCTCCATTGTCAAGCAGATATTCAACAATTTGTAAATGACCACGATATGACGCAACCATCAGACATGAATTACCATACAGATTGGATATTTCAACATCTGCTCCACTTTCGATTAAAAATCTGTAGATATAGTTTTATTTTTCAAACATGAGTTGTATATTATATTAAAACTGTATATGTATAGTGCTGTCGATTGGTATTCTAATGAGCTTATGCTTGCTAACTACAGTGTGTTATTGTGTGTGCTTGAAATAAAGAAGTTAATTTTTTCAAATTTATTATACTCCGCGTTTCTTATTTGATATGATATTGATACATGTTTTAGTGTATCTATATCATAAGTTCTTTACAATAGGAGTTCCCACCATTTTTAACCACGCACTCTTTTCAGAATAATTATCAGGCCCCAAACTTTTTAGGGCCGGACCCACTCATATAATTCTACCAAATTACACAAATATCAGTTAACAACTAACACTCAGTTTTGATTACCATGTAGTAAGTAAATCAATATACTGTGCGTAGAGGGTACAGATACAGTATAGCAGAGGCACATAAACAGTTTGCAACTGTTTTTCCTGAAAAATCAAATGTTATACATACAATCCAATAGACATCTGACATCCTATATCAAAACGCTTAATTCGATATGCAGTTTTGTAAGTGGTTATCTAATTATGTGCCATTTCTAGTGCCCTTGCAAACCTGTGGAACCATTTCACAGACCCAATGCTTTAAAACAATTGAGTACAATATTTAAGCGGGTACTAGCTACTAGGATGTTGTGTACTGAACTACAAGACCTTTCTCCTTAGCTACTTTTTACTTCGGAATCGTATGTGGCCATTGTCACAAGGATGCTTGAACGAGATAGTATTAAAATGATAAATATGAATAACATAATCTCTATCTATGACAAAGGCACAAATATACTGACCGCAGACAAATATACTTGCTATTTTGTGAGGAGAGATTATGTTATTGGACATAAGTGTACGTACCTATGAATCACTTTGTTATTATGTTGTTTTTGTTAGTATTTTCCTTTTTTCTTCTTGTAAAAAATCGCTTTTCTCATTATTAACTACTGCACCAATTGTTTTGCAATTTTCAGTGCTTAAAGATTGTATTTGTCACTAGAAGACTATTACTTTTATTCATTTCAAAAATGTCTGTGGGCTCTATGACATTAGTACTTTGTGTGTGTCGATGTCATCAAATATAAAGGTAGTCTAGTCTAGTGTGCCAGATTGCATACTCGTACTACTTTGTTTAGACATTCATGTTCATTTATTTGAGCATAGCACTCTTGTTCTTATTTATCATAATATTTTGAATGGTTAAGAGATTCGACCGCCTGCATCAACTTACTGAACGAGCTGAAGGTTTCCACAAAAACAAGCAGCACGGAGAGGACTAGAGTTGGTTGCTGTACATGTATTTATCTTGGCGTCATGTTCTATCAACATCTTCACAATTTCATAACTTCCAATAGCAGCCGCACACCACAAAGGTGTTGCACCTGTGACAATGAACAAAGTTGAGTTTTTGCAAAACTATTTAGCAAATCGCATCTGCACAAAATAGTTCTTAGAATTGGACAAGGAGAATTTTAGAATACACATTCATAATCTTCCAGCGCGCTTTCATGCATATTATAAACTTTAAATTTTACAAACTTAAATATTATGTAGTTATGAGAAATATTTATTTAAAAAGGGGTACAAATGAATTAAGCTATAAGCAGAAAACAAAATCATTCTCAAAATTAGAATCACATATTACATTAAAAAGTCTGTTTCTAAAGTCCTGTCTGTTACAGTCTTATTTCAATTTTGTTATCAAGTCTGCTTTCAATATGTCACCAGGTTTGTTAGTTTAGGTTTAATATTACTTCATTTAATTAATACATCTTTTCATGCCCACCCTTATCGCCACTAGGCTCATCAAAGTCCATTTACCTAATTTAATACAAGAAGTTATGAACACCTTATATAAATATAAAGATTTTGTGTCAGATAGCCTACATTGATTAATACAACAAGTATGGGTGATTGATAAACGCTAACAACAACATGTAACGTTTAGGCTTGAGAAAAATTGTTTTCTAGATATTAGTATCATAGACTGGGCCATATCGCACAAGTTTTATAATTAATATAACTTGACATTCATTAGAATCACACAATATATCATACTGAATCACCTTCAACCATATATCCATCAAAACTGACATTTCCTGTATGACATTTGTCATTTGGATTAATTGAAAACATTGTAAGAAGCAATCGAACAAGTTGAATATGTCCACTTCTTACACAAAGAAGAAATGGGCTGAATATTTGACCTAAATAATAAAATAATATTTTATTTTATTAAAATTGAAACGGTTTGGATTGAACATATAAATGACATGTAAACTTTCAGTGATAAAATATCAAAACTTGCATTTAAGGATACAAGAACTCTTGTTGTGAGCTTATTAAATGATGTTCAAAGAATGCTATTTATTGCATTTTGAGTCAAATTGTATAACAAAATCGTATGTATAAAACAATATGTAATTGTAATATGTAACAATATGTAAAATGTTTAGCCGATTTCCATCTAAAATATATAAAACTTCAGGTATTAAATGCATGAGTAGTCTAGTTTGACTTACAATTTTCATCAGTACTTTGCATAGTTAGAACTTCTTTTCTCCTTTTCTTGGGCATTTCTATCAAAGTAGCTGCCACCATTAACGTTCTTCCATTTCTACAGCCTTGAAGCAAGGCCTCAATTTCGGTTCCTTGTGCAGTCGATGATTCACCCATAGCTAAGAAATCCATTTTGTAACCAGCCCACAGAAAATATGTTTAGTTGAATATCAATAATAAATTACTAAGAATAAGTCCTAATTAAGTAGACATCATAAATAGGTATCTGTAGGAGTGTTGGATAGGTTATTAAATTAAGCAATTCACTGATTTCAGGATTTACCCAAATACAATTTCATGAAATCAAAACAAGACACATCACAATCATGTCATAGCTACAACAACCGGAAATTCCATTGCACCGCCGATTCCGAACTCAATAACGCTAGCGATCTTTCTCATATCGGGATCGTTGCAACGAGAAAAATAGCTTGCTCGATTTCGGGTGATCGTCTACGCGTTTTGGTCGACCATCTGTACACTTTGTGGATGGCTTTATTATGTCACTGTGACATAATTTTCTGGTGACGTAGTCAGGTGGGGGTTAGGAATGACATATGAAAAATTGTTGAGCCAGGCCAACTAGAAGTGCATGTGGTACTCAACTATACCAGACACCTATAAATTAAAGTATAATCTAACAATGTTGTCTGTTGAGAATTATAAGTTAACCAAGTGCCTTTTTACATTTTTAGTTTCTGTGGAAATTTTGACGATCACTACCATTCCTGGATCGGCTGGATGGAAATTCAAATTTATATCAGTATACCTGTATACTGTATTACAGCTATAAGTACTGAAGTATAAGTTTATTTAGACCTTATAATCAGCATAACAGGCAATAAAATAATTGAATAAAAACAGATTATGAAATCAGGAGTGCAAACAAAAGAATATAAGATGGAAGGTTTTGCCAAGACTGCAAGAACAACGAAGAAGTGGTACATGTTCTCACTCACCTAAAATTATTGAATTAATTCACAAACACTTACACATGCCTGCCACACACAGACACACAACCATCAGACCATAGAGACATTACGAAGTAAGATAAACTACAATTGTAAACAAACAAAAAAATAAATAAAAATTAATTACTTGCCACATCATATTAATAATTTTATATTGGTTGGGTACGGTACGATACGGGTACAATTGCCAAATTGATCTATTTTCTAAAGTAAAAGTGGGTGAACAGTAAAGAAAAACATTTCTGCATTTAGTAAAAAGATATTGCCAACCTGGTTATAGTTGGAGTCAAATTGCCCAACCGAAGTTGTCAGATTTGGGTACATGACTGCATGAAGAGGTAGGTTAGACCACTTCATTCTGTCAGTCCCCAAATTCTGAAATTAGAGTCAAATTGAGCCCAATTAAAAACATGCCAAACTTTCGAAATCCCTGGATCTGAAGGCTACCGGTACCACCCCTGTAGAACGAACTAAGCAACTTACGGTATGTTGACTTGCCTGTGGTTATTTAGGAGTCTCTAGTCCCAACTTGTGGTGGAATAAGCGAACACTTTGGATTTTTCTGAAAATGGATCCGTGGATGTTACCCGAGCTTTGACTACCTTGTTTTATTTCCATGGCAATGTACAATCAGACAGAAGTTCACAGTAACGTAACAATTGTAATTTGTTACTGTTGCCCGTGCTACAAATGCATTGGTTAGAAGACTTTTTATTCTTAGTAAGGCTTATAGTCCGGCAGATAAGGGGACCTTTTTGGCCCAAGTTTGATTTCAGACATAAAGTTTTTTTTATCTGTGATTATTCATCTTGGGGTCATTGCCCATCATTTCTACATGGGTGTGGAGTTTGCAGCCTTGAGCAATTTTTTTTACGGCTCGATATTTGTAACAGTGTTTTTCGTCAAACCTGTGCATCATGATGACGCACAACCTGAACCACAACCTGTTGCAATACTATGTTCAGGTTGTGCGCAATCTTGGTGCACAAACTACGCAAGCACCAAATTTACTAGGAAATAAAATCAATAACTTTTAGGTATTTGTTGAGCCCAGCTTTGGGTCGCGACCCATATACAGTATATGAAAATACTGTCGAAACATACGCGTAAAATAAAGAGTACTATTTCAAAATACTCGTTTTTGTTGTAATTAACAATACAAGCCTGGTAATGCAGTCGCCAGTGGTTCAAGTGGATATACACCCGGTGGAGAACAGTCAATTATTTGTTAGCGAGAATTGTTATGCAGCGGGATGATCACGACGACGCAGTGAAAGATAATGATATCACAAGAACAAGAATGAGAAAATTGCTACATTTTATAGTATATCCCTGGGAAAGAATGTAGTTCATACTTATGTTCCATGCCAATGCTTTTCAAACTACCAAAGACTCTCAACACTTTTACTTCTTCTCTTCTATAAAAAAAACATTATATATATTATTATGTATATGTTATTATATATTCGCACTTTCATCTGTTTGTTCGTGCTCCCAGATAACCGATCAGCGGCCTCCAATGAGGACGGGGTCCCCTATTAAGAAACCCTGTCATAAGCTAAAAAAGGCGACCATGCTTCTCTTGCCTGTTGTCATGCTGTCCCTGGAATTCAGCTACAACAAAAATTTCATGAAAACGGATTTTTAAATTTTATGACTTTATTAATATTCTCAACAATGAATGATATACGTGTGGTAAAATGCCAAGTTATTCCAACAACATGATCATGTTTTTGCAATTTACAACCAATATTTTGTATGTAACTTTGTTTGACAGAGCCCCAAGAGCCCTAACTACAAATATCAAAAATGTGAGGCCAAAAAAGTCACACTACAACATTGTCAAAGACAACAAAGACTTTACCAAAAAGAATTGAAAAATGAAAATGAAAAATGGTAAATTAAAGATCAATTCAGCAATATCTACTTGGTGATATTGCATCTGTTGATGCTTTTATGTGTTTGTTTCGGAAGTTTAATAACATAATTAATTGTGGTTGTTGGGGATGTTTTAAAAAAAGGTTGCATGGAAAAAAGGTTTCACAAAATGTCAAGGTTTGATAGTAGTAGAGAAGTAGAAAAATACTCCCATGTTTTTTTTTCTCATTTGATAACCACGCCACAGAACTTCCCCGATAAGTATACGCAGCAATTGCGAGAAGCAGAAATGCCAAGATGGGATTTCATCGCATTGCAAACCAATATTAGCAATTCTTATATATATTCGCGCATTCCCATCTGAACAGCGTGGAAAAGATTATACCCATCTACACACTTTAAGAACTATGTCAGATGAGCGTCATATTATCGAATATCAGTAAAAGAATAATGCAATGGGAAAAGACATATGAGGCGGAACTTTCAGTAGTATGCAATCAAATAATCTTATTGTAGAATATAACTTTAAAAACATTTCGTCACGCCAACTGCAGTCCGAAACTTTTTTTTTCAGGCTGAGCGCAGATACCAATTGTCACTTATGTAAACTGGTAAGACTGTAAGAGGCACGCGATGGATCAGATACTAAGAGTATCCATCCCCCAGCTGTCATTTGAGTGGGTACTGCTGTTTTTATTGCAGATGTTACTGATCTTTTTGTATTAAAGATTTACTGGCATCACCGATTTAAGGATGTTGGAAACCAACACGCAATATTACAAAACTTACTTTCAACACGCGGTTTGAATGAATGAAAAAGCTGAAACTAATATTCTTTAGAACAGCATACAAATTCTATGGAATGGAATCATACACAAAAACTCAAAAACCTATAGCTCAATAATCAAGTGGAATTTGATGCATGTGCGCAAAAATGTGCGCGTTACTACGTACAACCGAAGAACGCAGGAAAATGTGTGTGATGTACTAGTATTCAAAACGTTTGACTCAACTATGTTGGCATAACAGGTGCACATCTCGGTTTCGCATACGCATACCTTCTATCTCCACAAGGATATATTAATTTTGCCAAAATCAATGTAGCTCTGAAAGGTTGCGGTTCTCCCAAAAGAAAACACGTTACACATCTTTAGATACCAGTGGATGGTTTTACATGGCCTTGTTCCTTGTTCGGAGTGAAAGACGAGGTCAAATATTCCAATCCAATTCAACTAATAAAATATTTCCCAAGTCCCTAAGCTTAAACTAGGAAAACGAAATGCGCGCGGCAACGCAAATGTAGTTTGAAGAGCGCAATAGAAAGTGGCTAGATACTGTCGATGGATCTTGGATTGTATTAGCGAAATAAACTACCATTTATTCTACTAAAATTGAATTTCTGACATTGTAAGGAGATTCAATGTTACTATGTATGCAAAACTAAACCAAGTAGTTATGAAATAATTGTTTTTACCAAAAGGGCGCTCCTGAAGTATTCGTACCAAGATGGCGCACAACCTGAATATTGTATGCTTACCAGGTGGGGGTTCAGGATGTGCGTCATCTTGGACCGAATACTTTAAATCCACTTAAAAAAAATTGCTCAACATTATATACTCCACACCAACCTGGGTATCATTATATATGTCATATACATTATATCTAAACAATAAAAAAAACTTTATGTCCCAAAACAATGTTAAGGCCCGATTCTGCCGGACTATTAATTTTATTCTTAAAACTTAACTTCCGAGCTTCCAAATTAAATTAGATGGAGAATCTTGGGTGTCGCTGCTCGATAACCAAATTTGGTTCCCCGCGGCTTCCCTTCCCCAGTAAAATGTGTGTTAAATTTTGTTTATTTTTTGATTTTGTATGTTATTTTTTTGCTGGTTGGAAAAAATAAAATTGACTATGACTTTTTAAATTTTTGTAGTACTGTATGTTGTATGGACCGTTCCCCGAGCATCGACTTCCTTGTTTACTTCGTGACATCGGCCAATCAGCAAGATGCAAAAAGTGACGTAACAATGCCCCCTTTTCGCATCCGCTCAGACACTTCTCTCACTCAGACAGATTTTCAAGCGTGGTTGTAAACATTACCTCGTTTTCGCGATTTTGAACTCTATTCGTTAGTTTTCAGTTGTGTTTTGGAAACCTAGATAAAAATCAGATAATTCAATGATCACTCTGTCTTCCTAGGAGTTTTGATTTAATTGCAGTAATAAAAATGAGTGTAAAAATAGCTGTGATAGACTAACCTGAAATTCTTTACCGGTACTTTTATAAAAAACAGATTGTTGTATGCGATGAATCATACTGATGGTTTAAAACACATACCCCATTTTACAGGCGCCAACTCACAAAAGCACTCTTAAAATAGCCCTGAAAATTTTGCAAATGGCAGTATAGGGAGAATTTTCCGGGGGTCAAAGGTCGGGGAAAGGTCCATTGGCTATGTTATTTTCGTGTTAAATAAAACTTCTGAATGTCGTTACTGCGTATCTGTTGAATATCCCGATAAAACCTGACCCATTGGCATTTTCACGTTTCCAAATTAATATATTTTGGTCGTCAGCCATGCAGAAATCGCTTGAGCTAGAGGGCATTGAAGTCTGGCAGAGCATTCCCCAGAGTATAAAGCAATGTTTCCTAAAATTGTTCAATCGCAAATTAAAACAACATTTATTAGCAGAATATGTGACACAATGATGAGCTAATCTCAGTGAATGCTGTCAAATCCTTACTATTGATATGAATTCACCATCTCATAGCTAGGTTTCTTTAGTTTTTTGTAGAAAATTATTGAAGATGCTATTAGGTTTTCTTGTATACTTTCTGACATTTGACATGTAGCTTTTTTTTCACCTATTCATATAAATTGCCTCGTTCTGATGAATGATTGACATTTGTCTGTTAACGAAATGTGTGTGCAGATTCTGGTGTGTTCGTCAGAAATCGGCAAGTGCGTTGTGCAATCCAATTCGGCGACGCGTTACTGGATTTGAATTGTATGTGAACTGCTATTCTAAAATCTTTACGAATATTTTGACAAGCCCCACTCAGACCCCAGTAAATGTTGTGTTGATTGATCTCACGTAAATAAACTTTTTTTGGACCTCCTGAAGTCAGGTTGTGTACCAGGTTAGGGTTCAGGTTATGCGACATCTTGGTGCGCATACTTACTTTAGGAGTACCCTTTTTTCTTGTATTATGCAACTTTCTAACGTAAATCAAAACTTGACTGGCATTGAAGTTTGGTAAAAACGTTTGTGGTCCGCAATGAAGTTCCTCATGGAATAGTGGCTCGTGACACCAAAAAGGTTGGAAAGGCCTGCTGTGAGGTTTCATAGAGGTGGGAAGTTCAAAAAGCCCAATGCGTCTTATCTGGAAAAGAGAGCAATGCGAACCAAAAATGTTGAAACGACCATGTCTAATCGTTCACTGCTGATACGCTTCGACTTATTTTAAGCTTTTCTGTTGTTGAGTAAGCTCAAGCAATATATTGATAACATAAACTTGAAACAAACATTCTACTTCAATGAATAAACAGCAATCAAAAGTCAAACATTCAACGATTCAAGTTTAATAAGTAAAGTCTTAACAAACTGTTTAAATAGCATTATATTACAAATACACAATAATACATTACAAACATATCATAAAACTGGTAAATTTCATTTCTGAAAATTTCCACTTTTAGGAGAGTACTTTTGACTTATATACAAGCGGCCATGATTCCTAATCGACCAATAGCAGGCAATAAGCATGAGTGCTAGAAACAGTTGTATCATATGATTGTATCAAAATATTTTCAGATTAGAGTGTCTAAATATACAAACAATTCATTCTAAAATTCATATTTTAACAAGATATTGGAAAGGGAGGATAAAAATCATCAAAACAACATTCTATATACATGATATTATTCTTCATTGCAATTGGACATGACAGCTGTGCAACAATGTACTCTGAAAACAAAATGAAGTAACAGGTATTTATTAGTATCAAATGCCTTGTTTCATGAAGAGGCCACCTCAGTTATACTGGACTTTTAGAGCTACATCATATTCAAAATATTTTGATAAGATAAATTTGGCTACACCCCGAAAAAAATTAATTTGGGCTAGTAATAATTTGGGAGTACAAAGTCAATTGTAGGGAACTCTAATATTTGAATTGACTGGGTGACAATGACAACCATTTGATCCCACAAATTTATTCGCTAACTAAATACTCACTTCCAAAAATTTATGAACAAATTGTTTTGGCAGAACTTTTTCTAAGTCTTCTACATTTTCAAAGCTTCCATTCTCATTACGATAACTGAATATTTGTGAAGCTCTAACTCCCCCAATTCCATGCAATTTTTTCAAATCTTTTTCTGATCCGTTGTTAAGGATTTCTAAAATTTTTGAAGCTAAAAACAATGAATGACAATAAATAAGGTTTTGAATCTGATAGAAGTAAAAAAATAGATTAGAAGGGTGAAACAAGGTTAAATCAGTTAAATCAAAACTATATTTTATATAAATCTAATATTTTCTTGAATAACAAATTGAATTGGAGATAATATTTCAAGCACCTCATTTTGAAGTTTTGGATAAAAAACACGATGGTTTCAACTATTCTAACAAAACTTCACTTTCCGAAGCCCAATCATTCCCACAGAGATCTTGTTTGCGAAAAATCAGGCTTTGATGTTATCACAATTTGATTGCAATTGAAACTTTTGTAAGGGATGTTCAGATCTGAATCCTCCATTTCATCTACTAAGCAGACCTAGTTCTAGTTCAATCTGACAGTCATTCAAGATATGCATGGCATTTATAATATGATAAAAATGATTTTGAATGAGTATATTCATGTACAAATAGTTCGTTCAGTATTTCAGTTATTCTGAAATTCCCCACAAACAATTTCATATTGAATATCCCAGAAGACATCTATCGAAATATGAAATCATAATGCATCCAATATTCAAAGAGGTTTCAAGATAACAACAATCATGGCCCATTATACCTCTCTGTATATCATTATGATTGAATTTGATAAATAGCAAATTTTATTACAATCCTAAGCCATGATAACTGGCAACACATTGTAAAAGGCTTCATGAATAGAGAAATACAAACCATGTATGTTCCTGGTGTCTGCTGGTACTTTTATGGTAATAATTTCTTGACTCGTTTTTGATAACTGTTGTTTCTCAATAGTAAGTAATGTACGACGATGTAACGAAAGAGTCGTAGTTTTGGCAGGCAGATTCAGCTTCGAAGCTGTAGAAATTTTCTTACGCTTGATTAATAATGGAGAAAAGTCGTCATGCACAACTACCTCTGACTGCCTTTTTCTTTCATTCTCTTTTTCTTCTTTTAGGAGTTTATGCTGATAATGTAGAGACTGTCGAATATAATTTTAAAATCAGCATGATGATTGATGACGTTAAAAAAACAGCTTGTCTTGACACTGAACAAATGTGTGAAACACCACATTAAAACATTACTCACAAAACCAAAATCCCTGAAACCATGCTGTGTACAAGGAATTACAAATACTTCATGGAAAAACAATTTTGCTAGTCAAATATGTCAGTTTACCTGATATAGAATGCAATCTTTAACAGAACCTGAATATCATCTCGAATTTGAACAGGCCACTCGCATGAAATTAAACCATTATAGTCCTTATACTTTTATTGATTACAAGATGTACCTTAAACTGCTTTGAAGATTTCCTAATTTCATCTAAATGATCATCGTGTTTCCTAAATTTCTCTTCTTGATCCGATAATTGTAAAAAAGGTTTTGGATGTGATTCTATATTACGAGTACTTTGTGCTTTCATAACCAATTTTTCAAGATCTTCCAATCTGCTATATAACTGAGAAATAAAATTTGCAAGTCACAAATGAGAAACAACACATTATTATTTATTGAATGCTGCAGGAGTTGTGATGCACACCAATACAAATGTATTTCGAGAACATTTCATCTGACCATAGACAGACTTCTTCAGACAAGCTTATTTCAACTACAGTAAGAAAAGTGATCACATTGACATAAAAAATAGTTATCACATCGTCGAGTTTTTTGCTTGGAGGATCGTTGCCCTTGTGGATTTTGCCGATCCACAAGGGCAAACAAGAGTGGAATAGGTAGTTAGTCACAGGTAACTCCAACTGATAGTCACATTATAATTTTATTACCAAATTTTTTGATGTTTAGTCAGTACATTCAAATGAAAATAGTAAATTCATTTACTTAATTAAAAAATTAAATGGTAGCGTATGAATCAGAATTTAGCGCTATTTTCTGAATTCTGACACACACAATGCTACATAAAGTTATCATGTATTAAATGCTTAACCAAAATCCTAAAAGTACCTTTGATTCAATTTTGCTGACATGCTTTTTTATGAGTGGGCTGAGAAAAGGTAAGGGATTTTGTTCTGCAGGTGAATCACAGGTTTTTTTCTGTTGTGTTTCCTGTTTTATTACAGGCTTATCTTCTACCTCTGACTTGGTTTCACGTGTGAATGGTCTGAATTTGAATTAAAATTTATTTTTTATTGCTTCGGTATATAAGACCTGAGTTTATTCAGAGAACTTAGTTAACAGGAATTTGATTTTGAATATTAAATATTTTAAGGGTACTTTGTTACAAAAGATATACAAAAATGACAAATTTTGCATAGCAACATATTTACTTGAACATAGAATAATTGAAATAGGGGATTATAAAATTACAAAAAATCTTCATAGATACATAAAACTAAAGATAATAATATATTCTCGCCTATTAGTTAGACCGGGGTTTCCCAAACTGGGGTCCGCTAGGGGGCCGGGATGACTGCACAGGGGGTCGGTCCGCAACGATATGAAAAGAGTATGATCGATCTTTGATGATTGATTTCAATCCAAAAGCCATTGCATATTTTTGATTGAGCGTTGTGGACGAATATCCATTGCTGTCAGAAAATGCAATGCATTTTCAGCTCTTACCAGTATGATGACAAAATAGAGGTCGTTGCTTGCCGTATAGTAGGACCTGCGTGTTTGCTTTTCACAAACTGCTCAGAGAATTGATAAATTGTACAGTGAAAAGCAACCTCATCCATCACAATTATGTCGCTTGTGTTATGAATGAAACGTTATCCTTCCTTGTTGGTAGGCACAGAATTTAATATGGCATAGGATGGGGGTCCGTCAAAAATAAAATTCACAAACAGCCGAAAAAGTTAGGGAAACCCTGAGTTAGACAGCATTTACAATGTTAGGAATCAAAAACCATAATTACCTGTTAATTATGTTTTTACTCTTTGTAGCGAAATTCATTGTTGAATGAGTATCGAGTAGAGAAGACATCTCAGGTGAAACATTCACAATCATGCATGTGTGAGCCGAACCTCCGAGAGAATCCTATTGAATAATAAATAATATTATCTTCCAAATACATTCTTATTGATCTTCCCTGGGATGGAAGCAATATTTAATTTCTCTCAAATTTCAACTGATTCAACGTTTCCTTTCTAACATTCAATGTTATGAATTACAAAAAATGATAAATTTGAGACAATTTTCCTTTGTTTGATGAATATCTATATCAGAGGTTGGCAACTTTATAAGTGACGGGCCGGTAAAGCATGACCAAAATTTTAGCGGACCACCTTTATACAAACGAGCTAAGCTTATGTAGTAAATTATGCGCGTTAGAAAATTTATGTTGAAAATATCTTCAAAAACAGGGCCACATGAGTACTGGTGATGCTATTTAATGCAAGATCTGTATTTGTTTGCTGGCATTAACTGTTCCCAATTTATGGTCGGTATGGTCGAAAGTGATACACGTAACGTGTTCCTTACGTCCAGTCGTCCACCCTATTTCGGTATTTCGTTTTTTCAGTTATTGTAAATATCGAAAACACGACCTGGCATAAAAAAGTAACACTGTCTGTGAAGCTTCTCTTGCAATGTCTAAATATTTATCTAAGAGTATCAACCAAAAGACTGCCAAGATATATATCGCAAATACGCCTTTCAATTCTTTATCATTTGAAATTGTAGGGATTCGTTTTTTTAGATTGTAGAAGTGTTTTTAGGACGTTGTCCGTTTTTGTGTAATCTTTCTGCAGACTGTTAGCAATCTTCCCGCAGACCGGCGATGGGCCGTGGCCCGGTGATTGCCGATCACTGATCTATATATTCAGGTTCAGACTATTGATCTCGGAAAAAAAGGAGGAAAGTCAAATTGGTAAGTATATTAACCTTGGGAATAGAAGACACAAGTCAAAATGCCAATAACATGGCCACCAGTTCCAATCACTTGGACAAAATCAAAACTACTAATTTTTCCCATTTTGACTCTTCAATGACTAGACCTAGTGCCTTCAATTCACCCAGCTCATGATCTGGCACTGCTCTAACAGTTGTCTTCATCAAGACTAGGCCAAGATTTATCGGGTGTATAAATAATGTTCAAATTAGAAATATCAGGGTCCATTGTAGAAAAGAGGAACTAAAAGTCAATTCTTACCTGAAGTAATCTTGTTAATTTGCTATCTCTATATGGTATTCTAGCAGATGTCCCAGCGTTTAATGCATCAACCACTTTACCAAGGACATGTAATGATGAGTTGATTGATCCTGATTCTTTCAAGCGAACTCCAGTATTACCAGTTCTTCGATTGTCCTCTGAACCTTAATCGGGAAATACCAAATTGTCAAATGACTGACAGTTAGTTTTTGATTATGGCCACATAAATTGCATATCTTGCACATAAGAATATAGCAAAATCAAAATAGTAAATGTGAGAAAATATTTTTTTCGGTCCTATATTTCAATTTTATTTTTCTAGAAGCATCAAAAGATCAATAACCTGCAAGATCAATAAGATAAAGTTTGGCAATTTGATGATGGTTAGGTTTCGATGTGTTCCAACTTTTCATCTGAAATACAAGAATACATATTATCAAATAGGGCAAACATATACACACAAATCTTGATAGAATTGCCATTAATTAACAAAGAAAGATTACAATAAAACAATATGCTTTGTTTGTCCATTATTGAAGATGTTGAAGATGAAAACTGTGGCTGTGATGGTGTGTGTTTCAGTCGCAAAATAACAAGGGGGGAATACCAACGACGCCATTAGTAAAGCAGTCGCACTTCACGTAATGGGACCGGCTAAATAAAAAATATTGTACATCTCTGTAGGAGGCTAATCCATACAAAAGCCAGAAAATGAAGTAATATGTGATACCTGTATCTGTAAGATCGAATGTGAACGACTTGATCTAGTGTTAAGTTTTGTCGCAGCGACTCGTCTGTTTTCACTTGCCGGAATAAACAATCTTTCGAATGTTTCAAAGTTAGTAATATTCTGTTGAGTGATACCAGGAACAAATATATTTCCCTCTTGGTCTTGCCTTATGTTGAGATCTTTATTTTCTTTCTTCAGAAGATCATATACCTGTTTAAAATTTGGATTTCATAAGGGAGGGGTCTGAAACCAGAATAGGAAATTCCCATGCAACAGCTTCTGAAACAGTCGGTGCAATTACGCGCAAATTGAAATAGACGACTTTTCAGCATATATAAATTGGTCATCGCCGCTAAAAGATCTACTATAAAATCTCAGAGACTCCTAGAAATGCCAATGCTGCCATTCAGGTTATTTTTAGTGGTCTGCAATAAAATCCCAATAAGTAAAATTTATTTTAGTGCAATGAGAAAATTGATTAAACATTAATTATATTATATATTACTATCATCCAGGAAAAAGTCACATCATGACCCTGTCAGTAGTTTTAGAATGGATCAAAAGGTACATCGAACGTACAATTGATTGTGTTTCGATTACAGTGACAGTATGGTTTCCAAAGCCAAATAATCATAGCGCAAAATTTAGCGTTTACATTGTACAAAATGCTTTTTATTTGTCGCAGGCTTCCTAAAACATGACTTAGTGTTTTCCATTTTATTTTTAGTATTTTATATCGCCACTTTTCATCTAAAAATTTGGGTTGCAGTCGCAGATTCACCCCTTCATTTATCTTCAGCATCTGCGTCACTGAGTACGTATTTATTAACATCTTTAATCTCACTTTTTTTAGGTAAAACAAAGTAGTTAACTAAAGCTATACTGGGTTTTCATATTATCAAGTTTATATCATCTTTATTTTGAGATGATTACCTCCTATGTTCCGGGCACCATGAGATGGTTATGTGAAAATAACAAAATATTCTCATATGTACTGAAGTATATTTGTAGTAAGATACTACACCGTGCTTCCACAAAAAATTTACCTTTTCTTGGTAAATTTCCAAATATGACATTGAGAGTAAAAAGTTGTCATCCTGTGTTGTCATTTGACGAACTTTACTAAACAATGACCGTATGGTTCTTGGTATGATACCAGGATGTTCATTGGTTCCCAAGATTGTGAAAGTTTTCCCTGCAAACAATGAAAACTCATTTCATAAACCACAGAGATTCATAAGTGAAAAAACTTTCATGCTTAGCATTACTGACCTGCGCCTCTGTGAGGAATGGACGGTGGGTTCATATTTCTAATAAAGATCAAAACTCAATGTAATGGTTTCAAATACCGAGACCATTAACCGGTACAGAAAAAAACATGATTGGATGTTCTTAGAAAAAAAGGGGAAGAAAAAGCTCGCTGACTACTTCTAAATGAATGTAATATATAATGGAAAACAAATTTCTGTTGTTACCTGCTCCAGTTGGTCCATAAGTAAATATTGTAACATTCTGTCTCTGTTCAATGAATCTTGACAAAACAGGTTGAACACATGTGCAGTAGACTTCCTCCTGGGTGGAATCTTCGGCAAATACCTGCTTGAATGTGTATTCCAATGTCTCTCTTGTGTCCCTCCAGTTGAGAAGCTACAAATAATGTATTAAAGAAATAATTACGGTACAAACAATTAAACAGAAATAGAGTATTCTTCAACATACGCCAAAAAAAAAGGATTCATAATGAATTTCTAATCCATATAATAGCGAAATATAACTGAGTTTGTATATCATTATCAAGTTCATACCTTATAACTATATTTTCAAATTATCAACGAATTGTCAAAATGTATGATGAAATTTTTCATCTATGCCAGCTAGCTAGAACATAAAAAATATCCTTGAACTAAATTTTTCAGCTTAATAAATGAATTAGGTTATACAAAACAATGTTGCTTCTGATTACCTCTACTTTATTATGACTTGTGGTTCTCAGACAAGTCTCTTCAGGTTCTTGATTTTCTTCGTGAATGACCGGTCGCAATCTGACATACACTCGAACGCTGGATTTACTCTTAATAAAACAATAAATACCATAACTAAAAGCCAAAACCGGGCGAAAAACAAAGGAATAAAAATCACAATATCATTTATTTATTAAATTGACTGCAGAGAAATTTATTTGAATAGATTTACTACAGAATGATTAGATTACTACTTGAGTATGACAGGTAAACTACCTGAAGATTCTCTCACAATTAACAATGAAAACAAATGGGATTTACGACTATCTGCTTTATATTCAACTCACCATGATAACTTCAGTGTTGAGGAATAAATCTCACAATCTAGATAGAAATACAACTTACTCAATGCTGAAAAAATGAAGGAACCTTTATTTCACTATTAAGAATTTTGAATAGTTTACAAATATAGGAAAAAAGGTAAAATACAAAATCCAGTGGTTCGAAAAATTAGACCTAGACAGTGGTAACATTTCATAGTAAAGGCACTTGGATAAAAAATGAATATTCACAATCACAAAATGCAAAAAAAATATTATATGAAGGTTAGGTGATTACATAGTTGAAAAAGAAAAAAGGGAAAATTTCTATTTCAGGCAATCAATATTTTCTTTAGCTTTACAACAAAAGTAAAACGCTTGCCAGTAGAAGGACAAAAACACAAATATTTTTCTTAATTTTCTCCCAGTAGGCTATCAATTAAATGTTGCATATTTCCGAGTCAATTGTGACTAACAAAATTTGATCTACAGTAATTTCAATCGAGGCACATTGGAAACACCATCTTGCGATTTGAACACTATATTTTCCATTTCTTGATATTCTGCAATGACAGAATTCAATGATTCTCGACCTTCATCGAAAAGTGAGAGATCGAAACCATCAACTCTTTCATAATGATGAACATGAGCTTTCCGTTTATATAACTTGGAAAACCTTTCTCGAAGATTTCTAAATGCATGTTGAACGCATGTATTATTTGATAAACAAAGTAATGAATAAGGTTGGCCAACCGGCGGGAAGTTACACAGTCCTGTTTTCCAACCTTCCATATTCCAAGGCACAAAATTTAAGTTGGCTTTCAATTTATCTATATTACGGCGCAAATCCGACACACTCACATCTGAACCTCGTACCATAAGAGCACAAGCCAGATATAAACTACGAGCGGGATCTGCTGTTACCAGTTGATGATCTTTGGTAAATAAATCTCCAAATGCTTGATCGAGACGCCTTGGTGGCAAACCGACATCTTTAGAAATATAAAGTGGCGCAACGCTAGATATTAAATAATGCATTTTCGGAAACGGAACTAAATTCATAGCAATTTCATTCAGATCAACATTCAGAGATCCTTCAAATCTTGACGAACTAGTCATGTTAAGAATAGTATTGGCAACAATGTTATTCATACTGTCGAAGGGTTTTTCTTTTTTTTGCTCTAAACATCCTTTATTAGATGTTACAAGTGAATCCACCTTAACAGACCGATCAGAACTGAATTTATTTGTTGATTGAGCTTGACTAACTTTATCATAAATGTTTACCAATGATTGGTTATCTATGGGTAACACACAGTCAGCATATTCAGTCAACTGTCTCATAGCTAAAACAGAATTATAAGGAGATGTAATAACATCATCATCCTGTGATGGATAAACAGCTGTGACAAATCGATAAACTTCAGGATATTCATCTTTCAAGAGAGCAAGAATTGCCGTCCCAAGACCTGAACCAGTTCCCCCTCCCATTGAGTGAACAATAAAGAAACATTGCAAACAATCACATGCTTCTGCAGCTTTACGAACTTGTTCAATAATTTGGTCTTTATAAAGAGTACCATACTCTTTATTCCCAACTGCCCAATTATTTCCAGATCCAGATACATCTGTTATTAATTGCTTGTGATCAAATATTGAACCTAATCTAGTTTGAAGCATTTCATTTATAACTCCTTCCTCCATATCCACGAGTATAGCACGAGCTTTCAAATTGCTTATTTTTGATTTTCCTTGACCCACTGGTATATCAGCCCCAGAGTCAAAACGAGAGTCAGTATTCCGAAAGAAACTTGATACAGAATCATTATAAATTCCTTTCTGGTCATGGAATGAATGCTCTCGAAGACATAAATCCCAGAATCGACATCCAATTTGATTTCCACATTGTCCAACTTGCACCATGATAGACTGCGTCATGTTGCAAGTAAACTATTATACAGCAAGCAAATTCAAATCTTTTTGATCATATACTAATGAACACAGCTGCTGAAACAAACATTTCAGCATTTAGAAATATAAAAAGAACACAAAAGACATACAAATTTCGAGTCAGTAATTTATTTTTCACATATTACTGATAGTATATAAATTACCGAGAATAAAATAATTTTTTTCCTCAATCAGTCAATGAATCCAATAGACTGATAGATGAATAGTGACATATTTCTGTATTTGAATTGTGGATCGTTTTAAGCTCCGTCATTTTTGTACTAATACAGCAGTATAGAGCAAATGCCAGAATGTGGTGGCCAGTCATGATACAGTGATAACTTATCACTGCTGCGCTATACAGCTATAATATGCCGTATTTTATTCTACCGAATAACTTCAGACAGTCGGGAACCGTTGAAATTTTGGATTATCTGCTTTCCTGTCCCCCGAGATAAATATGTAGCGGTAGATCCTCTGTCTTACTACTTACTGAATACAGCGCAAAACAGAGGGAAACAACGCGGAACAGAGGGAAACAACGCACAACAGAGGGAAATCGCGCAAAGCAAAAAAAAATTTTGCAATGAGTTGGGATACCTTTTTTTTTTAGTTGGGGTACCACGCAGCAAATTAAAAACACAAACCAAGGCATGTAGGCTGTAATAGAAAGTCTGCCTCCGCTGGTGACACATTTTGGGTACCGTAATTTGGAACATTCCCCATATGGATACAGTTTTGATTGATTTGGCTTTAGGGTTAGATAAAAAAAAGTAGATAAAATTTCGCATGATGACCTAATATCTGGTCCATAACCTTGTAAATATACCGTACCGTTAAAAGCGTCATAAAACCATGACGGAGGTGCCGTGGTTCTTTCGTGGCAGGAGCCGTCATGACTGCATGAAGTGGTAATAACTGCGTCTCCTGTTTTCCCCTGTAATGCGCTGTTTCCCTCTGTTTTGCGCTCTGTGCGGGGTTCCGCGCTGTATTCAGTTAGTGGTAAGATCCGTAGATCCTATCCCAGCTACATTCTGACTTCAGCTAGTCTATATCCTGATATCTGTATGGTACCGGTAGACTATAACAAGAACTAATTTTCAATTAAAGGCAGAAAGAGAAAGGTACTGTACTCAGGTATTGCCCGATTTTACATGTGTCTTTATTTTATTGTCAGATTGTATTCTTTTGACTGTTTTTGGTGGACGGACACGTACAGTACCGGTACTTGTACGATTGTAACTGTTTTATTAAGTTATGCCCGTCCTCAAGGTCCTCTGCACTTCGTTTGTCTGTTTGTTGTTGTTTTGTTTCTTTCAGAGTGCAGGAGTGACCAAAATAAAATTTATTGGGGTCTAGTGAAGTATACACCCGCCTGGATTATACAGGGCGGATAAATTATTAGACGAATCACGGCACTAGACGAATAACCGCCCCATACAAAGTAAATAACAAAATGAGAGTGACATGACAAACCGGAAAAACGTACTGCAAGCAGAGCATAAACTCACTAAAACGACAGGCTTGATGAATAACATGACTAACACGAAAAGCAACTAACCATTAACACGGACAATAGAATGTACTAGTATAAAAAGGGCTCGAATAAATGACAAAATATTTTGCAGAGAACGAAGATTGTTTGGATCGGGTGAACAGTATGTCGAACGTAAGAAGATTAGCGGAGAAAGGAGTACTGTATGACGAAAAAGCGTGTATAGAATTTTTGCGGTATAGAGGGCTGCTAGCGACTCGGATGAAATGTGCGAAATGTGAAACGGAAATGAAAGAGGAAAATACCAAGTCGGCGAAACAGGATTCGTGTAGATGGAGGTGTCAGAGGAAAAACTGCAGGACTACCACCACAATAAGGAAGGGGTCTTTTTTTGAAAATAGCAAGGCGGAACTGACGAAACTAGTTACGACAATGTATTTTTGGGCGGACGATGTGACCCAAGAAACGATGGCCAAGGAGAGCGAATTGTCGAAACGAACTATGGTGGACTGGTGCAATTTCATTCGTGAAGTTTGTTCAGAAGACTTGATTGGAAGAAAGAAAAAGATAGGAGGTATGGATCGTGTCGTGGCCATCGATGAAACGCATCTAGCAAAACGAAAACCAGCTTCAAACAGACAAAGTAGACCGGTGAAAGCTATGTGGCTTTTTGGAGGTATAGATTTAACAACGAAGGAATTGTTTGTAGAAATAATCCCGCCGGAAATAGGAAGCACAAAAGAAACAATGGAACAACTGATAGTGAACCATATAGCGGATGGAACGACGATCTGGTCAGATATGTTTCCATCGTACAACGACATAGAAAACCTTGGAAGAGGGTATACTCACAGAGCGATAAACCATTCGTACATGTACGTCACCCCCGAGGGCCATCACACCCAAAATATAGAATCGATTTGGGCGGATGTGAAGAGAAAATTTAAGCGTATGAACGGAGTACCACGACATTTAATCCCTTCATACCTCGACGAATATTTGTGGAAGAGGCAGTATCCAAAAAACGAACATTTCGACAGAATGTTAAAAGCCATAAGCATCAACCCAAGATACAATGTGAATCGAAAGGAAGAAGAAGACACTAACTGAATGTTTATGTCTTTTTACAGATGTTAACTAACAAATTAGGAAATTGTAAATATATGCATTCGAAAGAAGAAATAAATGGCTTGGTTGTCCGACGCTCCAGTGATCTTGGATTCGGATTGGTCAACGTTTTTCCTATTAATATTAAGTGTTGTTGCGTTGTTTTGGCATTGCTTGGTCACGTGCTACTGGTGTCGGAAGAAACGACCGCAGTTGGAAATGTGGGAACCGTAACAGCCGGTGTAGCGACAATAAATGATGCTTGGCTAACCAATGAAAACGAACTAAGGTCATCCCCTTGGAAAAGAATACCAAACGCTACTTGGAAAAAACTTAGTTTGACATCCTGCTGGAACATAAGCCAAGAAAAACCGGTGTTTGAGAAACCAGGATTGTTTTTTTCCTCTAATTTTGGATACGTCGTCGCGGAAAAAAAGACATACCAGGAAAAAATATACCCGAAAGGAAGATTTTGGTCGGATCCGGACGAATTGGAAAGGAGTTGTCTATGCGAACGGACTATAAGTTACATTACGCCATTGCTGAACAGTAAGAGGATGTGGGAATACACAGAATATCACCGCAACACTGGACCCGATTTACGACACATATGGAAATGGGAAGACGAACCAAGTTATAGACGATCGGATAATTTCAAATATTTAACTGGAATGACAGTGTATAAAACTATGATAATTAAAATCTTGGCAAGTTATGCTACTGTAATTGCGAATTGTACGGACATAAGATACGAAAACGAAAAAACTATTGTAATACCTATACTCGCAGAGGGATTGAGAGACGTTAGTTACGAACGGCAACAGATGAACACGACCTACGTCTATGCGCAAGAGACCTATGGGGACGAAAATATTGTTACGTGGATACATACTACATGTAATTTCGCTGGACGAATGCTGGCGTTTGAACCAACATTAGGTGATTTCCTGATTCAAGAATGGGACCCATGGTATGAGAGAAAAAAGGTTTTGAAGTCTACAAATTATTTGGATTATGTAAAAAAGTACACGATCAACGGACAGATAACGTATCCTAGGGCGACAAATGTATGGCAAAGACCAAACGCCTTCGAAGGCCTGCAGACACTCGGGCCTGTAAGTGGATGGAGCTCTCGAATAAAATGGATAGAATCTACAAATGACGCGCTTAATTTAACAAGGGATGGATCAATAAAGATTAAACAGGGTTCGAGATCGAGACCATATTATAGCCAGTACCCGTCGATGATGAAAGAAGACGAAAAATGTAAAAAAAGAATAAACCGGAAAAGGAATTGTGAATATCCAGTAGGCGGGGTACAAGCGAAGCTCAGATTTTGGACAAAGGTGGAATACGACCCTTCAAACAACGTATCGAGATTTCCTGGAACACCCATGTGGTTGCATGGAACGGGGAATGACGAATGGGACAATGAACAACTCAGATCGAAATCAATGTATCAAAGGACTGTAACGCGAAGAATGAAAAGACAGTTTTTGGGAGCGGCGGCCTTGTCATTCGCATCCGCAAATAGGGTATCGATCAACAATCTCCGTAATGAAATGAATCAAAGGATGTCAGAAATGACAAATGAAATGAACGAAAGATTTACACAAGACGAAGGGAAGATGCAACTAATAGCGCAAAAATTGAACGAACTATCTAGAACCAGTTATATTGAAGAAGAGAGATTAAATGATGTTATTGTGGCAATGATTAAAGAGCAAGAAACGAGTGCTGAGAATCAGGAATGGCTCGCCGAGGAAATATCAAAAACCCAAGAAATTCAATTAGCCGAATTGGATACTTTCCTGCATACTGTAACAGATATAAGGGCTATGTCTTTGGCAGAATTGGCGTTGGACAAATTGATAATGCAGGTATTAAAGAATGCTACGGGAAAGCCTTTGTTTGATAAAACTAAAGGTTATTTGACACGGATACAAAACGGGCAATTGTACTTAAAAGAATACGCTCAATTGATTAGTGCACAAAAGATAGAAGTAAACGAGACGATCCAGGAAGAGCTAAAGCAGGCCGAAACACAACGTGAGTCGCTGTATAATGCATCAATTAAGGAAGAAACGGCAAAAGGAGTCTGGGTACAAGCAGTGAACAATGCAACGATTTTGCTCAATACGACGGGATGGGAGGAAAAGAACATAACCTTTGTACCGATAAATGACACGTTCGGTGGTGATATATTATCCGGACTGGGGACAATAACCAAAACCATAGGAGGCGTGATCACCAAAGGAGTAGAAGGGATTGGAAACATCTTAGGAAATGGCCTATATGCAATTATTAAGCCGTTTTTAAAGTTCCTGATACCTGTTGCAGTGGTTATAGTAGCAATGATTCTGGTTTGTTGTTTTTTGCAATATCACCCTAAATGCAGGAGAAATAAGCAACGATTGCCGGAAATATTGCAAATACCAGACAGGAGAGGAAAAAATTGGGCAAAAA